GACATAAAATTAATTAATAACATGATTAATGATGAGTTACTATTAAAAATTATAAATTTGAATCAATTTCTTTTTTTCTTTCCAGTACCTGCTCTTATATGTTTTTCTGCTATATCTCTAAGTTGAGCTTTAGAAAATTACTATTCTGAAAGTTCAGTATCCTTAAATTTATCAACTAATATAAATCAGATTAGATTATTACGTATTCTTTGTAATAATTCATCATTTGGATTATCTCCTTAATTATTTCCATCATCTATTTTAATAAAATTAGATTGTTTAGCCTAATTTAATAATAATTTATACATCTTTCTTCATAAAATTATGACGAGGATTTTAAGCAATATCTTGCATTTATAATATATCATTCGTTCTTATTTCAATAACACCCAATACTTTTAATAGTTTATCTTCATCCATTTCTTTAAAACTCTTATTATATAGAAATTTAAATTTACAAATTTAGGTCCTAATAATTAACTGTATTCCTTTAAATTGCAGCCAATACGTTCAAACATAATTGGAATACTAATCATTAACTCTTTAAGAATCTTAGATATTTCATATAATTTCTCTTATAATTTCTCTTATTTTGCTTTGATTTTTACTAGTTTTTCTTCAAATTATAATTTCTATTTATATTTTTAATCTGCCATAATTTTTTAATCTCTATTTTCTAATTCTTATTTTTCTATTAATAATAATTTATTTTATTTTTAAAGCATTTCTAATTCATCAGATTATTCATAAATATATTTAAAAGCCCCATAATTTTATTCTTCTTATTCAACAAAAATATTTACAATTTCATCAATTTATTCTGATTTTGTTTAATTATATAATTATTTTAAAGTTTAATCATAAGTTTAAACTTCTGATTATAAATCAACTAATGCTTATTATTCTTATTAATTTTATTATGCTTTTTATTCTCTTTCTAATATTTTTTTCTTTTTCTTATCAGCTGTTTCATTAATATGTAATATTTCATATTTTAAATCTTCAGCATCTGCATCTTCTTCAGATCCACTATATCTTTCATAACTATCACTTCTATGTTTCTTTTTTTTATAATTATCAGTTTCTTTTTTACCTCTACTTTTCTCTCTTGATTTAGATTAATGTTCAGGAGATTTTGATTCTTTAAATTTATCATAAATGCTTTTAAATTCTTTACCAAATTTTCTTTACTCTTAAGCTTCATTCCATCTTAATGATTTAATTGTATTCATTTCTTAATGTAAACTTTGAAATGCTTTTTCTTATTCTTAACTTCTTTCAAGCATTTTTTCATGATGAGCTATCCAATCTTCTTATAATTATTTAAGAATTTTTTTAAACATTTCCTTTTCCCTTCTCATTTTATTTATATCATTTTTAAGTTAAACTGTTTCATTTAGCATTTCATTCTCTTTTTAATATAAATAAGCTAGATTAAATTAAATGTCTATTTATTAATTAAATAATACTTTAAGGTTGTCTTCTCATTTTCAATTTTTTATCCATTTATGAATTTTATTGGTTTTATTTTTGATTTTTATTTTCTCCCCATCTACTATTTCTCTCTTATTCATAAATTTGCCTTCTTTTCTTTTCTATCTCATTTTCTTTCATCTAAATTTATTCCTTCAATTCATCTCTCTTTGCATGCAAGGTTTAGAGTTACTTATTAAGACTGGCCTCTTCTTCTTATTAATTTGTAATCTTAGTAAATGTTTATGATTTTAAATCTTTCTCTTGACTAGATCGAAAACTACATTAATTGTATTAAATTACGCATTCCCTGCAGTCTAAGTCCTTTTAAGATAAGCAACTTTATTCATAAATATTAATTAATTTAATTGTAATACATATAAATATTCTTATAAACTAATCAGCCATCTCAACAGTATTTCTTTTTGATAGAATCAACTCTATCTCTTTATATATTCAACTCTAAAACATTAATAATGAATTAATATTAAATAACAAATATAGAATAAAACAGTTCCATGCTTTTCTTAATGGAAAGTTTGTTTGTTTTTGGAACTATAAATTATATTTTCAATACTCTTATAGGTACTCCTATAAGGAACTAAACAGGCCATTTTGGAACTTTTTTATTGAATTCAAATATTTTGAGATGAGTCATATTGGAATGATGCAATCTTTAAGGAAGAATTAAAATTACCAAATAGTATTCTATATAAAAGATATTGTAAAATATCTTTCTATTGTGAATTTTCGAACATTTGAATAAAAACTTTCATGCTCTTAAAAAAAAATAATATTTTATTATAATGTGCAAAATTAAATATATCATTTTTACCTTTTACTTATTTCACTTTTTTAGCTTATTGGCCTATTACTAGCTTGACTTTGGTTTATTCTAGAATCAGATTTGGATTTATCCAATAAATCTTTTAATTATGATCTTTCCTTTGCTAATTTCACAATATCCTCCTTATGTTCATTAATTTCCTTTTATTTTTCTTTCAATTAATCTTAGAGCTTTATCTTTTCTTATTTTAAATAGTCTTAAAATTATTTCTCTTTTTATAGACTTTATTATATATCTTCTTAAGTAATTAATAATTCTATTAAATTAATTAAACATTTAAATACCCGTTAATTTTTTTTCCATATTTTAGATTTCTTTATTCTACCTTTAAACAATGATTTATAATTTCTGATTATCTTAATTTAACTTTTTGACTTATTCTTGAGTTGGTTTTTCTTATTCTCTATCTAACTGTGCCTTAGCTTCATATTCTTCTCTTAATTTATCTTATAATTATTTTATATCTTAAGCAGATTCTAATCTAATATTTTAAACTATGTTTTATTTTTCAAACTCAAGTTTTCTTACTTAATCCTCAAGATCTCTTAATCTTTTATCTTTATCAAAATCAGCATTATTGAAAGATTAAGTTTTTTATATTTTATCATTTGAATTGCTCTTATTAATACTAGAATATGGTTTATTAATAGGAGTATTACTAAAATTATTTTATTTTTTCAAGTTCTCGATTGTGTGTTTTGCTTCTTTCAATTCTGATTATAATTTATTTATCTGTTCATTTAAAATATTATTAGTTTAATCTTACTTTTTACCAGAGGAATTATATTATTTTGATGAACTGGCTTAAGAATGTAATCTTTATGATGGATTATCGAATTAGATTATTGATTGTAATTATTAATTTTCTTTTAATATAGTATTTAATTTAGATTATAGATCTTAATTCTTTTATTTAATTTCTTAAATCTCATTTCTTAAGACTAATATTTCTTAGCTTCTTTTAGAGGCTAATACTCCTAATGCTACATCAGATGTTAATTTATCTTCATTTTTTGGTATTTTCTATTTCAATTCTTCAATTTCTTATGATTGTCCTTAAATCACTTATTTTAAATTAATATTTTCTTCTTTGATTTAATCAAGTTTACGTACATCAGTTTCTATTTTTTTGATTGTTTTAACTAACTTTTAGTTTTCATCAATCAATTTTTGAATTTATTAATCCTTTTGATTTTGAATTTAAGTAGAGACACTCTATTAATTTTTCAATTTTTGTTTTTCTTTATTCATTTCAATATTGTAATCATTTAGTTGATCAGTTAATTTTTTATTTGTTTATTCAAGATGTTTTATGGTATTTTCTAAATCTGTAATTTTTTAGGATTATATCTTTTAATTAGCAGAAGCTTTTGAAAGATCAGAGACTTCTTAAGATGTTTTACATGGACTCTGAGTATGAATATTCATCCTTAATTATATTGAAATAAAAATTTAATAAATTATTCACAACAGTTAATGAATTATCTATTTTAATTTCTGGTTTTCTTCTATGATTTAATTGATTTAAGGATCAATCACATTATGAGGTTGTTAGGTTGTAAAATTAAAAGATAATTTAACTTTTTATATCCTTTTTTTGCATACCATCATTTGATTAGATGTATACTTAGCTTTTTTTAATGGTTTTGTTTATAATAAACGTTTTGATTTAAAAAGAGTTTATTCCTCACTTTATTATTAGTATTCGTAAGGTCTTTTAATAATAAAGAGTTTTTAAGCTTGAAGTGTCAAAATCTTTCTAGAAAGTATAATTGAATTGCCATCAACTTGCCAAATGAAAATTTGACCATCTTCAGAATTACTAGTGATAAAATTATGGCCATCCTCAAAAAATAGTTTAACACTTTTAATTTCACTTAAATGCCCTATTAGTAATTTTCTTTTATTTATTTAAATTGTAGGTTGAATAGTATAATTAATTGATTATTGATTGTATTTAATTTAATAAATGTTTTTATTTACACATCCTACAAATGCATAATCAAGATCAATGTCTAGTGTTAATGGTTCTGAATCTAATTAAGTTTAAAATATTCTATTGATGAAGAAGATGTATACATTTGTGTTGTGGTAATATCGAAAATGATCAATTCTTTATCTTTGGAAATAGTAGCAAGAACATTTTTAAGTACAAAATCATTAATTTTAGAATTATTTCCTGTGAAGACTTTAAAGGGTTTAGTTTTCAATAGTACAATATCATCCAAAAGAAATAAATTAATATCTAATTATCATAGTATTTTTTACTATTTTATAAGTCATCCACAACCAGTAAATACTATTAGTAATGATAAACCTTATTGATTTCTTTAGCTACAAAATCAAGAGTAGATTTCAGTTCTTAAGTTTAAGTATATATTCTAAAATCTTTGTTTGCATAAATTATGCCATAGATTGAATGGTATTCAAAAGCAAATACAATTGAAGATTCACCTCCAATATGTTATTTCCATAATTCAAGTCCTTAGTAATCAAAACAGGATAACATATTTTTGGATGAGAAAATAAGTATACTTTGATTTGAGAAGCATATTGTTTTGATATCCGATTCTATTGTTTATAATATAGAGCTAGTCTTAGGATCTATAAGTTTTATGGCATTTTAAGTCTGAACAGCGATCAAATTAGTTGATGTATTGATTGCCATAAAATATTATTATTTATATATATTTATATGATTTAATGCTTAATCTACATTTATCATTATTGTTATTATCTTTACAACATTTGTGGTGGAATGTTACCCATCATACCTTAAGGTGGTTGAGCGAATGCTGTTTTTCCTAATAAATTAACAACTCCTGTTTCAATAGATTTCAATAATTCCATCATATCTGGATCTTGGAATAATTCTAAAGATTTTAATTATTATTACATGGATTTTCAAGATTAGAAATATAATCTTCTTCTTCATAGCTATGTTCTTCGAATATCATATCTCCCATAACCAAATTCAAGACCATAGGTACTAATTATCCAGATTCATATGTAGTTGGTAATTTATCAATCATATTTTTTAAGAAATCTTATTTTTCATTTAATAATTTAATTTAATATCTAATGATTTCTTTGGTAGCATTCATTTAAACTTATTTTTATTTTGGCAACTTATCCTTAATTCTTTAACGAGCTGAAGCTTGTAACATAAACACATGTTAACCCAATCCTCTTTCCATTAATAACATTTCACTTTATTCTAATGTTTATTGGGATATATCGATTTTTTTGCAGATTTCTTCTTAAGCCTTCATTAATAGATTTTCAATATCATTCACATAGTCCAATAATAATTAAACATATTTGGCTCCATCTGAATATAATACTTCTCTTCTAGCTTTTCTATTATCTAAAGTAATTCTAATGAATTCAGGTTCTGCTAAATCTACACTACCTTCTACAATTTGAGTATAGGTTTTTATGCTAATCATATTATTTGTGCTTGGAATATGCATTATTTGTATTTAAGAAGCAATCTCATTAAGTTTATCACTCTTGAAGGTATAATTTGCTATAATATTAACATTTATATTCATACATTTATCATTTCCTTCACTTTTAGGTTAAATTTCTTATGTTTTAGTCTATTCTTAGGATTCCTTTGGTTTAAATACTTCTAATTCTGCTAATTTTTAATCAAGCCATTCATTAGTCTCCTTTATTTTGTCAGTTACTGATAAGTTGTTACCAACCCATGGTAAAACAATACTATTCACCTATCCCTTTATAAGTGAAGGATTCAAAAGAATTTCATCTTTGTCATTCTTGAATGCATATTAAGTGAGTGATTTTAATACAACAGGTTCAAGTTTTTTATCCTTCACCTTTTAGGCTAAATCTTTGGCATCATATTATCTTAAATTTTTGATATTAATCAGAAACACTCTTTATAATGAGTCTTTAAGAGTGTAAAGTCTTTCGAATAGCTAATCAAAATGTTTCATAAGGTTAGTCTCTGTTTACTCTACAACTTCCCAGTTAACCCTAATGATTTATATATCATATACATCTTCTCATCTCCCAAAGAGGCTAAGACTGTGTCGATATTAGCTGCCAAATCTTCAACTGTAATAGACATTCAACCACAAATTAAATATTTAATTTATATTGCTTCTCCTATTTTTGCCTAAATAATTCATAGTATCTTTATAAATATACATAAATTACTTAAGTCATTAATGTTCCATAATGGGTATCTGAATAAAATTAATTTAAACATAACATCAATTTAACAATTATATATATCTAAATTGATAGATTGCTATTTTACACTTAATTATTGATAGGTTAGTATTACTAATAATCTAATTATATTAATTAATAGCAATACTAATCTTGATTAAATAAGCAATTTGGTTTATTATTTTTAAATATTATAAATTAACTTTTTAACTTAACTCATCTAGTTTAAAAATGATATTCATAATAAATAGAATATAGATATATCAATAAATTATGCTAAATCATTTTTAATATGGATCAGAAGAGGTTACTGGAAAACTAATGATAAATTATTGTTATTTATATTAAAATATAAGTATTCAATAATACTTTATTTATTTTATAGATAATGTCTAATTATAGTCTAATGTTTAAGTATATTATAATAGGAGATACAGGTTATATGATCAATATATAATAGGAGTTGGGAAGTCCTGTATAGTTTTACAATTGATCGAAAATTAAATTAGATAAGAACATGACGCTACAATAGGTGTTGAATTTGGAGCAAAAATTATTAAAGTTAATAGCATGAATATAAAGCTTTAAATATGGGATACAGCAGGATAAGAGAATTTTAGATCAATTATTAGAAGCTATTATAGATCAGCAATTGGTATATTTCGAGAATATAATTAAGGAGCTTTACTTGTTTATGATATAACGAAAAGAGATTCATTCCATAATTTATAGAGATGGATGGAAGAAATAAAAAATAATGGAAATGCAAATATGGTGATTACAGTATGTGGTAATAAAGTTGATTTAGAATCTGAGTAATAGTTTCTTATTTATCTAGAGACGAGCAGTAACATATGAAGAAGGATGGTAGTTTGCATAATAACATTAATTGATATTTCTAGAAACATCAGCAAAATAAGGAATTAATGTACAATCTGCATTTTATTAATCTGCATAGAGAATTTTAAATTAAATTGATGATGGTTCAATAGTTCTTGGATAAGATGTAAAAATTACTTTTATATACATAGCCAGGAATTAAAATTGGTGGATAATATAAAAAAAAGGAAAAAGATATAAAAAGTATCAACAATTATGAAGAAGCTGTTCAATTAAAGCCTGTTGAAACTTCTAATGGCCACAATAACTGTTGTTGATATTTATTCTTTAATTTAATTTATTAATAAAGTAAATTAAATAGTTTTTACAATCAACTCATGATTAATCAAATCTTCTAATTTTACATACTTAATTGCAAGGTTTTCCTTTTTGCAACTCTTTAATTTTCATGAATAAATCAATCCAAAATCTGTCTATCAATTCTAATTTAAATGATTTTCTGTATTTACTATGACTACATAGGTCTCAAAAGTAATTAATAATATAATAAGAACCCCCTACTAAATTTATTTTTATAAATGAATTAATGATTCTATTTGGTTACTTTCTATAAATTTTATTATGGAAACATGTTAGAAATAATATTATCAATATATAGTAATTGATAGTATAAAAATCTGAAGCAAATCTAATTAAAATATCAATTTCATTTTATTATATAATTTCTTAATACTTTACTACCTAATATCAAATGCTTTCTCGTAAAGGATTTGCTTATATTAAAATAATTTAATTTTTCATTTTGAAAATTGTTCAATAATTGAAAAATTGTATATTGAGTTTACACTGATATAAATTTAATATAATAACATTTAAACCATATGCACATAGATACGTCATAAAATAATCAATCAAATAATGATCCAGGTACATTTGCTCTTCTATTTGTTTATTTTGTTCTCTATTATGTAGCTGGTTATTTTGGGATTTCAGCTTACTTTTCAAAAAATTACTAGAAATTCGTTTAATTACTAGTTTGAAAGTATTCTTCTGCTCCCTAATAATCAAAAAAAGGATTATTTTATTAAAGATTTTACTATTAATTCTATTATAAATTATGATTTTCTTATTTGTGTGCCAATCTTGGATGAACAAAGGTAGCTTTATTTTCTTATTTTTAAAGATTTTATTTTTTTGGTGGAGGAGGATAATAAGTATTTTCTTGAATCTCATTTTTTATAATATTAATTTCTTAATTTTATTCATTCATATGCAATTGATCATTATTTTACTTATCATGTTAAATTTTTTGATCTTTTTAATGTATTTCAATATTTTAGAATTAATCTTACAAATGCTATTATGATGAATTTTACACTGATTATGGATCTATTAAAAATGCTTATTGTTATTACTAGTGTTACTGAGATTAGTTTTGAAATTATTAATGTTAATATTATTGCTAAGTAGTAATTTGCTATTATTAAAAGTAAAGCTAATTATCTGTTTATTATTATTATTCTTAAATCATTTCTTCATTATAATTACTAATTTTATTACATTATTCATCTTCCTAATCTTCCTAAACTTCCTAAACTTACTAATCTTCTTAATCTTACTAATCCTATTATTCGAATTATTATTATTCATCTTAAGCACCCTAATCATCTTACACATCTTGAACTTATATTTAATTATTTCCAGTTTTCAATTATGTTGATCCTGAATCAGCATTTACAATCTAACCTTGTAAATTTACATCATCTTCATTAGCCCAATATTATTGATTTTACTATTAAACATGATGCTAATGTGTAACAGGAGCTTCAGCAACTATAGTTTAGATAACGGTTTATTAAGTATTGGCTTAAATTTACATAGGTTATTAAAATTACTAAACCCTAGGTAATTGAGGTGGCTACAATTTTGATAATAATCCTTATAAAATTGTTATTTAGTCATCCAAGTTAGATTGAGTTTACTATAAGCGATATTTATGAATAACATCTTTTCTTTACTATGTATTTGAATGCAATTTTTCAATAAAATGTCTTTCATTTTATTTTTCAACTTATTAAATTTCTTAAAGCTTTTAAAACTATTTTCTTTCACTTTAAATTTATTCTTTGAGCTAATTAAGCTATTTTAACGAATTTTATTCTTAATTTTATAAAGAAGTTTTCAAAAGTTAATTTTCATTTTGAAGTTATTGAATCTAAGTCTAAAAATTTATATTCTTTTATTATAAATCCTAAATTGATTTAAAGTGATCCTATTGAAATTTAGCAATTGAATTCTACAGGTCTTTATTCTAATTAACCAATTAAGATATCTGATTTTCATAATAAATATCTCTTTATTTTATCATTTATTCAAATAAAGTAACATCAATTTATACAGTTTATTACTATTATAATTAAATTGTGAATTTTGGTGTTTAAGTTGTAATTCCTAGACTTTCAATTTACTCCTCTTATTATTTCAATATTTATTCATTTTAAAAATTAAATGCATCCTATTATTATTATTATTATTATTATTAATGCTAATTTGATTGAACTTTAATATTTTATTATTTCATTTATTAATCTTCATTATTTTATTGAATTATACTTTTTTCTTCTTGTAATTATTAATGAGGAACTTCTTGCTTTTATTCAATGGAATGATTTTATGATGAAATTTATTATTCAATAAATTTTTACTGTTTTTGTTCTTCAGAATTATGTGTTTAATTTTTTAAAGTTTCCTGTTGAAAATCATCATTTTATTAATCCTACTGTATATTTTCATTATTTTTTTATTTTTATTGTTCAGTATATTGCAGATGATCTGAAGAATCTTAATTGTTTTCTTTTATAATATTATTTTAAAGTTAAAATACAGTTTCTTCAACTTAATTTTCTGTTTAAGAAAAATCACAATTTTTATTTGAATTAGAATATTCTTGATTTTCTAAATTTGATTCTCCTGATTCTTCGGATCTTAATTGTTCAGCTAATTGATTTAATTTCTCTTGATTTTATTTTAAGGAATCAAAATTAGTTAAATCTTCCTCATCTAAATTTTCATTTTCAACCTATTAATAATTAATTTAATTATTTTATTATTTTTACGCAATTTGATTGGATACATTCTCAATTTTTTAGGATTCTATATTTTATTATTTTGGTATTATATCAGAATCTTTATGAGATTATAGTAAATGTTATTATTATTATTATTATTATTATTATTATTATTATTATTATTATTATTATTATTATTATTATTATTATTATTATTATTATTATTATTATTATTGTTATTATTGTTATTATTAAGATAGATCAACTGTTCTAATTTAGTTATTAGAAAGTTAAGCAGGAGCTATTTATTAAGATTTAACTGGCGGAGGAATTTATTATTTTGAAACTTATTTTGTAATTTAAGGATTCTCAACTTTAGTTTAATTTTGAAGATTAATTTCTTACTCTTAATTTAGTGACTAATGTTCTGCTTATGTTTAAATATTTTAATTTTCATGCTTAGATTATTCTGATATTTATTATTAATTAACAATTTGCTATTAATTTTAAGTATTTGATTATGGAATTTAAGGTGCTACAACTTAATTTTTGACTGGCGGTATACCTGCAGCAGGAGGCCTTGTTGGAGGTCCTCTCTAAGGAACATTTTTTTTAATATTAGTCTATGGTTGAGGAAGTCCTCTTTATTCTTTTTATAAGAATGCTTATACACTATCCTCACTTAACTTTGACATATCTAATGACATCAATTCTTTGGGTGTCATAATTTTTTCAACTAAGGCAGTTCTAATCAATTATCCTAGAATAGTATAAGAAATACACCTTTAGTTCCCTTTAAACGCATTTTTACAGTATTAACTCTAGTTCTATAGTCTCTTGTATTATCACCTCCAGAAAGTGTGTAAGCTTCTTATTCAAGAGTTGTAGCTAATTATTCTGCAATCTAGGAGGAAATTTAATCTTCTTCCAATATTTTCTTGAATTCATTTTTCTGATTTTCACGTACCCTTCTATCGTAATTAGTATTTTCTACAGGTCTGACTTCTTAGAACATATTTAATGAACACGTATATTTAATAAAATATCTTAAATTAAATTATTTATGTTACCATTTTTTCCTGTTCCAGGATTACAAGACTTAGACATTCCTTAACCTGTACAATAGGATTTCTATCCCAAAAGTTAAATTTAAGAACCTTAAGAAGCTAAGAAATTGTTTATTAAGAATCTTCCTTAAGAATTAACTAATGATAATGTTGAAAAACTTTTGAAAGTAAATTTAATATGATAATTAGGAATGTGGTCAATTAGTATCATGGAAGCGATCAAAAGGTACTCCTTTTGGGTATGCTGAATTTGAAAATATGGAAAGTGTATTAAAATGTTTGCGCCTTCTTAATGGTATGATTCTGAACTAGAAGGAGTTACTTGTTAAGGGTGGAGAGAAAGCTTAGATGATGATTGATGGTTGGATGTATAAAAAGGAGACTGAATGGGAAGAGAGAAGAGCTAAATTAGAAGAGAAAGATAAATAAAAGGAGGAACATAGAGCATTATTTAAATTTACATCTTTTTAAGAGTATATTACAAGAGATGATGAAAAAATAAAAAAGAAATTAGAAAAAATAATATCAGAATTAGAAGGAACTGTTACTAAAACTAAAAATGATAAAAAAAGAGAAGAAGAAAAGAAAGAACATCCAAGAGAGAGAGAACGAGATGCAAAGAAGCATAATACTAGAGCAGAATTGGAGAGAAAATATAAAGAGAAAATGGCAGAATGGAAAAAGAAGGAGGATGAAAGAGAGAGAGAAAGAAAAAAAGAAAAAGAGAGAGAGATAGATCGAGAGAAAAATTTCTAAAAATATCTTGAAAAAGAATTAGCTTATGACAGTGAATAAGAACGTAAATAAATTGGTAAGATTAAGATGAACGAAAGAAAGAAATTCAGGTAAAGGGAATTTGAAGAAGATGAAATCTTTAAAAAGAAAGAATTATTAAAGACACAAAAACCTCCTGAACCTGAACCACCTTAAATGGTAGTTATTGTTTAAGAGCCACCTGAACCAGAACCTTAGTAAACCTAATAATAATTGTTATAGTAATAAGTAATAATTCAATATTATATTTGATTTAAAATTAGCAATAGATAGAATAAGCTGAATAAATGTAATAAGAGAAATTATAAAAGGAAATTGATTTGAAGGAGGAGCTTAAATAAATATTTGCGACAATCCCAACTGAAAAAGAAGAGTTATTCAACACTCAGATTAATTGGTAGTTGTTTGCTTAGGTATTAATTATATATTTAGTTAATCCCAAGTCTAACTTATTGGAGAAAAAGATCCGTCCATGGTTAAGAGAGAGGTGTATTGAATATTTATCTTAAGAGGAGAGAGTATTTATTGATGCCATCATCAAAAGATTATTTAATCGTGAGAAGCCATAAACAATAATAAATAAAGTAGTAAAGAAGGTCTTGGATGATGATAGTGAACAATTTGTCATAAGAATGTGGAAAATGATCATCTTTGAATTGAGAAAATTAGAAAGAGGTCTGATTTCTTGATGATTTATTAAATAATTTAATAGTTTTATGACATTCTATTAATCTTAATTATACTGATTCAATTTACCTATGTCTTAAAATCTATTAATTTTTAGAATGATTTCGATAAACAAAAAATTAATAGATATTAATCTAATAAAAATAATATATATATTGGTTTATAAAATAATTATTTTAAGTATAAAGAGGAATTTTGAATAGTTATATATGTGATGTATGATGAAATAAAATATTTACTTATGATAACTTTTAGTTTTGAAATATAAACATACATAACATCATTTTAATGACTTTAAATATTCTAAAATTTAAATTTAAGTATTTTTATATCTTTAATCCATGAAGTTCAAATAATACACTTTATATCCTAAACTCTCAAGATATTTCTTTTTGAATAATGATGTCTGATTTAAAGATTAATGTAAAATTTATTCTTAATCTGTATTGAATGTTTTAATTGGTACTCCTTCTGTAGCATCTATATTAAATGAATAATGAACAGGACCACATATTTCTAGTATTAGATTTTGCTTAGGAAAATAAAAGTCTACTTCAAATTAATCAACTAAAGAATATAAAAAATAATACTGTATATGTTATTTTAGTAGTTTAATTTTAATTCATCAAAAAGTAATTAAATATTCTTCTCCATACTTTTAGTTGAATTGGATCTAGTGTCACAAAGTTTTTATAAGTAAATTTCCTTATTTGATTCAAAATTGTGTTCAACATAATTTTAACAAGATTTGCTTAATTTTGATTTAAATTGAATTAGATTATAACTTATAAAATTCTTTCTATATGAATCTTAAATTTTGGATTAAATTTAGAAATAGTTATTCCAAATATGTTCATCAAAAATTTCACATCTCAGAATTTGTTAATATAATGATACAAGATATTATTATCTTGTTTCTAAAAATTAATTTTAAACTTTAAGAATATTATTAATTTTTTAAATTAATTTGCTTTATATATCTATTTAATTGAATAAATTTGTAGCACATAAAAACAAATTTACTTAAGATATAAATTATTCATCTGTTTTAATTTCAAAATTTTCATCTATTTTTTTAATTAGAAAATCTTTAATCTTATTATTATAAAATCCATCCTTTCCTAGTGAATAATAGATAGATTTCAATTGATTTTCATTAAAATCTCCCAAGAGTTATGAAATTCTTTTAGTAAATAAAATTTAAATATTTAAAAAGTGCTTTATACTATAGTAACTAAGATTTAATTATGATAAATAGTAAAATTATGTACTAATATAATTTGGATAAAGATGTTGAATAAAATATTAATAACTTTCACAAGCACTATGTAAAATTCTTTATTCAGCATTATTCAAAGAACCAAATTTATTTTGAATTGAATATAAAAATTATACTAAATTAGTAGTATAGAATATATTAAACTACATAATAATATGATAATTGTTTAGATAGGATACATAGCTATTTAAATATTCTCTGCTTATTAGATCACTATTTATTCCTTTGATCAATAAAATAATTTAAGCCCCAAGTAAATTATTAAAGGCATCATTTAATGAAGGATGATCAAAAACATTCTAATACATCCATTACAAAGTTTATAGATTGTTGAAATCAATATCAAATTTTTACATCTAATTAAGCTTTTCTTCAATATTATTTAATTTTTTTTCTTTAGATTATGTTGTTACTTCATCAAAAAATTAACAAAAATCCTTAATTTTATTCATTTCTTAAGTTCGAACCTTATTTTATAATAGTTTAAAAGCGCTGCTTGAAAATCTGCAAAAAAGTTTGTTTATCATAATTAAATTTTATTATTAAAAAAATTCCTTAAACTTTATATTAGTTTAAATTTTATGAGCTTGAATCTAACATCATAAGATCTCCAAATCTATAAATAAATATAAAATTAAATAAATTCAATAAAACATATATATATATATTATTAATAAACTAGTGAATATTTCAACAAAAATCAGCTGAATTTCTTCTAGTAAAAAATCTTTTAGAAACACTTCTAAGAAATGGTGAGTTAATAGTTTATTTTTTCTTTTTTTATCTAGCTTTCATTAAATAATCATCTTTTTAAATTTCTCTACTAGTTGTAAGAGGTTAATCTTCAATTCTAGTCTTGATTGATGAATCTCTCTACATACTTTAATATCTCTTTAATTATTTTGGAAAGTTTCTTATCATTTTTTAATACTACTGATTTTCTAATATTTCATTGATTGATTCATTTATTCCAGGATTGAGTATTTTAAAAGCCTCTTATGTTCTTGTACCTTACTTATTATTTTCGATTACTTAGGAAGTAATAGGCTTAATCTTTTATATCACTCTTATTAATAAATAATCATTAATACTTTTATGTATAAGGTATTAGAGTTTATGAAACAACTAAAGATCTTTAAGTTTAAGGTTTATTATTTTCATTTAAATCAACATCATTGATTTAAATCTTCTCTGCTGTGCTTAATACTCTTCCAGTTTTGATAACCCATTAAGTTTCTTCTGATTTTGACATTTTTAAGCCAATAATATTGATAATTGATATATTTTTAGGGTGATCTTAGATAAGTTTTAGTTATACTAACAATAAAATGTACTTCCATCTCATTTATACATTATTTATGAAAGCTTTATATATAAACAGCAATTTTATGGCAAGTATATTTAAAATATTCTTTTAAAGTTAAATTTTCTGAATATTCTTTTTCTTTATTCCATTACCTTTATCCTCTAAGAGATGGATCTGTTAGATATGACTATTCACATACAATATCACCAAATAGCTAGTTGTCTTTACAATATTTATATCTATGGATAAAATAATCTTTAGGATTTCTTTTATTTGTCTCTATACAATCTAATGCTAATTTTTCATTATAGAGATATAATTATAGATGAAGTAGGTTATCAAATATAACATTAGTCTTTGATAAAACTGATAATTAATGCAATTCAAATTTTCCAATCAATGTTGTTTCACCTGTCTGATATCTTGCCATTAAAATATTTTAATTATTCAATAATTCAGAAAGTTACTATGATTAAAAATATAAAATACTTATTTTAATTTATTAATTATTTAGTTACTATTTTCATAATAATCAGATAATTTGATAGTAGGATGTATGCCAGCCTTGATTTATTTAATTTAATATTCAACTTCAAATTCTATTTTTCTTTCAATAAAATGTTTTTCCATTTCTGTATGAAAAAATGATTTGTTTTTAATACATCTGAAACCATTATCATAAAATACATATAATTAAAATTCCCTATCTTTCAAAATAACAGTATCTAATATATTAATATTTATTGGCCTAACAACTTCATCCTACTTTTATAGCATTTGACATATAGTTAATAAATCATCTTTAAATCCACAAATAGACAATCTTCTTTATCTTGGTTATTTAATTATTTTTTAATATCTCTTTTATTCTTATGGTTCTTCTTTTTCTGTCTATTTTTTAATACAGATTTGACAAGTGCATAGATCAGGACATTCAGTTATTGCAAATGGAATTACTTCCATTTTCTTCAAAGTTAAATCACGAAAGGAATCCCAACATTTAATTCCACTTAATTTTTATTAATATGACATAATTTTAATATTAATTTGATTGTTATTTAAAAAATAAGTAAATTTTTATTCATATACATTATTGATTTTTAAAAGAAAATGAAACAGCTTATTATATTAGAAACTAGTAATTATTTTTTATTAACAAATTCTCTTATTGATCAGAAATTAAAAATATTTAATAAGTGCAACAACTGGAAATAGTAAAAAATGATTAAGTTATCAGAATATGACTTTAAAAAGAGCAAAACAATTATAAAAAATATATCAAAAATCCAAATAATAAAAATAAAGATATTAAGAAAATCTTGATTCTTTATATAAAATCAATTAAATTGTTTAAGATTGTTTTCCATCCAATTTTAATATTTTTATTCGAAATTAGATTTTTCGAAATTAACTTACAATAATTTAAAATACTCATATGCTAATTATTATTTTTTATATTAATCTTTCATAGATTTAATACAATTTAGAATAATTTTATTTGATGGAAATGTCTTTAAAGCATTACTTTTAATTTATTTATAATTTTAACAATAGTTATTTTATTAATCTTGAGTATATTCTAAAAATTCTATTGAATTGTTGAAATTCATAATAGAAGATTTAAATGAGATTAATAATTAACAATTTATTGATGCCATTATCAAAATCCCTTTTTAAAATATAATATCCCAAAAATGTAGACAAGCTTGTTTTGGAATATTGTACAAATATAAAGTAAAAATCCATTTCTATAGTAAAAATGAATCATCAATTTCTAATTGCATATAATGTTTATAAAGTTAGCAATCTTATTCTTTAAGTATCTCCTTAGTCACACAACATATTAGTTTCATTAAAGGAAATTCTGGCATATAAATTGCATATAACATCCATTTAGAACAATAAAACATAAGAAATGAAGCAGGCCATGCTTATTCTATATTTCCACCTGATTACATGAGCATAAAAGCTAAAATGAAATTCATGCCCTAAGTATATCCTATCCCTCTAAAAGTTGCATCAATTAAATTTAATAGTTAACTTAGTAATTAATAACTTTAAGATTCCAATTAAAAAAAAGGATGACTAATCTTAAATTTTTATATACTTATAAAAAGTTCTTTTTACATCTCTTTCTACTATTGATAATCTTTCTGTTTATCTAATTTTCATTGCCTGATGTTTATATTTAATACAACTGAATAATAAAGTTTTCCAAATGAACCATCTTATTTATCCTCCTCCAACTTATTCTAAAACTTCTTCAAAACGTTCAGGATTTTTTTTATGAATATTATATAAAGCTTTTTATAATTCAACCTTCTGTCCCTATTTATGAGATTCTGAATTTCCTAACAAGCCTTACCAAAGTTAAATGCATATTTCTTTATTTATGATTTCCGTTTTATCAAACCCTACACCAATCTCTAAATTATTTTCTCTATCTATAGTATTTGAGATCTAATTGTATTTTCAATAGGATACAATTTGCTTAATAGGAGCATACGGTTGATCTTCATTTTCTGAAAAGTATGTATTTTTTAGCTAATTACTTAATAATTCATCCTTTTATTCACTATTACATATATTTCCCATATTAAACTAAAAAAAAGAAATAAATCCAATAATGTAATACACATATTTTAAATAAAGGAATAATAAAATTTTATTTTTGTATATATAATGATATTCATTTGAAGCATTAGTTTTCATCAATAATATATGAGTATTGGTTCATGATTATGTTAGATAATTAATTTATTTTAAGCTATAAACAAATAAGAACTTATTATTTCTAATAAATAATATTAGAATGTTATGACATTCATTTTAATTTCTTTAAATATCATTAACTAGTAATATCTAAAATGATGATAGATTTAGTAATTATAATTTTAGAGATAATATTTATAAATAGACTTATATGATCCCTTATCCAACAATTTATATGATAAATCAATATTGTTCTAAAAATAATATTAAATATTAAATCAAATGGGATGTGTTACTTCTAAAAGAAAGCCTATAACATAGCTAGCCAAACCTGCTTTAAACTAAAATTCATAGCAAATTGAAGACAATGATGAATAAAACTATCATAGTGTTCCTTAAAGTCCTATTTTAAAAAAAATTGTCCGTATTGGTGCATTAACACATGATGAAATTAAGGATTTTGTAATAGAAAGAAGAAACTAAACTAATAGTGCAAGACGAATTGAATAAATGAAAAAAAGTGGCCGATATACGCCAACTATTATCTATAAATATAGATAACAATCAGCCTCTTTTAGAAGTCCTTCAAAGGCTACTAATGCATCACCAATCTAACCTACTTAAAAATGAAATTAATCATATTTATTCTGTAGTAGATGCTGATTTATTTTCATAATTATTGTTCTAAAAAGAAGAAAATATCTATTTTTTAAGATTTTACATAAAGGTATTTATGAGTCGGTTCAAAATTCATTTATATTATTGTAAAAGTATTTTATTTGAAAAAGTATTCTCTAATTTGTATGATCATTACTAAGGTATTATCTTTAATTAATTAATTGAATTAATTTAAATTTGAGTCTCTTAATAGATGATGTAATTTTAATAAAATCAGAATAATAAATTATATTAAACTAAGTATCCAAAATATAAAATAATATATCATTATTATTTTTTAATAATTTATAACCATAATTAATTTAGTTCTTTATAATCAAATAAGATTTTTTTGAGTAATAAAAATAATAAAATTATTATCTTTACTATTGATAAAATGAAGATAATAAAAATTTTAGTTTTAAATAAATCTTTATAAATTAATTTCCTTTCATATTTCTACTTTTTTTTCAGATTGAGTACTAATTATTTATTAATTCTCTTAATCCAGAAAATCTTATATTAATGGAGATTCATTCTAAATATATTTATGATACTCATTAGTTTAGTATGAAAAGAAAAACTATATAATTTGTTAATAAATAGCAGAAGTTATTCTTACTCTTGTTACTTATTATCGTTTCTTAAAATAAAAAAAAAGTTTACTACTAAAAAATTTAAAAATGCATCAAATTTAGGAAAATGTTGTTTTAAAACAAACTCAAAAAAATTAAAAGCATCATAATAATTAATAATTTCTTCACCATCTTATGAAAATTTATTTACTTATAACCATAAATCAGCCATGCATTGCAATTATTATTCGTTATAATCTTAAGACTTATTATATTTAATAATTTTTTGTATATTTTCATCATTTCCCAGTTTAAAAGCACTTTCTAGTATTTGTTTCAAAGTTATATCATTCAGTGAAAATCTTTGTGAAGCAATTTATAAGGAACTCAAAAAAAATATGTAAAATTCTTACATTATTTTAATGTAAAAGAAAAGTACAAATTATAAATATATAATCCTTTGGATGTATATTGTTTTTATAAATCTATGATCTTATCTATTCTTTCAATTCAATTGATATTGGTTCAGATACATTTTGCCTTTTAATTTCCTCATTATATGTTTCTAAATTTTCAAACTGTTATTAATCTTCTGAGTCCTGATAAGCAAAGGTATTGCTTTTTTAAGAACCAATTAAAGAATTTATTTAGTATAAATCAAATTAGATGCTTGGTTGCTGTAATATATTTTTCATAAAAAATATTAGGATTTTATTGGAATATAAAAATTTTTAAGGAACAATTACTATTATACCACTTAAATATTTAGGGTTAAATTTTGAATAATTTAATGAAAATATGATCATAAATAATTGCTCATTATTTATGATTAGGAAACAGATAAAAATAAAAACCATCTATAAAAGTGGGCCATGCTCCAGTTTTATAATCATACTTTGCTAAATCTTCACCAATCTAAACACAAAATTCCCAAACCATATAATAAGTGTCTCTTGATATTGGCTTTACATCCTTCTCTTCAATAGTCTAAATTTATTATTATTCTTACACCAACATAATTCATAAACTTTTTCATAATTGGAAATGTATTTGTTAAAAGGGTATCCCACAATCCTTAGGCAATAGGTAGATCAATATCTTTTCTATTTTTCTTTTTAGCAAAATCAAAACAATATTTATAGACTGACTTTAAAATTTCTCTATTATTATTAAGTTCATCTCTTAGACGTTTTAATTCTCTTTTCAGATCAGATGTAGATTATATTTTCAATAATGTAAATCCATAAAGAAAGTCAAATTTAGTATAATTGCCCTTAAATGTTAAATTATGATTTTACCATCGTCTCACTTTTAAAGATATAGGAAATATAAAGGATTACAGGGTCCATTATATCAATTCCTAAATCTTTACAAAATGATATAATTCCATTTTCATCAATTACAGATTGTCCATTAGTAATATATTTTTTGAATTGTTCTTCTATCTTAGATCCTGATTTTTGAAGGTCTAAAACATAATTCGTAGCCTTTTATAAATTCCATTAAGCTTAATTGAGAATTTCTCTTGCCTATAAATCGTTTAATTAGAACACTCTTTGAAGGTCCTTGATCATGATGTCTTCTTAAGCTTAATTTGGTTTTGGTTTCATTATTTTAATAAAATAAATAATCAATATTTATAATAATTTGTTTTTGAATGTATTCTAGGTTCAATAGAAGTATGAATGATTTCTTCTCTAGATTTACAAACATCAAGAGTATGTTTTCTCTGAAATAATTCTAAATTGAAAACAGGTTATTAATTTTTAACTTTCCTTTTTTTAAGTATAAAATCATTTAATTATTTACATTAATTTTATTATTCATATTGCTTTATATGATGAAATAAGTACTTTTATTTTATAAAATTAGTCAGAAATAAGCAATTACTAATCATTTAGTTAGTCTTATAATTATTAGATTAAAATTTATTGCTTTTAAGTATCTAAATTAGATGTTATATTGAATCTCTTAATACATCTTTTTAAATTTTAATTTTCTTTTTTCAATTCAGCATTTTCTGCCTCAATTTCTTGAACTTTTGTATCCCTATTATTATTTACCAATATACTTGTTATTCTAATTTTTATTTAAGATTCTTTTCAGATTCTTATAAACTAGAAATTAAACTGGAATGATCTGGTATCTTTGGCATTAAAAGAAGATTATAATCAAAATCATCTTATTGTATTTTTAAACCTAATTCTGCAGTATACAATTGTAGACATACAAAGTAACTACATAATCGATTAGCTTTTTATCTTAGTTTATGTGATAATGTTTTAAGTGATGATAATTCTTATTCAAATTCAAATAATAAGTCTTAATCTACAATATTTTATTTTTGAGGTAATTATTAATGTTTTTCTAGTTCTTTTAATTTAAGCATTAACTATTAGATGATAGTTTCTTGTTCAAGAATAACATCATTATTTGAATCAACTTGTTTTTGAAGAGCAACGATTTTAATTTTCTAATTAATTACTTCAGATTTATCTTTAAGGATGGATTCCTCTAATTCTTCTTAAACCTATGAAATCCATATTTTTATCGAATCTAAGAGCTAACTCTTTTTTAGTGTAAATTTGTTTTCTAAAAGAATTTTATTTGATGCTTTGATTCTATATGCTTCTTGCATTTTTTAATCAATTTAATTCATGAGTAAAAAAGCAGAAAAAAAAAAATAAGAAAAAATAATACAAGATAGAACGTTTGGACTTAAAAATAAAAATAAAAGCAAACAAGTTTAAAAGTATGTGAGATAAAAATAATTTTTAGTTTCTGTAAAGGAGTTGCTTAATAAGTGAAATTTAATGGTGTGTCAATGTCAAAATTGGAAGCAGAAGAGTATGAAAAGAAGAAAATAGAAAGATAATTGGAAGAAGATGAAAAATTGATTCAATCTTTGTATAAAACTGTTGAACAAGCAAGAGAAGAGGAATCTGAAGAAGAAGTTGATCCAAAATCAATATTATGCGAATATTATAAATAAGGTAAAATATAAATACATAGATAGGTCTTTGTTAAAAAGGTAAGAAATGCATGTACTCTCATGATATGAGTCTAGAATAAAAGACAGCAATACTTGATTTATATACTGATTAAAGATAATAATTAACAGATGAATGGGATACTTGTTAAACTTGGGATGAAAAAACTTTAAAAGATGTAATTGAAGCCAATGAAAAAACATATAAAAGGTATTTAACATTATTTCTATTAAATAGTTAAATTCCATCAGCAAAAGTTTGTGATTTTTTTTTGGATGCTTTAGAAAAAGGTAAATATGGGTGGAGATGGGTTTGTCCTAATGGTATGACATGTCATTATAAACATTGTTTACCTTAAGGATATGTTTTTAGAAGAAAAGAAGAAATGAAATAATAATTTGATGGTGATATTGAAGAAGAAATAGATGAGGAAATTTAAAAATTATAAAAAGGAGGAACAAAAATTACAAAGGATGTTTTTGAAAAATGGAAAATAGAAAGAGCTGAAAAAAAAAAACAAGAGGCTGAAAAATAAAAGTTAGAAGAATAAAAGAAAAAAGGTTTAAATTAATAATTTAATCTTAGGTGCTAAATAAACAGCAGGAAGTGCTTAAATGACAGGAAGAGCTCTATTTGTTTATGATCCAACTCTATTCGTAGATGATGATGAAGCTGAAAATAAATATGAAAGAGAAGAGTAAATTGATGAGAATGAAGAAGAAGAAGAATAGGATGATAATAAACAACAATTATATGAAGGGGATGATAATCAACAATAAGATGAAGATGAAGAAGATTAATAATTTAAGTAACAATAATCATGATAAATGTTAATTGTAGTATATCATTTCTACATTATTATCATCAATCCATATTTATTTATGATTGTCTTCTATAAAAGAATTTATATATATATATATATATTCACTTCTATAATAAAGATAAATTCATATATTAAATCAAAGCAATATTAAAAATTAATGATGTCTCATCGTTCATCACTAATACTATCTTCTTTCACATCAAATCCAATACATTATTATTATTATAAAGGTTAAGAGTTATTTAAAATAATATCACTAGCCATAAGTTCATCATGAGTAACGAATGATTCTTATACTTCTTACTATTCAAATTGTTATTTTGTTTGATTTAATATCAAAGTGATATTATCAGGATGTTTATAACTTGACTTTTAATTTTACTTCTTTTTCTTAGTACATTAAAGTAACACTCTACCTGTTTAGAACAAAATATTAGGTTAAGTTCCTTCTTCAGGTATTTTAAGTAAATCTTAATCTTAGGCTAGAACAAGAGTTCCAAATTTACTTTTATTATCTTGAATTCTAATTATGTAATCTGGAGTTTCAGGAGTATGTTTATTAGTTGGAATTAATTTAAGAGTAGCATGTGCTCTTGATACAGATATGTCTCTTAATTTAATATCACAATCTGGAATTCTACCCTATTAAATTATTATATATTATTATACAATTTTTAATTCTGTTTTTTCTCCAATCTCAACTACATATATCATAGCCTCTTTTGTTTTATCATCATTTGTAATCTTAAAAGTTATATAAGATGACTTTGGTTTAGGCAATTTAAGAACTGAATATGTTTTATCTTAAAATTTATAGGTGTTTCTAAATTTAGCTTTGCAAATTTCACAATCTAATCTCTTCCAAAGATACTATATAGAATGTTCTCCTTATTTAATTTTTAATTGTATTCCAACCCATCTTTAAAGACATTCCAAATGTATATATTTAACTGAACCTCCACATTTACATGGTCTTATCAAAGGATTTGTTTCAGTGGCTCTACTTGAAAAGCAAATCCTACAATTAAACTCATCATTAATAGTTTAAATTTCATCTTCTTATTCATCTTAATATTATGTAGCCTCATCACATGGTGCCATAAATGCATATTCCAATAATTACATTTTCACTCTTCCTAATTTTATAACATCTCCAATTTTTAAATCTCTATGCTAATTATATAATTTAATTTATACATCTATGGATGAAAATTGATTGCTTTCTAATTTCAATACTGCCCATAATTTATGATCTTATTATTGAGATATACAGTTAATATAAGCATCCTATTCATTCAAAGTAATATTAACTAATTCAATCTAATTTCTAGCCCATTCACTTTATGTCATTGCCACTAGTTCTTTATCCACTGTTGCTATTTAAGCTAAACTTATAATTCCAAATAACATACATGAAAAATCAACTTCAATTTCTTTTACAAAATATGAATTGGAGTCAAAGTCAAATAAATTATGTTAATTCTTAGGCCAAATTACTGCTACAATATGAACTCTATTTTAATGACATTTTTCTACTTATAAGGCATTAAAGTTCTATTTATCTCGTATCTTTTTATTTTTGTTGATGTGCAAGCTCCCATTAAATAATTTATTTTTATTTATTAAATATTATTTTGTTAATTAATATGAATCTAATTAATAATGACGGATTAAAATGGATTTTCTAAAATAGTTTTAAATTTATCTCATCCAAGTAATAATTTTATATTTAATTCTTCATCTTTTAATTTTCCTCTTTTATTAAACAAAATAAAATATAAGAACAATTTTGTATTAAACTAGAGTAAACATATAATTAATTATCTTAATCTTGTTTTAATAAAATATACTATTAATTAATTTATATGAAAATTTGTATTAATCATTAACAAATTAGTCTCAAATATAAAATTATTATAAGAGATCTATATATATATATATATATTAAAATAATCAAAAAATATAGATTATTTATTAATAAATGTAATAGTAGTACATTATCATTAATTAAGGCGCTTTTTTTGTAATTAATTTTATTTAATTGTAATTCTATAAAAATTGTTTCATATCATGATTAAATTACTTAAATAACTCTAAATTTGATTAGATAATTTAATGAAATTTTGGAACAAGTTGATAATTAATATTATAAATTTCTATTTTAGAAATAATTTAAAGAAATAATAAATTAAATTTTTAAAATGTCATTAGAACGAGTGAGAAAGAGTCTCCAAATAATTTTTGGAATTGATAAGAATACAACGACAAGAGAACCATTAATTCAAGAAAGAATTTCATAAGAATTTGTGTATGATTCAAAAATGAATGAATAACATTAAAATAAATTTTCAATGATGAATCAATAAAGGAAGAGATCTAATTAATATTATTATGCATTAGATAGATTAAGGTCATTTTATTAAAATAAAGCCTAATCTAATGAATATGATCAAATCCCTGTCATAACTTATCTTGGAGATAATACAGAAGTAATTGGGTTATTTCAAGTAATAGAAAAAATTAAATTTGAATATGAATCATGCTAGATGGAATTAGTAAGATCGATTTCATGATAATGACAGTTCCAATTATAGTTCATAATTTGGTGAAAAATTAGTTCAAAAAAGTTCTAATATATTAGCAAGTGTGAGCAAACAAGATTTTAAGCCTTACTATGTTTAAGACTAATATAGAGATAACTTTAATAACTAATAATCATAGATATCTTAATAGCAATAAAATAATCTAATGTAGTCTTAAAAACAATTAACAATTTTTGGCGGAAACAAGTCCAAAGTTCATTTTCTCAGGGAAGATAAATAATCAAGATCTAAAAGCAATAAACCTGAATCTAATTTTAAAAGATTAGGGGGAATATTAGAGGATGATTTTTTGATACCTTCTTTTTTAAAAGACCAAGATGTTCAAGATAAAAAGTTTAAAGAAAAAGAGGTTTAATCTAATAATAAGTTTATAGGAATATAACCATTTAATTTTTCCACTTTAAGTAAAATTAATAATAAAAATGAATCTTAATTATAATTAAATGGATCTCATTAATAAATAGATTTCAATGAAATTTATTCTTAAAATCAAGCAGATAAATTAAGAGAAAATGATTAAATTAATAAAAAACCAATAACACATAAAAAATCAAATTAAATTAAATTTTGGGAAAAAGATCCAATTAATGAAAAAAATCCTTTCATTATTTAAACTGATGAGACACCTTTATGGGAAAACAGATTTAAACCACCTTGGCAAATTTAAAATCCTATGTAAAATGTTTACAATGAATTTGAACCTAATGAAAAATCAGAAAATCTATCTATAAAAGATTATGAATAATAATAAGAAAATCAAGAATAAAAATCATCAGCTTCTTTTGAATAATAAGTTAATATATCTTTTGGTGGTTGTGATATTAATTTATCAGATGACCATAAAGATGAAAATATTGAAAGAAAACCTCCAAAAAATTAATTAATTTTTGATACTTTTGTAAATCCAAAATTTAATTTTGAAAATCATACTCCTTTATCAAAAGAAAAAGCTATAAATATATAAAAATAATTAGATTTTTCAGAATAAACACCTGTATTTAAATAACAAGAGGAAAATAAATAAACTTTTAATTAATAAAAAAATAATAAAATTATAGGAGATCCATAAATTACTATAATGAATAGAAATGGTAAAGAATAAATTTAAAAAAATCTTGCAACTGAATTTAATGCTTAAGAAAATTAATCTCCAAAAAGATCTAAAAATAACTAATTATAAGTAATTCAATGATCATGTGTTTTGAATGTAAATAGTAAATTTGTATTATTACTATCAGTATGATGTGATCTTTTCTTTTGTTACCACTATTCTAATTCTATAATTCTTTAATCTTTTCTAGATATTTATCTCTCAAATTATCTTTTCAATCTGGTTTCTTATTCTTCCAATTCAAATTCTATAAATGAATTTAAATTATACACATTTATTATTTTTAATCGTTTAACTACTTTTAGAGAATATCTTAAAATAGTTTTTATTATTCTTTTAGATCAATTTCTAATTTTTGTACTTAGGACTCTAAAGATTAGATTTAGGTTTTATCATTTTAAGAGGCTCTGAATTTATTTGAAGATTTACTTTCTTAATTGATTGTTTTCTTCTTCTAATATTTTTATTTTATTTCCATAATGCTATTCAATAGTTTTAAGTCTTTCTACAATGTTGATTGAAGTACTAGCTTAATTTGGGGATGGCACTCCTGAAATTATTGGACTAGCTCCAACAATAGATTATTGTTAGGGCTAAAATTTTTCAAAAGTTTAGGTTTTTATCTATTGTCTACTTCTACATATTCTATAGGAATTAGTATTTTCTATAATATCAGACTTTTTTAATTAAGAATTTTCCATATTTGAAACAGGTGTATATTGATAATTGTTTAGAATCTCCTCCTATTATTTTGTAGGTTCATCTGAATTTATAATTGATTTCGGTTGTGTTCTTTTAATTGTGTTGATATTTGATTCTTTAAGTAATTTTAGAATAGTTTCATCAAATTTGTTTAGATATGTATTCACCTATTCTAACTTCTTCATTTAAATTATTAATATATATTTAATTTATATCATTTTTCATTATTTGCTTCTTGAGTAGGTTTTTCACTCTTTGTTTAATCACCTTTCTTCCAATAATTATCTAATGCCTATTCCATTTTGGATTTTCCTAAATAATACATTATGTGATATACTTTGTATATCCTTGGCTATTTTATAAATATCTGAATTAATTCTACTCCTTCTTCCAGTTTTGATGAACCTTTATTTCTTTTCACCCTATACAATAAAAATATGATATACATTCTAATTATTTTATTTGAAACCAAATCTTCTTCTTCGCTAAGTATTTTGTTATTAAAATCCTTATCCTTATTAATTTCCTCTTCCTCTTTAAGATCTTCCTCCTCTGTCTTAATTTTAGTTTCTTGATCTATTATAACCTGAATTTTAATTTTAATTTGATGATCTCCTAAACTATTTATTTTTAAAGTTTCCTTATTGATTATTAGATCTATTATTATTATTTCTATTCTCTCTAAAATTTTAATTTCCACCTCTAAATGGTCTTCTATTATTCTATCCACCTCTTCTATTCCTAGTACCACTAAATTATCTCATATAAATAAATTATACAAATCAATATATTAATTTTAAAAACTATATATATACATCAGTAATATCAGATTCGTAATAAAAACATATGAAAATAACATAAATTCATAAAAATCATAATTTAAATTTCTCCAATTGTTCTACCATTTATTATGTATCAATAACAGAAGATTTAAGCTTCATGATCCAATAACTTAAAAAACTTTGTAATTCACATTTCATTTGACAAAATCTTTATTCATAATTTTCATCTGGTTTTAACTTTTTCTTTTGAGTTTCATTTATTAATTCTTAAGGTTAAGCTTTTTTTATTATCTTAATTTCTAAAGTTTATTTTGCTGTTTATTCTACACTTGGCTAAACTTATGCCTGAGATGGAGTTGTATTTTAAGTATTTTTATCACTTTATTGAGTTTGAGAACTCTGTTGTTATTCAAAATCATTTTTTAATTATGAATTAGAAGTGTTAGAAGTTATTTATTTATCTAGGTTATCTACTTTATTATTCTCATCAATTATTTATAATAATTATCTCATTTTTTCACTTTCTGTTCTAAATACCATCTAAGGTTTCCCTTTTCTACAATAAGCTCTCTTTATTGCTTTTTTTGGTTAATTCTAATCCATTTTATTTTAAAGGTTGTAATTAAACTACTTAAATAATATTTCATGAATTTCCAAATGTTTAAATTGAAAAGGTAAAATATAACAATGCTTTGTAAATTGCCTTTATTTAATATTCTAAAATATATATATTAATTGCCTTTTATTTTTGGATTATATATAAAATTAATAAACATTGATTAATAAACTATTAATAAGAATAATCAAAAAATCATTCAATTTTTAAAATAAACATATTTCAATTTATAATCTATCTGGGTGTGTTTAGGATATTCAATTTAGCCAAAAGGAGATTTTTTTAATTTGCATCAACATGCACAGTTGTATTTCTATTTGCCAATAAACTCACAATTAAATTTCTAATATTTAATAATATTATACTTGCTAGATTGATTTACATGAAATGTATTTGCTTTCAAAGACTTCTTTTAATTAAATCTTTATTTTTAGAATTAAACATTTCTTGTTGTTTTTGGCGATTCAATATTTTTTTAAAGACTTCTTAAAGAAGTGTTACCTGTAATTACTTTAGCTTTTATTTTGTTTTTTAATTCAAGTTTTACTTTAACTCTTTATTTTACTATTATAATAATTATTTTTACATAAACTTAAAATCTGAGCATGTGCAATTTTGGATGTCTTATTTCTTGAAGTCAAAGAATTTTAGTTAAGATTTTATTTTCTAAATGAATCACTCTTATCTTATTATAATTTATAATTTCTTTATGTTTAACTGGTGGCTTTTTATTAATTTATAATTAGATTAATTTTTTTAAGTTTTTCTTAAGTTATGAATTATTATAATCTTTATTCATTAAGAATGAATTGTTAATTATTGATTATTTATTATAAATTTGGTTGTTTTCTCTTTGGATTAGAATTTAAAGCATTAATAATTTCATTTATTTCACTTTATTAAGTTTATGTTCTTTATTTTAATTCATTTTTTAATTCATCTAAAACATTTCCAACAACTTAACCAGATTCTTGAGATGATTTTGGAGTACTTTAGGATTCTTAAGGTTATTCTCCCACAATACCTTTTGGAGTTCTATTTGGATTTTATTGGTTTTCTTATTCAATTATATATTGTATTTTATAGTATTCTAATTTTCTTCTTTGATTGTAAAATTCGTTTAATATGGAAACAATTTATTCATTAACGGCCCACCTTGGAATATCCTTATGGAACTGCAAATGTAATGAATTATGAATACTCTATAAAATTCAACTAAAATCTTAATTTTCTTTGGATATGATGATAATGTGTAGAGTTTTTTACAATGTTCTACTTCTTCATCATATTATTCTAAATCCTTTGTAAAATTGAAAATATTATACTTTAAACCAAATTGTAGCCTTAGTTGGTTAGTTGAGTATCAAATCATTAACTACTTTGGTGTAATAATAGTTTTAAGATTCAGCATATTTATTATAAAGGGAAGAAGTGATTCTTTATGATAGAGAGACTTTCTTAAATAATAATCTAACAATACTCTACCTTTCATTCTAATTTTATCTTGATTCTTTCCATACATAACCTTTCTATTTGGAATACAAATAAGGCATTCCATTTTGAAAATAAAATAAATTTAAATTAAGTTAAATAACTTGCATAAAACAATAATATTAAATGAATTAATAACTAAACTTAATTTATAATAAAATAATTAATAGAAGATAGTATTATAAGTAAGATATGGCTGAAATCTAAAAAAGTTTAAATATATGTAAAATAAATTGATTTATATAATTATGATTATAATTTTGATTTTAGATTTGGAATTTATATATTTATCCTTATATCACTTAAGGTATTTAATAATAATTAATAGATTTCCATTTTATTAATTTATGAAATAATCTCATTAGAATAGAATGCTCTATAAATTACTTTAGTCAAAGTCATTACTTAATATGTTTACACCTGAAAAGGATTCAATTATTACAGATCCAAATAGAGTTAAGGAGATATGTCTTAAACATAATTTGAAAGTATTAATACTATAAAAATAGGTTAGATTTTATTAAAANATTTAAAGCATTAATAATTTCATTTATTTCACTTTATTAAGTTTATGTTCTTTATTTTAATTCATTTTTTAATTCATCTAAAACATTTCCAACAACTTAACCAGATTCTTGAGATGATTTTGGAGTACTTTAGGATTCTTAAGGTTATTCTCCCACAATACCTTTTGGAGTTCTATTTGGATTTTATTGGTTTTCTTATTCAATTATATATTGTATTTTATAGTATTCTAATTTTCTTCTTTGATTGTAAAATTCGTTTAATATGGAAACAATTTATTCATTAACGGCCCACCTTGGAATATCCTTATGGAACTGCAAATGTAATGAATTATGAATACTCTATAAAATTCAACTAAAATCTTAATTTTCTTTGGATATGATGATAATGTGTAGAGTTTTTTACAATGTTCTACTTCTTCATCATATTATTCTAAATCCTTTGTAAAATTGAAAATATTATACTTTAAACCAAATTGTAGCCTTAGTTGGTTAGTTGAGTATCAAATCATTAACTACTTTGGTGTAATAATAGTTTTAAGATTCAGCATATTTATTATAAAGGGAAGAAGTGATTCTTTATGATAGAGAGACTTTCTTAAATAATAATCTAACAATACTCTACCTTTCATTCTAATTTTATCTTGATTCTTTCCATACATAACCTTTCTATTTGGAATACAAATAAGGCATTCCATTTTGAAAATAAAATAAATTTAAATTAAGTTAAATAACTTGCATAAAACAATAATATTAAATGAATTAATAACTAAACTTAATTTATAATAAAATAATTAATAGAAGATAGTATTATAAGTAAGATATGGCTGAAATCTAAAAAAGTTTAAATATATGTAAAATAAATTGATTTATATAATTATGATTATAATTTTGATTTTAGATTTGGAATTTATATATTTATCCTTATATCACTTAAGGTATTTAATAATAATTAATAGATTTCCATTTTATTAATTTATGAAATAATCTCATTAGAATAGAATGCTCTATAAATTACTTTAGTCAAAGTCATTACTTAATATGTTTACACCTGAAAAGGATTCAATTATTACAGATCCAAATAGAGTTAAGGAGATATGTCTTAAACATAATTTGAAAGTATTAATACTATAAAAATAGGTTAGATTTTATTAAAATAATTAAAAAGTATGCGAGATATGTGCAATTGAGTTTGCATATGATCATTAATAATTACATCATATAAAGAGTGGAATTATTTTACATCCGTTTTAAGAATTGTAGAGCAGAGTGATAAAAACTGAACATTTTTAATTGAATGAATAAATAAAGGAATTTAAAAATTGTAAATAAAAATAAAACATCTTAATAAAACTAACTAATTAATTAGAATCAGTTTAGAATAAGGTTTAATAAGTATATGAGTAGGTTAAAGTAATTAATACATAAGGAATGATAGAATTTTAAGAATAATAAATTAAATAAATTTGTTAAAAGCTAGAATATACATTATTACAATTAACACGAAATAGATAATCAATATCAAATTAGAATTATAAATAATTATAAATTAAATTACATAATTATTAAGATGATATTTAATTAATGAAAAAGGATATTGAAGATAATTTAGATAGTATTATTAATAGAATGGAGATTAATCAATTAAGTGAAATAATTCATAAATATCAAATGAAATTAGACTTTTACTTAAGTGAATGTAATTAGACTAGATAATTATAATAATAAATATTGAATATGTTTTATATAGAATTATAGAGATTGAGTAAATAATGAATATAAATAATATTATATGAATCATCAGAGATAATTTTAAAGTTTGAGAAGTGTCCCAGATGTCCAAGAAACTGATGAAATGGAAGATAGAATATTTTATTAGATGGTAGGAACAACTTAATAGGAATCTAATATTCTTCCAAATAGTGATCGTACATCTATAGAGGAATGGATGAAATTATAATAAAGTTTAAAAGAAGAATAATACAAAATGAGATAAGAAGATGAACTTAAAAATAAATTGTTAGATGAATTAAAACATGAAAGCAGGAATTATTATTAAACTTATATTAATGTATTAGTTGAGAGTAATATGAATTAAGAGTAAAAGACATTAGAGGAATCCACATCTAGATTATTTAGAAATGCAGAAACTAATGTAAAATTGATATTTGAAAAATTATCAAATACAAAAGTATGTTCTGCAATATTCCAACATCATAATAATACAAATCGAACTACTAAAATTGAGACTCTTATACGAACATTCATTAATAGTATATATGATAATATAGCATGTGGATCTATGTGGAAATAACCAATTTTGAAATTAATAAGTGAAATAATTACCACAGAAGTCGATAGATAAGAATTTCCTGATTTCTTATGGGATCGAGAAGAAACTTTAACACAATTTATAATGAAAGAATTTACAAAAAGACCTGAAAATGTCAAATATACTAAAGTTATATTTAAAAACTCTTTGATTCAAATAACTAAAGTAGATAAATTTTTGGATTTAGACAAAAGGAAAATAGCAGACAAATTACGTGATATTAAGAAGGAATAAGAAAAAAAATAGAAGGATGAAAAACAAATATTGACTTCATCTGCTTTTGCTGTTAAATAAGTACCCATTATACAAAATTCATTACATAAATCAGTACCTTAAAGACAAATACCTATTATAGTTCCAATCAGAAATATAGAGACACCCTAATAAAATATGACAGTTTATTATGCAAATTTAATTAAATAATATGATCAATCAAAAAAAGTAAATACTAAACATTCAAGAAGAAATTAAAACTAATTACTTGAATTTTCATTAAAAGTTCTTTAATTTGGAGAAGAATAAAAATAAGCTAAATTCTTAACTATGGAAAGGAGAAGTGTTGCACCTCTTTAAGAATCTCATTCAGAATCACCTATTAGAAAATTATCTGAGGTTTATAGTCATAATAGTAAATCTGATCAATATATGAATTAAGAAATTAATAGTGTATTGATTGCTTGTATAGATAAATTTAAATAGCTTGTAAATAACATTATGGTGAATATTTTTAAGAATATTTACCTAATACCTTAAGGTATTCGTATTATTTGTAAAATGATTCAAATTACAATCTTAAAAAAGTTTCCAGATGCCACTGAATAATAAATCTAAGATAATATTTTTAGTTTCTTATTTAATGTTTGGTTAATACCTTAATTAGTATTTCCAAAATAATATTCATCTTTTAAATATATTCGTGAAGATCATGAAAATACAGTTTAGTAAATTCATAATATAATTAAAAAAATGATTAAAAATCAAAAATATAATGATGATCCTTAATACACTAGATTAAATTAATATATGCAAGATTTGTAACCATCCCTTAAAGAATATCTTCAAGAAATTTTAAATTTGTGTCCTGATTCTGTTAATGCAATAATTAATGATACTAATAAAATAGATGGAATTTAATCCAATTGTGTTTGTATAGGATTAGATGAAATTAAAGATCTTTGTTTATTATTATAAGATATGAAAACATTCAAAACTGAATCTACAGATCTTTAAAAAGTTATTAATTAACTTGTTACTCTAGCTACAAGAACTTTAGAAATAGATAAACATGAAAATATATTTAGATAATAATCAAATGTATAAGTTGAATAATAAATTTATGCATTAATCTTAAATTTTTCTATTCAAAACAATATTGTGTATTAAGAGTAAGTATAACCTTTGAAAAAGATAAAAGATGAAAAAGTGAGAAATCAAAGGAAACTTATTAATGCTATAATGAAGTGTTTAATTGAAATTTAAGATTTAGCTACTTCCACATCTGGAAATTAAGAAGAAACCAGTTTAAAAAGGGTTCTTACTAATTTTGTTGATGTAATTATTTATGTTATATCTTAAGAAATACACTTATTTAGATGATAAAAAAACTGTATTCTAAATTAAATATGTATTAGAATAACTAAAATTATTAAATAAAGAAGATTTGTAAAGTAATTTAAGAAATATTTATTAAATTTTGAATTAGGAATTTTAAGAACGTTCAATGAATTTGAATGAACATATTCAATAAACTAAATATCAATTATTGAGTGCAAAGTATAATATTAAGAAAAATTATGAAGTTATGAGAGAGTCTTTTGAATAATTAAGTCAAGAAAAACGTTAAAAATAATTATATGATTTTATTGAAAAAACACCTCTAACATTATGTGTCACATCTCCAAAAACTAGAGAAGGATTATTTTCTATTAAAGCTATGAAATTAAGAAATAATAATAATAATGAATCCTTGGATGAAAATTAAATTTGGGTTGAATAATAGAGTGAATGCATTCACAATGCTATTAATCTAGAATTTATTAAATAAATTGTTGGAGGAGCCAGTCCAAATGATTAGAAAAAAAACTCTGAATTCTCAAATTCTCATTGTTCTGATATCAAATAATTTATTGAAAACTTTTCATCACTACAAGAAGTAAAAGATGCAGTCATTTCTGGAGAAGATAAGGCTGGAGTAAAAAATGCTTATTTTGACTTTATATAAGCTTTAGCTGCTTTTTTAAAAGGAAAGAATGAAATGAAAATAGATGAAATCTAAATGATGGATATGCTTGAAAAATATGTCAGTAAACGTGTTTATGATAAGTAATAATTTAAGTATTATTGAGTTAGAGTCTATCCAAAAGAGAGAACTTATAAAGATGCTGGTCTTTATTTTAGAATTAAATCTTTAGAATGGGTAAACTATGACCATTTAGAAATAATTAAATAAAATAGGGTTGATGAAATGTGGGATTTAGCAGTTGAAGGTATTCAATATACTTTAATAATTTATAGCTTTATTGAACATCGATAATTGCAAAACAGCTGTAAATAAATTAGAAGCCATGATATAATGTTCAAAAATAATGAATGATGTCCTCAAATTAACTTCATTAAAAGAGGAAGCTACATCTGCAGATACTGTATTACCTATCCTTATTTACATTTTGATTAAAGCAGCTCCATAAAGATTGCATAGCAACTTAAACTTTGTTTCATTATTTTTAGACAAAAGCAAAACTGTAAGTTAATAAGGATATTGTTTAACCTAATTATAATTGGCAATACAATGGTTAGAAGAAGTAGATCATAAACTATTAAAAATGGATTAGTTGAACTTTCTTGAGTAATTTTAATTTTAATTTTATAGAACAATAACAAAAGCAGAAATTAGATATGGTATTCATTATTTAAAGAGAAGAAATAGATCAGAGAGAATTTCAATGCCTTTAAATAAAATTTAAGCACTTATCAATTGATTTAAATGTCAAATTATAGTAATTTAACTTAACAAATTAAAATTAAAAGCATAACTCTAATTTATACATTTTAGAAATTTTAATTATACAAATAATATATTTTAAATAAGCAGAAATTATTCTATATTTTTAGATATAAAGTTTCCTTTTTAATCTCATCTAATTTAAATTATGAAATTATTCATTAGATAATTTAATTTTTTTTTAATTAAATATCTTTATAAAATAATGAAATTTATATTTAATATAAATATAATTAATATATATATATATAAAATATTATTGTGTATTTTTTATCAATCTTATTCAGATAATTAAATTAAGTATCCTTGATCCCATTTACCCTTTATAACTTATCCATCAGCAGTTGTAAATTCTCCTTCTCCATGCACTATTCCATCTTCAAATTCTCCAAAATATTGTTCTTGATTTGTAAGAATGAGTGTTCCTTGTCCATGCATTTTTCCTTATAAAAAGTTACCTAAATTAATTAATATCAATATATGTACCTTCATATGAAGCCCATCCATTCTCAATAGTTGTCAAATTATTCCAATCAATTGGCTCAGTTAATTCTTCAGCTTGTAGATTTGTTAATCTTCCTTGACCTTCATAAAGATTATCTTTCCAATAACCTGCATAAACTTATTTTTCTTCAGAATCTGTTAAAATACCAAATCCGTTTCTAGTTTAAGGTGGATATCCTTATCCTCTATAAATAAATCCATCTTCATATTGCAATGCCAATTCTAAAAATAATTATATTTAAAATACCTTGAATATTTTCATCTTCTTCTTCACCTTAAGGTTCATTGGCTTAATTAGTTTAGCGACCTTTGCTACCAGAATCATCCATCTGATATTTTTTGATGATTTCTTCTGTACTTTTGAGAGCATTCTAATATCTCTTATCTAATTCTTCATCTGGTTGAGATTATGGAACTTATGGCTTTTTCTATGTAGTAGGTGATTTTTGCTTTTGTTAGCTAGCCTATGGATGATAGCCAGGCTATGGATGATTAGCAACTAAAAAAATCAAATAAGAACTTACTCTTATTTGGCTGTTATGGTTTTTAAACTTAAGGTTGCTAAGCATTTCTAATTCTCTCTTAAACTTATTCTAGTGTCAGATACTATCTTTAAGGTGATTAAAATTAAGGAGCTGGTGATCTTGGTACTTATTGAGATTGCATAAGTCCATTTCTTGATGGTGATTATGCTACTTTCAATCTATCTGGAGATTGAAATGTTCTTTAGGGTGAAGCCATAATTTAACTCATCATTGGTTGAGGTTGGTATGTTTGAGGCATGATAGTCTAAGTATATGGATTGTAAGGATAAGATGGAGCAAATCTAAGACCAGAGTAATTATATTGTGGAGGATTGTAAACAGGTGGTCTCCATTACTATGGTACTTATGGAAGTACACCATAGGGAGGATATCTGTATTATGGATATACTTAAGGATAAAAGTGCTAAGGATAATACANCATCAGCAGTTGTAAATTCTCCTTCTCCATGCACTATTCCATCTTCAAATTCTCCAAAATATTGTTCTTGATTTGTAAGAATGAGTGTTCCTTGTCCATGCATTTTTCCTTATAAAAAGTTACCTAAATTAATTAATATCAATATATGTACCTTCATATGAAGCCCATCCATTCTCAATAGTTGTCAAATTATTCCAATCAATTGGCTCAGTTAATTCTTCAGCTTGTAGATTTGTTAATCTTCCTTGACCTTCATAAAGATTATCTTTCCAATAACCTGCATAAACTTATTTTTCTTCAGAATCTGTTAAAATACCAAATCCGTTTCTAGTTTAAGGTGGATATCCTTATCCTCTATAAATAAATCCATCTTCATATTGCAATGCCAATTCTAAAAATAATTATATTTAAAATACCTTGAATATTTTCATCTTCTTCTTCACCTTAAGGTTCATTGGCTTAATTAGTTTAGCGACCTTTGCTACCAGAATCATCCATCTGATATTTTTTGATGATTTCTTCTGTACTTTTGAGAGCATTCTAATATCTCTTATCTAATTCTTCATCTGGTTGAGATTATGGAACTTATGGCTTTTTCTATGTAGTAGGTGATTTTTGCTTTTGTTAGCTAGCCTATGGATGATAGCCAGGCTATGGATGATTAGCAACTAAAAAAATCAAATAAGAACTTACTCTTATTTGGCTGTTATGGTTTTTAAACTTAAGGTTGCTAAGCATTTCTAATTCTCTCTTAAACTTATTCTAGTGTCAGATACTATCTTTAAGGTGATTAAAATTAAGGAGCTGGTGATCTTGGTACTTATTGAGATTGCATAAGTCCATTTCTTGATGGTGATTATGCTACTTTCAATCTATCTGGAGATTGAAATGTTCTTTAGGGTGAAGCCATAATTTAACTCATCATTGGTTGAGGTTGGTATGTTTGAGGCATGATAGTCTAAGTATATGGATTGTAAGGATAAGATGGAGCAAATCTAAGACCAGAGTAATTATATTGTGGAGGATTGTAAACAGGTGGTCTCCATTACTATGGTACTTATGGAAGTACACCATAGGGAGGATATCTGTATTATGGATATACTTAAGGATAAAAGTGCTAAGGATAATACATTAAATTAATAACTTAATTAATCAAATAGATGATAGATCGCTCTTCTTCTGAAGATAATAATGATATCAATGATAACAAGAAACTATTTCAAATTTAAGATAAGTTGATCAAGAAGGTCAAGAAATAGAGTTATACATTTGAAGATGGATAATATTATTTTAATGTATATTATCATCTTTTAGAAACAATTTAAGCTTACAGCTTATAAAAAGGTTACAGTATCAAAATTTAAAGGAAACACAATGATTAGTTTACGTGAGTACTTCGATAAAGATGGATAAATGTTGCCAACTAAAAAGGGAATTACATTATAATTAGATAATTGGGAGAAATTCAAATAATATATTGGGGAGATTGATGAATGCATAAATAAATTAAATAAATGAATTACGTATCACGCAATCCTTAAGTCCCTATCTATCTATAGATAAAGCAATTTGTCTTAGGTCTAGCCCAAAAGCGAAGCTAGAAAATAGTATTAAATGAGGTTTAATCTCTCATTAATCAATTGGGTGTACCTGGTGAATAGTATTTCCTGCTTCAACTCTTAGAAAACATAGAAGTGCAGAAAGAGAAACAATCACTAACACAGAAAGGGTAATTTCTAGTATAATGGCTCTAATAAGCCTCATCTAAATCCCATTTTATAGATTACTTTTGTGGTGTAGTTGAAGCTATATGTCCCTAATCCTAATCCATTACAGAATATTTGTGTGAATTGTGTAATGTTCTTAAAGTACCATCTTTGATATAAATGATAATGTGGTTGTCAATCACATTTTCATCAAATGTGAGTTTTTGTAAAGAAGGCATTAAGATGTTAAAAAAGAAGCTATAAGAGCCATTTTAATAAAAAAATAATTTATAGGTACCCTAGTATGTAATTCACACATTGTTGTATCAACTCAGAAACATTCCTGAATTATCGGTAAAATATTTAAATAATATTAGGATCTTGAATAAGAAATTAAGAATTTCAATGAGTATGTTTAAAACACAAAATAGGCAGATTTAAAATGTTTGTATGATGATGGTAAAAAGTACATGAAATTGGATCCAGTAAACATAGAAATTCCTAAAATTAATGAATGCATTAAGCCTGTAGATATTTTAAGAGATTTAGGACCTTATACTAGCAATTTATCATAAATATTTACAGAATATAGTGATAGTGATATAATGGATTGTTTATTGTATTTAGCCAATAATCAAGGTGAGGTAGTACCTCAAGATGTATAATAGTTGTTTAAATTGACATAAAATACTTAATAACCAGATTGGGATTAATTATCAGTTGAATAAAATAAATAATAGGAAGATGATTTTATTAAATTCTTTATTAATGACAACAATAAACGATAGTGGTCTTAAGTATTTGAGAAATTAGATAGACCTAATTTAGAATTTTCAACATAAGGTTTTAATAATTTAATGGGATTCTTGGCCAAAATTAAGAAATAATAATAATAATTTTAATTACCACATAGATTATTATTTGATAAATGGCATAATAAGAAATCTTAGATCACCTTTCTTTCATTTATGTTAAAAGCTAATAAACCTGAATAGTTGTTTTGGAATGAAATTTAACCTAAAAAGTTAGTTATTATGGAACATAATTCTAATTATAAAACTTAATAATAATTATAATATTGGTAAAATTTAGAATTTGTTTAAATGCTTATAGAGTTAAGTGAATATGGATACATAGCTGAAATTAGAGATTTTTTTGATATACCAATTCGTTAAAATCCAGATTTAGTAATTTTGGCTTTATTCTAAATTTCACCTACTTAAGGTGGAGCATTAATAGATGAATTATTTACATAATTATTTCCTAATTATGTATCATAACATGCTAATTCTTCAACAGTATTAGAATAAATGTGGAAATATAATTAAAATTTATTTATAACTGGTATAAGTGAGTTGTATAAAAAGGAATAAGGAAAGAAAGAAAATTCATGTTTAAATTTATCAAGAGTATTGGATATAGTTTAATAACTCTTTCAAAATTCTCAATAGAATAATACATCATTGTTGACCATGGCAAAATTTGAAGATTATTAATTTTCAGTTCCTTTAGGTATTTTAGCAGGTAAGAGAGAATATTTGAATTTTGATATTTGGTTGAATGAAAGAATTAAATCTTAAGGTATTCCTTTTGTAAATGTATTATTACAATATATAGAAGAAAATGTTATTCAATAAATAAAGGAATACCAAATAAAATCTGGATTACCAAGTGGTTAATTGGGATAGATGTAAATTCAATAATTGGATTAGATATTAGATAAGGGATAATTGAAATTAGAAATGATAACAATTATTTTTGAATAATTAATGAATTAAGGAGATAAATTAGGTAATAAAATAAAACAAACAACATAACAATTTTATAAGGAAGTTGTACAAGTATTTCCTTAATTGGCAGGATAACCAAACTAAAAAACAAATTAAGAAGTAGAAAGTAAGACAGACAGTTATTTTGAGAGTTATTATAGTGAATAGATAAGTTTAGAAAACTTTTTAAATTAGATGATTTAATGGAAAACTTAGGGTAGTATATAAGAGAAAGAGGTTTTTGCTTGTATAATAACAAATTTGTATAATGAATATTAATTTCATTTGAAATACCCTAAAAAGGAATTGGAATTAACAGGATAATTATTTGGAGGTGTATTGGAAAGAGGATTAGTAGAGGGTCAAAGTATGTAAATAGGTTTGAGAATAATTTAAGTTTCATTAAAGAATAATACATAGAGATATGATTTTGCTGTTAAAGCATTAGATGTAATGAAAAATAAAATATATGAATGGCCTTGGTTTGCATAAGATGTTATGGCATGTGAACAATTATCTTTTAAGAATCCTGATCTTCTGGCAGAGATTATAAGAGTGTGTGAAAAACATGGAATAAAATCACCATTATAACCTGCATAACCAATATAGACAGTTTTTCATAAACCACTTTAATTAGTTGCTTAAAAAGAAAAATAAGAAAAATAAGAAGAAGAGCCAGTTTAATTGATTTTAAAGAAATCTGAATCAGTTCCTGTTCAATAGACATAACCATCTCCTATTGTAGTTCCAGCAATAGTACAACCAATATAAATACCTATATAATAACCATAACCTATTATAGTACCATAATAGTAACCAGTCACTTAGGTTCCATAACATTCATAAGTACATGTATTATCAGTTACTCCTCCTCCTACTTTATAGAAATCCTCATAATTACCAGTTTAGCATACACCTCAACCTTAAAAATAAAAATAAGATGATAATAATACTAATATTAATTTAACATACAAATAAATCTTATAATTAGAATTTGATGAGTTTTAAAGATGTGGAGCTGATTCAGAAGTCAAAGAATATTTTACATTTACATTGAACAGTATCTCTCAGAATAATGTTGAATAAAGGGCAGCAGAAATAAGAACTAAATTAGAAAACCAAGATGCTTTATTCTATTTCATTAAAACAATTGCTTATTTACGTTCTCCTATGGCTTAATAGTAAGCTTAGGGTCCTAATGTAATGTGTTGCTTACTTGCTGCTTTGAATAAATCAAAATATTTTTCAGAAGTTGCCAAAGAAGTCAGTATAGGTTTAACAAGATTACTGACTTTCAATAAAGCAAGTCCTTCTGCTGATGATAGAAGTACTATCAAAAATATGGGAAGTTTCTTAGGCTAAATTACTGTATCAAGAGATAAACCATTCTTGTTTAAATATTTTGATTACAAAACCTTATTAAAATAAAATCAACTTACAATTTATCCTTTATGCAAAATTTTAGAATAAGTCAAATCTAGTCAAATTTTTACAAAAAATAATAAGTGGGTCAATAAAATTTTATAAGAATTAGATGCTGCTAAAGAAACATGCAATACAATGGCTAAATATGAGATTATGAATCTACTTAAATAAATCGAATATACTGTTTAACCTATTAATCCAACACCCACTCCCATTACTATACCAAATCCTGTTGTACCGATTATAACATAACCAATAGTTTAGCCTATTATGGATTTGGACCCACTAAATAAATTAAATATTAAGAATCTACCTTAATATGTGATGGCTGATTCAAAAAACTTAAATGATAAATTGAGTGAGGCTGATTGCAAAACCCTTGTGGCTACAGCATTAGATCATGCTATATCTGATATTATTCCTCCTGTTATTAGCAGAAGTGTTACTATTGCACTTATTACAACAAGAGAACTAGTTTTTAAAGATTTTGCACTTGAACCAAATGAAAAATATATGTTAAGAGGAATGCATATGATAGCTTCTCATTTATCAGGAAGTTTGGCCATGGTTACTTGCAGGGAACCATTAAAAGTTAGAATCACTCATTATCTTAAAGAAGGAATAGAATAAATTGATATTGATAATAAAACTAAAGAAACATTTGTCTAAACTGCAGCTTAAGAAAATTTAGATCTTGGTTGTGCACTTATTAGAAAAGCAGTTATAGAAAGAGCACTTGAAGATGTTAATTAAGATCCTTCAATTTTGGAATAATTAGAAAAAAGATAAAGATGCAAAGAAAAGGGTTAATAATATAGAGATGAAATTACATAAAATTAATTAAAATTTTTACCTGAACCACTATAACCAAGAATATCTGGTTTGACTGATGAAGAAATTAGAATTTATGAAGAATTTGGTACAAAAAAGAAATAACCTAAACAATCTGTCTTGTAAAAAGTATCTACTTTATGTTAATTACTCTAAGACCCTTAAAGCAATGAAGAAAAAATCTAATAATTAATCCAAGATTTAAATGAATAAGATTAATCAAATCCTGAATAATTCTATAAAGATTTAGCTGACAAATTTTTATAGGTCATCTTAACCAATAATTTAACTTCAGAGAAAATATCCATTTCTTTAGATTTAATTACTATTCTTATTAGAAAAATAAATGAAAAAGTTGGTAAGAAGTGGAGTGAATTAGTTACAGAATTCATTACTAAAAATATTGAACTCTTAGAACATAGTCCATTATGGTGGTAAGCATTCCCTATAATGTTGAATAAAAGATTAATACAAAGTTAAGAAGCTGAATAAGTGATGACTTAAATTTTAACTAAAGATAATCAAATGAATGTTAGTTCTATTGTATATATACTTAGAAAAGTAATAATTGAAGAGGACAATAATCCATATTTAAATTCATTCAGAAATATTATTAAGGAACTCAGTAAAAAGAAAGATACTAATCCAACTGTCTCTAAATTCTTTTTAGAACTTACTAATTATGTTTCTAATTCTTCTTAAACTAAAGTCTTTTAAAAGAAATTAAATTTAATCAAAGGTTTCTATTAAAAAATTGATGAAGAATTTTCTAATAAAGTTTCTCTTAAATTAAAATAATGGTATTAATTAAGTTCAGAAGAAGAATTCAGCAACTTTTTTAGAGTTGAAGGTGAAAGCTAATTTTTTGTTGAAGATTAATTGAGTAAGTTTTGTGCTTATGCAATTGAATTGAGTATGACTGATGTTAATAAAGAATATATGGATCACTCTTAAATTGAATAATTAGGTAAAATGCTTACAATAATGGCTAAAGGACTTGATCCTAAAATGAAACCTAAATTTTTTGAAAAACTATTTGATGGATGCTTAATGGTACTCACAAAATTACATGAAGTTACTAAATAGAGATTTAATTAAAGATAATTATTCAAACTCTTTTATAATTTACTTTTTGATTTACAAATTTTGGATGAAGAAAATATTAAATTATTTCATAATAAATTTGCTGAATTTTTAGAAAAGGTTGAACCTAGTCTGTATCCTGGATTTTCTTATGCTTGGTTAGAATTACTTTGTAATAGATATTTCTAATAAATTATAACTACAAATGAAATTGCTTATGCTAGGTTGATCATTAAATTATTAGAATTTGTGAGAGATACTATTACTGAAGAAACTATACATTATCATTATGTTTAAGAATATCTTAAAGGAGTTACAAGATTATTTATGTTATTATTAACTGATTAGAGAAAGTTCTGTAGTAAATATGCATTCAGTTTTGCAGATGAAGTACCTTTCAATCATGTTTAATTATTAAATTTGAGTTTAGCTGCTTATCAAAATGATCAAACTGATGATCCTTAATCTTGCACTAATATTTATGATATTGCAGATGCTCAATAATTTGGATAGATAGTTCATGCTTGTTTTGAAGAACCTACTTAAACCAAAATCAAAGAGGAAATTCAATTTATGTTAAATATGAATGATGAAGATTTAAAATTTAAAGTAAGTAAGTACTTTGATTATGATCAAAAATCTAAATTACCTTGTAGTATATCTGGATTCTTCCTTTTATTACCTAGACATGAAAATCTTACTATCCAATAATAAAGAACATTATTGACAAGAATAATAAAGAATTCAAGTTTTGCCATTAGAAATAATGTAATGAATGTAATTTTGAATTAAATTCGTTATCCTGAAAGAGCAACTGAATTCTATATTCGATACATCTTATAATAGTTCATTGTTGGTGATAATTTCTAAATTTAAGAATAATTTACGACGTATTATTATTGTTTATTATAATTAGTTTGATCACTAAACGTTTCTTATCTGAAAACCCAAAGACTTGGGGAATGTTGTATTTACATGAAGAATTAAAAAGAACTTAATCTAATAACAACCAATATAAAATGTATTAGATTTAAAGACAATGACTTATTAATAAAATGTTCATTTAATAAAATCATTTTTATTGTAAAATATTAAAGAAATATTCTACTTCTAGTATGCCATCTTCTTACAAATCAGTGCAATGAATAGCATTTTTAACTCTATCAATACCAAATTTGGCTCTTAATGTTTAAGGTCTCAAAGTCTTAGCAATTTCTGGATCATGGGGTCCACATAGATCTCTAAAAGATTTAACCTAAATATTTTAATGTATTTATATACAGCATTTTCTTATCTGATTTCCATAGCAATACAAGGACCAGATGTTAAATGTTCAGACATGGCTTAAAATTCAGGTAATACACCCTAAATAAATTATGGATAATCATATACTTTATAGACTTCAAAGAATTCTTCACTTGTAGCTCTATCTAAATAGAACATTTGCATAGCTGAAATTTCAAAACCTTCACTTAAAATGATATCTATAATTTATCCTGCTCTTCCTTCCAATACTATATGTGGTTTAATGATGGCACAAGTGCAATTATTAAATACTGCAGTTGATTTTAGATTAGATTTATCAGAGAAAAAGAAATCTAATTCTCTTTATGCTGATCCAGCTATTCATTATAAATTAATCATTTTACGAGCATCACTTCCATGACAAGCATTTCTAACTCCTTCTGTACCATATAAAGCTCTCATTGAATTTGGTGCTTCTACTCTAGCAACTTAACATTTAGTTGGTCCAATAAGATCTCTCCATTTTTTCACACTATTATCTGCTATTAATTCCAAACCCACTATAAAATCACTACATATAAATTATGTAAGTTCATCAAAGAATGGTTTGCCCTAATGAAATCTATTTATAATTTACTCTATGTTCTGCATAGAATTATTGAGCATCACCAATTTACATTCTAGTCATTTTCAAATTACCAATTACGAAACCGTTCTTTTCAATTGCAGTAATTATCTTTCCAATATGTGTATATGCATCTGGTTTTATCATACCAAATGTTCTAAATATTTAATTAAGATACTTACTTTCCTCTTTAGACTTCAAATTTCGATCTTGTAAATACATCTGCATAATCTACTATTTTTAATTATCTTGAAAAAACAGTCACAATAGACCCAACATATAAATCCTTCAATTAAACAGAAGGATACTCACATCTTTTAAGAAATATTCTTTTGTTTTTCAAATCAAACTAAATCCATTAATCATTCATATACCATCTCAATCGTCTTATCAGCCATAAAGTAAATGAGATTATAACTCCTTATCAAAGAAGCACTTGTGTCAAACCATTCGACTATAAATACATATCTTTCATCATTTACTGCCATCTGTTAATAATAATATAATAATATATATATATTATAACAAATTTTCATTATAAATCTTATTTTTCATTCAACTTATCTCATTTTTATTTGTTTAGAATCTAATAATTATATAATATCAGAACTCTTTGAATTTATTTATTGATCAATTCTATAATTTATCTTTTTCTAATATTTAATCTATTTTATTTGTTTTTCAAAGCATCATTATAATATATTACTAATCATTTAACTCTTAATAATAACATTTAATTATTAAATGGCTGATAAGTTTCTTTAATTAACAAATAATTATGGCTATCAATACTAAAGAAGAACACAAAAATTGAATGATTAAGCTTAACATTCATAAAGAATCTACACTGATGTTTCACCTTTGCCAAAATAAAACAACCCTATTTACAATTCTCCTAGAAAATTAATGAAAACTACATGTGCCTCTTTTTTTGACCATTTCTAAAAACTTCCAAGTCCTAAACTAACTGCTTATTAGACATATCTATAAACAATATTATAAAACAAGAATGAAATATAAGCCAAATAAAATTACTAACCTTCTTTTACATTACATAACATTTATGGATAGAAAATTAATACTTAGAAATTGTCAAAGGATACAATTAAATAAATATAAAACTAACAATAAAATAAATCAGTTTGCAAAATTTAGTTAAAAAATACAACCAATTCTAATTCATAATATCATTCTCCTCGTAAAACTAGAATATAATGTATAAATAATTAATCAAGAATATAAATTATAAACAACTAGTCGAAATAAATTTAAAAAAGTAAAATAGATATTATTCAAGAGAAATCTGACTAGTAATAGCTATAATCTAAAATATAAAATATTGAAAGTAAAAGAATTTTAACATTTGATGATAATTTTGATGATATTGAACCATGGAATACTTCAGAATAAAAATATTGATTGAATTCATACCTTATCTATATTCTTTTTAGACTAACCATAAAAATAGATTTAAACTTATTATTTATTTCTATTATTAAGGTTAGTTCATTATCATTTTAAATATCTATTATAAATATAATTATTTCATAATAATTAATAAAAATCTCAGACTTTAGAAATAATTAACAATTATACTTTTAGAGTCTAATTTTATATCGAGAAATAGAAATTTAAAATTATTTTTGAGACTTTCTTCAAAATTTATTTAAAATATCAACAATATCTATATTATAGTTTAGGAAAACATTAAATAATGCATCTCCTTTAATGATATTAGTGAAACTACTAATAAAAACTAAAAATATTATTAGGAGATAAATTTATAAAATTCAAATATTCTAATACTATTACGAGGATTCCTATTTCTATTACTTCCAGAATAATAAATAAAAATTATAGATAACAATATAATGATCCTTATATAGAAAAAAACCTGATTTTTTTAATTTATTCGAAATCATTTTTAATTTATTTTATAGAATTTATAGATTATATTTGTTAAGCATTAAATCATAGTTATTTTATTTAGGATAGCTTATATATTGAATTATTTTATATATATAATTGATTAACCAAACATTTTTATTAATTTAATTCGACAAATTAAGTTAATATTGCTACTTAAAAATAATTGTTTAGAACATAATACTTAATTTAAGTACTGGTCTTATTTTATTTATCACAATTTTCAATAAATATTCTTAATTTTCTAACAAATATAATAATTCATTTCAACATATATTTAATAAACTATACACTTATTATCTATAGAAAATCAGCTTAATAATTGAGGAAGATGATTTAAAAATAATAAGTTGATGATTATACTTAAATTTAATATTATATTATTAATTTTTATAAATGTCAAGAAGAAGCATTTTACTAGGATAAACAATGTCTGATTCAGAAAGACAGAATTTACAAAAAATCATCTATTAAATAGAATAGAATCCAGATATTTATGAATAATTATCTGAAGAATAAGTGCTTGGAATCATATGCATCATTCTTAATAAGTCTTCATATCATAGATCTTTTGCTGAAATGGATATTTTAAAAAAAGCAACCAAAAGCAATGAATACTTCTAGAACATGATAAATCAACCTTAAGGTGAATTATTATGGGAAAGATGTTTAAGGAAAATGACTTATAATTTTTTACCAATCGGATTCAATCTTTTTAGAGAAGGAGATGCTGGAACAACATTCTATATCATTTTATAAGGTCGAGTTTCAATACATAAAAAATATCAAGTTGGAGTTAATTAATTTGAAGAAAGAGAACTGACTCAGTTGCATAAAGGTTAATCTTTTGGAGAATTAGCATTAGAAAATGATGCTCCAAGATCAGCATCTGTAAAAGCATTAAATTCTACTCATTTAGCTGTTTTAGAGAAAGAAGACTATATGATAATAAAAAAGACTTTAGTAATAAATTAATTTTATCATTAGTCTAATTAATAAAAGCAAATGTATTTCGAAGAATTTGCTAAATTATCTATCTTTTCAGATTGGAAATTTACAAATATTAAGGGATTGTTTGATAATGTAAAATTTCATTAATATGGATTAAATCATTAAATATATAAAGAAGGTGATTAATCAAATTAAGTATATTTTATTCAACAAGGGGAATTGAAAGTAATATTAAATATCTATAGAAATAGGTTATTAAGTACCTATAATTGATCAAATAAAATAATTAAAACTAAATCTAAATTCCTACTAATTGTGATAAATAATTAAAAGATTCTGATGAAATTAATTAACTTTAAGAACTAAGTGTATTTCATAAAAAATAATTGACAAATAGTGAAAAAATAGATGAACTTTTTTAAAAAAAGAAATATGGACATTTGATATAAGTTGATAAAAGATAAACTATAACATTAAAATATATTGGAGCAGGTGAAATGTTTGGAGAATTAGAAATTCTTAAAAATTAGGAGATTCCTCGATAAGTGAGTGTAATCACAACTCAAGAATAAAATAAAATCTATTCTATACATAAAAAAGATTTTCTTAGAGTATTATACTTTGATTAAGTTTTGCATTAAAATTTAGTATATCTAAATGATAATAAGCTAAAATAAATTTTACATTAAATCAAAGGTTTTTAAAAAAATTTCTTTGATAAATAAGATAAATAATAATTATTAGAAACTACTTAAAATAAAGATTTCTTAACTTTAGATTATAAAGAATATGAAGAATAATAATAAAATCAGAAAAAAATAAGTAGTTCAAAAAAAAATATTTCTCTTAGAAATTTTATTTTAGATAATAAAACATAAGATATTGGTTTAACACTTTAATAAAAAGAAACATTCACAAATAGAAATTAAAATTTAATGTTTCATAAACATACTTTATCAGATTTCAAATTAAATACTGATAGAGTATTAAATACAAATTCATCTTCAAAAACAAATTTAAAGATTAGATCAAATAATTAAAGTCCAGATTCTTCTTCTATTCAATAATTAAAATTGAATTTATGTAAATATTAATAGACATCACCTCTTTCAAGAACATCAAGAATGTTAAGTCCTTAAGATTCTATATTTAGTAAATCTTAAGGTTTAAGGAAGTTCTAAAATAGTTAAATTTATTTCAATAATACTTTACCATTTATTATGTAAAATAGATATATCAGAATTAAAAGTAACTTAAACAAAATTTAATGTAATTTATGAAATTTTTAATGATTTTTTTAATTTTTATTTCTTAAACTAACTTTATCATTAGTTATTAAATAATGATTTAATTATACATAATTTCTATAATAACATACTATATTTTATTCGATCAATTTGACAATTTGGCTTTGATTTATTTTCTTTATTATTAAAATTAAACCAAAATTTACTATTCAATTAACTCCCATTCATTTATATCTACATCTTACAGAAGTGTTGACACAGTCTAAATATTAAAATATGATACAGATTGAAATTGTTCTAACGATTATAAAAATTGATTTTTCATAATCTTTTTAGACTCTTCACTAGGCTTTACCCATACAACTTTTTCAATTCCACCTTATTTTAGAACTTAATATTTATAAATAATAATTTACTTTCCTCTTAAAATGCTGCGAATTATTCAGGTTTTTATAAATCTAAATATTTTTAGACACTAGACTTTACGAATTCTTAAAAAGACGAATTATATTTAGCTTAATCCGTAAATGTAATTTTTATATGCATTTCATCTGAATCATTTAATTAAATTAAAATAGAACTATTAAAATCTAATTATTCTCTGAATACAGGATCATACTTTTGAACTTAATTTTCTAAAATCTGTTCATTTTATTCCTCTTCTAAAATAACAACATGTTAATTATCATCTTCTGACTCATTCAAAAATTTATCATTAAGCAATTCTGAAGCAGTTGGTCTTTTTTCTTAATCTTCGAGACATTTTAAAATAAATTATTTTAAATCTTGATTTTAAATTAGATCTAATGTTTTTGGCTTAATTCTATTGATAACCTAAATATATCTATTTTAATAATTACCTTTTAATAAATTTAATTGGGGGCTGTGCATTCTTCATATGGTCTCTTTTAGGTAGCCATTTCTAAACATGTCATACCAAAAGCATATATATCAACTGGAGGTCCATATTTCTCTTCATAAATTTCAGGAGCCATAAATTCTGGTGTTCCAAGAACTGATTATGTAAAGTCCTATTATTGTAACTTAATCGCTAATCCAAAATCTCCTATTCTCACTTAATTATTATGCGTGTTAATAAATATATTATCACATTTAATATCTCTATGAATTACTGGATATGGAGAAATACTATGTAGATATTCTAAACCTTTTAAAATTTCTCGACACCAATGCTTAAGTATTTTTAATCTAGGTCTCTGTATTTTTCTTAAATGTCTAACCTCATTAAAATGGAATACTTTTTGAGTGATCCACCATGAACAATTTCTGTGATAAAAATAACTTCACATTTATTTTTGCTTATCCATGCATTAATCAGGCTTATAATATTTGGATGTTTGATATTATTAAGAATATTAAGTTCCTCTGATATCCTTTTCCTCTCCTCCTCTAATAAAATCAATTCTATATACATTAAGGTAATTGATCTAAATGTACTACATTCCATGCAATTTCACATCCAGACTCTTCATCGTAGCCTCTATACACAGTTTTATAAGTCCCTTTCCCGATTTACTCATTAAACTGCCTTTTAGCATTGTTATTTTAATACTCTAATAAATCTTCCTTTTGGACTCTTCTCCACAATCGAATCAGGTTCAGATTACATTTATAATAACAATTAAATTACTAAAAATATGCACCAATTATTAAATTTAGCTAATGAAAAAATAATAAAATAAAAAAAGCCCCCTGACGGGGTCGAACCGTCGATCTTCTCCTTACTAGGGAGATGCCTTAACCACTTGGCCAAGAGGGCAACCTATTCATTTATTATACAAAATTGTATAAATTAACACCTACAATTTTATTCATTTTACAAAGTTGAAATATTGATTTTTAATAGCTACTAAGTCAATTTTTAAATCCAACTATATTTTTATTTTATATTTCTAAATTTTTCTTTTTCAAAGGAATTTCTCCTAAACAACTCTATATTAAATATACTATACTAAATTAATTATTAAACTTTGTAATAATTGCATTAGCCTTCTTTAAATTCCAAATTAATTATTGATATTTTTTTATATAGTATATTTAAAAAATGATAATCTTTATTGAATCTTAAATAACATTTTAATTCTACTTCTATTTTATCCAAACAACTAATATTTCAGTTCACATAATTAATGGTTATGATACCTTATAAGATTCTTAATTATTAATTCATATTATAATTATTCTCCTATATTTATGATTGTAATCTCAGATATTGATAAAGTAAATGCTGTAAGTTAATTGAAGTCTTTTCAAAAATTTCAGCCATTATTATTAAACTTATAATGCTTATCATTTTTTGCATCTTTTAAAGAGTCTTAACAAACTGATTGCAACGATTATTTTTACTTTAAATATACCAAATTAATACTTATTTTCTATTTTTTTCTTATATAAACTATTATTGTGGTGCAATTGGCGAGCAACTTATCTAAAGCATAATTGATTATCTTTTTCTTTATAAATTTGATTTCTTTCAGAACCAAAAAGATTTAAGTACATTTTATAATGATTCTAAGAGCTGTAAATTAATTAAACTTCTTCTCTTTCATTTTATTATTTTATTGAAGCTTTAATTATTAATATTTAATTACTATTTTATATTATTTATAGTAGTGATTTCTGTTTTAAATTTTTTTATCTTCCTTTTTAAATATTTCCTAATATTGGATACAGTTATCGAAAATTAGTATATAAATTATAAAGTAAATAGGTGTTGATACTAAAAAACTATTATTAATAATTTAATATTTTTCAATTATATAAAATAGAACTAACTAATTATTAAGACGATTAGACAAAAGTTTATGAATTTTCTCTTATATAATCTATTGATTAGTTTTATTAAAATGATAAATATCTCAATAGAAAATGAGGCAACTTAAAATAAAAAAAATTAGTCATAATTCGTTTAAACATTTATTAATTATTTTTATAGAGCTTTGGACAATTTTTCATTAACATTTTCTGAATATAATTAAAACCTAAAATTATTTTAATTGAAATAATTTCTTAATTTTTTGATCACTAGTTTTCTAAATTTACAAATTAGGTAAGAACAGAAAGCAATACAAATTACTATATTCATATAAAACAAACAATATTAATTGAAATAGTAGAGATTAACGATTTGTTTAAGAACATAATTTAAAAAACTATTCATCATCAAAATTCGAAATTTTACAATTGCTTTTGTTTTTATATCGAAAATAATTGATAATCAATCCAACCCTGATAATATATCATCGTTTTCATAAGATTGATGAAAAAATTTAGTATTAAATTGGCTAATTTAATCAAAATTATGGAAAGACTATATAAAAAGGGTTGTGTATTGTATTATTAAATTAAATTTGAAAATCAGAGTCCTAAATATTGGATTTAGATGAAACAGTAATACCATTTCTAATAAGATATCAAAAATATAATACTTAAAGTTTACACATAAAAGTAATAGTTATTTAAATAATTCTAATATAGCTGTTGCGATACATAAATATAAAATCATTTTAAAATGATTAAAATAAATTTATTAATCATCAATCATTAAAGAATTAATTAAATAGCTTAATGTTGATTTAATAAAATGCGCTTGGCTTCTTGAATTTCATGAGCGAATTATTTATTTTCTCTATTTTGAAATTGATCAAAATGTTAGTTTTTGGAGTGAGTAGTTTAATAATCTTTAATATTGAAATTTTAACTTAGTTCGTTAACATCTAATTATTATTAAATTTATGTTAAAGATTTGTAATTTAATTAAGATTAAAATGTTCTTACCTTTTTCAGAAGGCATTTTGAAGCTTATTCTAGACTAGTATTGATATTTGATGATTGGCATTCTTGATCATTATGATATATCTCTGAAGGGATATCTTTGAAATTATATTAATTCAAAGGAAAATGACCACCTTGCATTATCTCAATATGTAAAAAGTCAGACCCTAATTACAAGTCTAATTGGCCAGTTTATTTGCAAATCTATACAATTGAGATTGACTTCTTTAAGAAAAATTTTCGATTTCTCTTTTCTTTTTTCTTTAAAAATTCTTCATCAAAAAAGCTGTTTTTATTATTTTAAACTATCTAGTTGTTGCTGCATTTTTATTTTTATAGACTTTGTTCTTGCTTCATTAATTCAGGGCCTGTGAAATTCATTTGGAATATTATATTATTAATCTAATGCAAATTTATAAAGATTTAAATTTTTAAAGTCTTCACTCGTGAAAATCAATTAATAGTAAAAAAAAAATAGTTATTCAAATTCTATGGTGTAAAAGCTTTTCATTGTTAATATATAATTTCAAGAATTAATACTATTTTCTAAATTTAAAGAGAGAAAATTGAACTTACACTATATAAGGTGAAATGAACAAACTATAAATTATCAACATTTACATTATAATTAATTTTTAAATATTGATTAAAAATACTAATTCCAAAATACAATGAGCATATATCTAAAGAAAGACATCCATAGATTCAAATGATCTAATTTTTAATGTAATACAAAATCCTAAAAAACTTTTTGAAAAATAAAATTTATCAATAATTCAATTTTAATTTACAAACATCTTCTAATATTAATTATTTAGCACTTTTTTTATGTTAACTAATTATTCATCTAAATTATGTTTTTAATTAATGCAACAATTACTCTTAGCATTATTTATTTCTTAATATAGTAATTTCGATAAAATGGAAACTATCTGATTATTTAAAGAATTAATAATTCTTTCTTTAACATTAGTTAGAAGTGCATTATTCTATTCAAATAATTTAATTTCTCCTGAAGCAACATCAATAATAATATTCTAACATTTGCGCATTAATCTTTATTTTCTCTATTTTGAAAAGAAATTATTTGTATCTCTTTAATAATTTCTGAAAATATGCTTTGCTGAAGAATACTTTAATTTGTGAAGTTTTGCTGCCTAATTAAAATATAAATGAAAATAACTTAATAAACTGGTAGATGATCATTAATCACACTATTAATTAAATTTAATTTGACCTCTTAATCAATTTTTAATCTCTATCTTTATAAGGGTTGCTACGAATTGTCAATTTTATTTTAAATTGTAATCATCTTTGGAATAATTAATAATGAAGATTTAAATAAATATATCTAATTTATATAACATATATTTGTTTTCATATAAATAATATATTTGTATAAATTCGTTTAAAAAAAAGTTAACGAAATGTATTTTCCCCCTATTTTTATGGATTCAATTTTTCAAATAAGATGATTTCTTAGTTAATGCTTTACCTTTGTAAATAAATAATCAAAAAATTTAGTAGCTTTGGAAATATCTTTCCTAAATTTATGATGTGAATCAAAAGTTAAAATTTGGCAACTAAAAGAGATAATAATTGATATTCAAATAATCAATAACTAATAATGAATTATCATGTTTGAGAATGAAATAATGTAAAAAAGCTTAATAGTATCTTAAAATTTGATTTATTTATTAAATATTATATTAAACTAAGATGAAAAAATAGTATAATAAATTACTATCTATAGTTTATTATAAATATTTAATAAAAACTAAAGTCTTACTATGATATTAAATATATAGCATAATTAAAAATTCTAAAAAAGTCTAACCATATAATTGATGAGTACAATTTTATTAATTAATAATTAAATTTTCATTTATTGCTTATATTTTTAAGATATAATAAATATATTATTGAAGACTTGTTGTTATGTATAAGTTGATTTTTTTAAGATTATTTGAAAAATCTTCTTTAATATTAAGAATTTATTAATTAAAATAACTTCTATAATTCATTTTATTTATATATTTTCAAATAAATGGACCTAAGATGGTTATTGGATGAAGATAACTTAACAAGTATTTTAGTTCTTAATTATTGATAAGCTGCAGATTAATGCGATCATTTAAATATATCCTTCATTAGTTCCCCAAATAGATCATAATTAGGAAAAACAATTAAAAATTAATATTCTGCAGTTGAATTTGCTGATACTTTAGGAAAAATATTTTAAGTAATAGATTAATTTTTACATATAAATAGGCTATAAAGGAGAAAAATTTAGAGAAAGTATAAAATTTGGTGAATATACATAAGAAAAGATCATATAATTTAGGAGGAGATCCTGAATTTAAGTGGGATATAATCAATGATTTAAGTCTTAATTGGTCTCCACTTCATCATTCTATATTCTTAGGTTGTGAAGCTATATTTTTGTGGTTTTTAAGTATGGGAGGTGATATTACATCAATTACATATGATGGATATTCTGCTCTAATTTTAGCTGTTTTATCAAGAAGTGAATTAATGGTAAATTTATTGATTGCTTAACCAAATCTTAACATTAATCATATTTCACGAAAAGGATCAGCTTTACATATTGCCATTTAATAAAATTAAATATCAATTTTGTTTTTATTATTGTAACATCCCAATCTTAATTTAAACATATACAATGATAAATTATAATAACCAATTGATATTGCAACAGGAATAGCTAAAATTATGTTAGAAAAAGAACTATAATTAAGAACATTAATTTATTAGAATTAATCAAAAAGTTAAATTTCCATATTGAATTAAGAAGATAGTCAATTAAATACATTAAATGTAAAATACTTAAATTATCAAACAGACCTTTATTATTAATAGACCTTAAAAGCCACCTGTGTACAAAGGATATATTGAGAAGTTACATTTTTCACATTTATATTCTTATTAGAGATATATAGTGATTGATCCAGACACTGGAGTTTTGATCAGATTCGAAAACAAAGAAAATTATCCATTGAATCCTAAAGAAACTATACCACTTTAAAATATATATAATCTATAAATAATTGTTAAAGATAGACTATTTATAGATAATTCTATTTAATTATTAATTGAATACAATTAGAAAAAGATTTATTTTCTATTTTCAACTTAAAAAATGGCATAAATATGGTATGATTCAATTAAAACAGCTTTGGGATATTCAAAATATATAAAATATAAATTAGATTAATATAAACAAAAGAAAGAAGGAAAAAAAGTATTTAATTAAGTCAATTCAATGTTATTAGATATGAATAATTAGTCTATTGAAATTGATACATTAACAAAATAAGATCAATATAAAGAAGAAATAATAGAATTTAAATAAAAGTCAGAAAAATAATTATTTAATAATCTAAAATTTTCAGATTTCTAGATTTTAGAAATACTTTAAAAAGAATTAATTGGCAAAATCTATAAAGCAAAATATTTAAAAGATAACAAAATGTATGTTTTAAAATAATAACATAAAGAAAAACTTATAAAGCGTTCTTAATTGGATTAAGCAATTAGTAAAGTTAAGGTTTTGAGAATAATAAATCATCCATTTGTTATTAATATCAAAGGATTATTTTAAACTAAAGATAATTTTTACTATTAAATGAAATATTATGAAAATGGAGACTTATCTCAATATATCGGTTAGGGTAATTTGTTATCTGAGAATGTTTCTAAAATATTGATTGCTTAAATAATATTAGCTATTGAATATTTGCATTCACTCAATATCATATATAGAGATTTGAAACCAATCAATATATTAATAGGGAAAAATGGATTCTTAAGATTAGTTTATTTAGGACATAATAATGATATACTGAATGATAGGGCTACCTTATCTTTAAATAGATTTCCTGCTTATTTAGCACCTGAAATAATAAAAGGAGAGAAATTAACCTAATAAGTTGATATTTATGGGATAGGAGTCTTACTATATGAAATGTTAAGTGGATATCCTCCTCATTATATTTAAAATACTGAATAAATGCTAGAAAGAATATAATATTGTCCAATTAATTATGATAGAATTAAATCAAAGATGTCTATCAAAATATTAAAGAAATTGCTTCAAAAAGATTAAACAAAACGTCCAAATTTGAAGGATATAAAGAATCATGTGTTTTTTGCTGATATTAATTGGAATAAATTACTTATAAAAAATATTCTTCCTCCAAAATTAATAAAAAATAATAGATAATAATTTATATCAGAACAAAAAATTTCAGAAATTATTATTGATCATGACTATATAGATGATGGAGAAAAACCCAATTATGTTGATAATTGGAGTTTATCATGAATTTAAATTTGCTTTAATATACATTTTAAATCTATGAAAATCATTAAACTTCTTCAAATTAATCAAGATCTACATTTGAGTCTTCAGTAATATATTCATCACTTTTTTGTTATTCTTAACCTCTATCAAATATATTTTCAATTTCATCAATTTAAGTTTCTAATTTGCTTAACATTTTCTCTTTTTTTATTTATTTTTTCGAGGCAAAATCTTTTTCCTTTTTAATTTCTAATTTCTTTTCCAAACGAACTTTTGCTTATGTTATATATGCTGTATCTTTCCATAATTAAGCTCCTTATATACAACCTTCAAGTATTATAATAGGTTTTAAAACAAGTCTAGGTCCAATTTCTACAAGTTAATTTTTTATAATTTCCTTTCCTGCTTTTTCATATTAAATTTCATAATTTCTAATCCAAATATTATTATTATCTGGGCTTTCTTTTATAAATGAAAAGACTCTATCACAACAAGGAGCACTTTTTGGATGGTGTTTAGGCACATTAATAGCATGAATAAATAGTTCCTTTTATAAAATCATTAGAGGATCTTCAGTAAAAGAACCATCAAATGAGAGAATTGGTCTACTTCCTTTCATACAATTTCCAGTCAGTTTCAAATCTTAACAATTATGCCCTTATAAAATAAATATTGTTTTTTACAATTTTCAATATAATATTTTATTGAAGGACCATTTGGAAATCTACCAATCCATAAATATAATTCATGTTTTCTATGAACTTCAAAATAAATAAAACTTCTGCATGAATGTTACATACATAATTCTTTAATTTATTTAGATGTATCTCCTTTTTCAAGTTTAGTTTCTTTTTTTGAATGTGGAAGTAATTCATGTAAATCCATAAACAATTATCTAATTCTATCAGAAATGTTTTTAGATGTAACTATTAATGTTCTTTATTTATTCACCCATCTAGTTTCTTTTTAATTTGGGAATATATTGTCAATGTCCATTAATATAAATTTTAATTGTATTTTTTTATAATATGTTCTTTTTATAAATTAAAATATTATTTGTTAATTCTGAATCTATTTATATTATCTTCATTTAATTTTTTTATTGATCATTATGATCTCAATTATTCATTTTTTCATTGATAAGAATTAATTTTTTATTATTAAATTTTAAATGCTTAACATTCATTTATATATACTCTATTAGTAATGTAACAATAAATTTAAACTTGTAAATAATAACTAGCAATTCCTATTAGAATTAAGATTTATAATCATTGTTTTAATTAAAAAATTAAGGTTGAACAAATTAAAACTTTTTTAATTAATACTAAAGGAAAATAATTAACTTATATTATATAAATAAATTGATAAGAATTAAATTAAATTAGATAAAAATTTTAAGCAATTTAAAGTATAAATACAATGTTAAAATGCTTTAATATTAAAATTATGAAATAACTATTTTACATTAAGCAGAATGATAAAGCTAAATTTTTAGATTATTTTGAGATTTATTTTTAAATATCAATAATATATTAACTCAATATATATATATATGGATATTGATTATAAGTATCTAATTTTTATTAAAATTTTGGTGTCATTTGATTTTTTTAATTTTAAATGATTGGTATGATTTCAATATATAAGTATTTTTACTTGTATAACTTATTTTATTTTTATTTTTAACATCTAATGTCAGCAAGACCTTCTGGATATTAGTAATTTAAAGATGAATAAGTTAATGTTAATATTAGCAGATAAAAACCTGAAGAAGTATAAGCAGGAACTCTTTGTAAAGGAGGCAATGCAGATTTTCCAATTGATTAAATTCCTCCCAATTTTGAATTGGCTGAGCTTCATAGTGTAATAAATACTTATATCATAGTAAGCTTGGAATGTAGGTACAACTAAATTATCAAAAAGTCAGAGAAGAAAATTATAAAAACACTAAAATAGCACATAACAAAACAACCAAGATGACCTTGTAGGAAAGATTTGTGATTGTTGTGCAAGATAAGTACCTAATCATTTACTATCGATCGGTTGCAACAATAGAGACTATTCATTTTTAGGGGCAGGTAAGTTTTAGTATAATTTAGGTATGCCATTATATTTTGAATATATCAAATCTTGTATTTTAATGCTTTTAATTATGTTTGTCACATCTGGAGATTATAATATTATAACTAATATTGCTTTTGGAACATCATGTAGAGCATTAGAAGATCATAAAGGTTAAGAAATAGATGAAAAGACATTTTGTTAATTAAATTGGGTTACATAATCATCATTAGCAAATAAAAGAAGTGGATCAGAGTTCATAGATCTTTAATAAATGTTAAATTTGATATCTATGATAACATTAATAATTTTGTTTTAATATTTTAGAAAAGAATAAAGAGCTTTTGATGCAGAAATTGATTCATAAACATAATATGCTTCTGATTTTACTGTATATTTAAAGAATATTCCAACTGATCCAACAGGATTGTAAAATGGAGATTTTGATGATGATTTAAAAAATTTTATTGAATAACATGTATCAAATTATCCAAAACTACAAGAAATCATTGATTTTGAATAAGATAGAAAGCAATATTAAATTTAAACAAAAAAGCCTGTTACAGAATTAAAGAGAGTTGTAGCTGTTAATTTATGCTATAATTTAGATGAATAATATTAATTGGAATAATAAAAATAAGCTAAAATAGCTTAGAAATAAAAAGTATTTATTATCTTTTATTCAGATTTTATCTAGTTTGTATAGTTAAGGTAAGGATCCATTAAGTTCTGATGTTAAATCAGATCCTTAAGTTAATTAAATAGATAAAGAAATAAGTGATATTGAAAATTAATTGGAAGCATTAGAAAAGAAATTTATTGAAGGAAAAGATGTCAAGAATTATTTTTTAGGACAAGCATTCGTTACATTCTAATGGGAAAATGATGTTTAGATATTTTTAGAAGAAAATAGAGTGTCAAAGATAAAGAGATTTTTTGGAAAGAAAAGTAAATTAGTTTATAGAGGAGCTAATTTGATTGTAGAAGAACCACCTGAACCTACTGATGTTTATTGGGAAAATCTACATATCACTACAAAATCAAAAGTATTAAGAAGATTACTTGGTTATGCAATTACTGCTATTATTTTAATTATATGTGGAGGACTAATCTATTGGTTATCAGCTATATAAGCTGAAAGTGCTGAAGAATAAGCCTAAGCAGTTAAAAGAGGAGAGTTGTAACCTAATATAAAAGTGAAAATTATTGCTTAAGTTGCATCAATTTCAATTATTGTAATAAATGCTTTACTTGCTATGATTATAAAAAGTATATCACTTTTTGAAAGATTCTCTACATAAACTGGTTATAACATTAGTTTAGCAAGTAAATCAAGTATGGCTTAATTTATTAATACTGCTGTTATTACTTTTGCTATTAGTACTTGGGTAACTAAAAATATTTATGGAGCTGGAGGTTTGGTTTATAATTAAACTTATGTATTTGTATCTAATGCATTTATTCCAGGTATTATACAATTTATAGATGCTGGAACTATTTCTAAATGGATATTCTAATATCTAGAAAAGAGGAAAGGAATTAAATCAATCAAAACATAATAACAATTACATGAGTATGTTTCTTATTTTAATTAGATTATATGAAAAACCAATATTTGATATTTCAACTGCTTATGCTACTATTTTGAAAAATATGTATGTTGTTGCATTTTATGCTTCAGTAATACCACTTGCTTTAGTAATTACTTGTGTAGCATTACTATTTCATTATTGGGTTGAAAAATATAATATTGCAAGAAGAAGGACTATTAAATATAATTATAGTTCTTAAATGTCAGTAGAAATGATAGAATAATTAGAATTAGTCTTACCTATATATTGTGTATTTTATTATTTTTATTATTAAGATGACTAATTTATGGTGGGAATATGTATTTTTGGAATCAGTTTCAACTGAAGCTATAATTGGAATATGTTTGGGAGTTGGTAATGCAATCTTACCAATGCATGAAATTAATGAAGCTATTTTTTCAGTAAAATCAGAAATTGATGAACATTTACCAATTTAAGAAGCTGAAACTGGTTTCTTAACAGTAATCTAATTTTATATAATATTTTAGGATTATTGCAGAGAAAATCCAGCTACTGCTGAAACTGCTAGATAATAATACAAGATCAGAGTTGAAAAACATAAATAATAAAAGATAAATATGGACAAGATGTTCGGAGATCAATGATAATAATTATTTAGAACATTTATTTTACAAATTAGTTTTTTTATTAATTTTTTCTATTAATTAATGTAAAAAATAGTTAGATGACAATTTTTGTAATTGATACTACATTTTAGATTAATTATTTTTATGAATAAAATAGATTAATATTTATTAATTTAATAAATTTGATTATAAGTGTTAATAAATATATTCAACTTTAATTGATAAATAAATTTATTTTATTATAGATATGACATAAAAATTAGATGTAAGTATGGCTATTAATAATAAATCTCATCAATTATAATAAAAATTGATATAGAATGAATTTTATAGAACATAAAATGATATTATTATATCAACATAATAAATTACGAATCATATGTTTCTCAATGAATAGTACAGCACAGTGTAATGATATATTTTATTTTTATTTATTTAAAAGTTGGGTAATTGATTTTTGTTCTTTATTATTTATTTCTTTTTCTTAATATTTGTAAGACAATCAAAATAAAAAATCAACTAAATTCAAAAATTTCATCTATTTAGATTATTTAAATTCAAAATTTTAAAGTTTAATAGATGACTTTAACATTTTTTAACATAATAATAGAATTATTTTGATTCTAACATTTATTAATTACTTAATTGTTTCAAACAAAAGAAATATATTGAAAATAATAACTAAAATTATGAATAGCAATTTATATATTTTATGTCAAATAAGTATTAAAGGTCTAAAAGTCTTTTTAATGGATTCAAATTTCTGCTGTAAGATTTCTAACTCAGGAGTTGTTTCAATCCTATCTATCTATTAAGGTTTCTTGCTTTGATATTCAACTTATAAATTGAATGATATTTTACTTTTCTTAAAGTAAGGATGATAAACTATTATTCCTTCATTTGTTGTTTAAACTCTTTATATTTGTGAATCATTTTATATTCTCACTTGTTCTTGATTCTAACTTAGATTAGTCAATAAGTTTTGAATCAAAGACATTATCTAATTTATTTCTTTACAAATACTCCTTCTTCTGGTTATTCTTTTTTTTGTTTTTTAATAGCTGGTTTTTTAGGCTTTAAAACACAGAATTAAATTTAAAGAGGAAAAGTTTATCCATTATCATGGGGATAGATGCAATTAACCCAATCAGTCATAAATCCATATTCATACACTATAATATTATTATATAAAGTACCTTTCTTTTATTCTAATACTTTCTTTTACTAATACTTCTCCTACTTTTAATCTGATTTCTTGGCAGATGGTTTTTATTCTTTGATCTCTTGGAGCATTTCTTTAAAGTTTTCTGTCATTTTCTTTTGCCTTGAAGACTTGCGAACTAAAGATTTCTTAATTTATGTACCTTAGTTTAGCTCTTCTTGTTTTGAGCTCATTGCTTCAATTTTTATTATTAATCAATTCAATAAAAAACTAGCTTAAATAGCTAAACCATGCATAAATAACAAATTAATATAATAGATAACTTATCATTCATATCTAATAATGAACACAATAAATCTATTAATACAAAAGAATATTGTTTTAACTTTACTTATAAATATATTATTTTGAAGTATAATTATCAATGTAAATCTAAAATTCAATAATGTTTCTTAGTATTAACTATTCATTTGTATATCAAAATATTCAAATATTCTTAATTAATTTTATTTCTAATTTTCATTTTGATAGAATCCTTTATTTTTTTTTTTGATTTATTTTCATATGAATTATTCAAAATAAATGTGTTTATATATATGTTTTATCATTTGATTATTCAATATAAATTAAAATATCAAGAATTCATTAATAGTTTTAGATTAATATTTTATATCTGAATAAATATTTTATTCTATATTTTTTAATCTTCTGCAATTATTATTATGAATAGTAATTGATATTTTTTTAATTTGGCCATTTTGAGATTTAAAATCTAAACTTATTTTCATGGTGAATTCCTTTTTTTAAATTAGCTTTAAAGGATTCAAAAGATATGTAATCTATGATTCATGACATTTATGTCATTAAATTTTATACGGTTGATTATCTTAAGTAATTATNATAAACTATTATTCCTTCATTTGTTGTTTAAACTCTTTATATTTGTGAATCATTTTATATTCTCACTTGTTCTTGATTCTAACTTAGATTAGTCAATAAGTTTTGAATCAAAGACATTATCTAATTTATTTCTTTACAAATACTCCTTCTTCTGGTTATTCTTTTTTTTGTTTTTTAATAGCTGGTTTTTTAGGCTTTAAAACACAGAATTAAATTTAAAGAGGAAAAGTTTATCCATTATCATGGGGATAGATGCAATTAACCCAATCAGTCATAAATCCATATTCATACACTATAATATTATTATATAAAGTACCTTTCTTTTATTCTAATACTTTCTTTTACTAATACTTCTCCTACTTTTAATCTGATTTCTTGGCAGATGGTTTTTATTCTTTGATCTCTTGGAGCATTTCTTTAAAGTTTTCTGTCATTTTCTTTTGCCTTGAAGACTTGCGAACTAAAGATTTCTTAATTTATGTACCTTAGTTTAGCTCTTCTTGTTTTGAGCTCATTGCTTCAATTTTTATTATTAATCAATTCAATAAAAAACTAGCTTAAATAGCTAAACCATGCATAAATAACAAATTAATATAATAGATAACTTATCATTCATATCTAATAATGAACACAATAAATCTATTAATACAAAAGAATATTGTTTTAACTTTACTTATAAATATATTATTTTGAAGTATAATTATCAATGTAAATCTAAAATTCAATAATGTTTCTTAGTATTAACTATTCATTTGTATATCAAAATATTCAAATATTCTTAATTAATTTTATTTCTAATTTTCATTTTGATAGAATCCTTTATTTTTTTTTTTGATTTATTTTCATATGAATTATTCAAAATAAATGTGTTTATATATATGTTTTATCATTTGATTATTCAATATAAATTAAAATATCAAGAATTCATTAATAGTTTTAGATTAATATTTTATATCTGAATAAATATTTTATTCTATATTTTTTAATCTTCTGCAATTATTATTATGAATAGTAATTGATATTTTTTTAATTTGGCCATTTTGAGATTTAAAATCTAAACTTATTTTCATGGTGAATTCCTTTTTTTAAATTAGCTTTAAAGGATTCAAAAGATATGTAATCTATGATTCATGACATTTATGTCATTAAATTTTATACGGTTGATTATCTTAAGTAATTATAATATATTTTTAGTAAAATCAACAAAATTAATGAGTATGAAAATTCTTTGAAATTGAATTATTTATTATCTTAGAAATACTGAGTCAAATGAGTAGAAATAAGTATTGAAAGTTAAGTTTAAATAAATTTTAATAGAGATTTAAAGATATTTTATAAATAATTAGAATCAAGAAATCTTAGAATTTTAATAAACCTTTAATGATATATTATGTAGATATTAAATGTTGAATCCAATTTTTAGTATTTAAATATATATAAGAGATATATAAAACTTAGTTTTAAAATAGTTGTTTATATAGACCCCAAATAAAATTAAAATTGTGTTGCTGATAATTTTTTAGTTAGTTTAAATAATATAATTATTCAAAATAATATTTTAATATATCTATATTTCTATAATAGTAGCCACATGAACTAATTAACTGCTCTCTATATAAGTGTTACAATATTGATATCAAAGGCCTATAATTTAAATAAGGTAAGTTTAATTCATAGAAATTAATAAGAATAAGAGGATAATTCATAAATAAACTATTGTTAACTGAATTAGATAAAAATAGATGAAATATGTTAAAGTAGAAGTAATACAATAAATTAGATTGCCATTTCAGTTGTTAATAATGTTATGGAATAGGATAGGATAAATGTATTTCTTGTAATAATGTTGCGAAAAGAACATTATGGAATAATCAATGCATATGTATGATATCATACTATGAAAATGAACAATAATCAGTCTGTTAGGGTAAATTTATAAAAGTAATAAAAAGAATGCCATAAATCTTGTAAAAGTTGTTAAGGATCAAGTGCTAATGATTGTTTAAGTTGTTATGAAGCTTATGAAATAGTGAATGGAAACTGTGTATGCAACTTAGGTTATTTTTATGATTATGACAATATGGAATGCAGATGTATTAAATTATTATAAAAATTAGAATGTCATTTTAGTTGTGAATATTGTAGTGGTTATGGAATTGATAATTGTTTAAAATGTCTGATTAATTCATATAGATCATAAATAAATAATAAATGTTTGTGTAATGATGGGTATTATGAAATAGAAGGTGATCCTGTTTGTAAAAGTAAAGAATTTATTTTATTAAAGAATGCCATACAAATTGTAATACTTGTAGTGAATATGAAAATTGTTTAAGTTGTTCAAGTGATAAATTATTATTAAATAATGAATGCGTTTGTTAAACAAATTAATTTTTGTTCAAATCAAAGTTCTTTTCATCTTGCAAATGTAATAAATATTATATTTACTTAGCTTGTAATAAGAGATGCTTATCTTGTTTTGGATAATTAGAATATTAATGTTTAAGTTGTGGAATACATAGTACTTTATAATTAAACAATTCATGTTTATGTGATTCTGGTTATTACCTTATAAATGATTAATGCTAAATATGTGATTCAAATTGTTTAACTTGTGCATATAGTAATACACATTGTTAAAGTTGTAATACAAATTATGTTTTATAAACAAATAATATTTGCTGTCATATATCAAATATCTTTGTTAATAATCAATGTGCATGCACTAGTACATAATATAAAGATTCAAGTGGAATTTGTTAATGTAATTATTAAATGTAATTATTTGAGAATGTGCATTGGAATGTTTGACTTGTAGTGGTATTAATTGTGATGAATGTTCAAATAAATTATATTATGGATTATCTTGTAACTCTTCATCTGCTTTACCATCAAATTGTAATTTTTTTGATATAAGTGGGAATTGTGCATAATGTGTTAATAATTATTAATTAAGTTCCTCAAAAGTTTGTGAATGTAATCTTCCAAATTATGTTATCATTTCAGGAAATAATTGTATAAGTAAGAAATTAAGAATACTAAGATTGTTCCACATTTAAAAGTAATTGTACAAATTGTAATTCATCTGGATGTACATAATGTGATTCATCATATTATGTCTCATCAGGAGATTGTGTATCTTGTGGATCTAATTGTTAATCATGTTCATCATCTTCAGCATGTAATAATTGTATAAGTGGTACTTTTGGATCAACATGTATATCATGTCATTAAACTTGTATGAATTGTTCAAATGTTGGTGCTAGTAATTGTACTTAATGTAAAAATAATGCCCATTAAGATTCATCAGGTATGACTTTTGGTTGTGTTTGTAATTCACATTATTATATGGATGTAGATTCTAATTGTTAAAGTTGTGATTAAACTTGTGATGAATGTTCTTCTATAAATACTCATTGTACATAATGCAATTCTACTTATAAGAGAATTCTTAGTAGTAATAGTTGTATTTGTGATACTATTAATGGATTTTAAGATTTAGGAACTCTTTAATGTTATAATATTGATTGTGGTTTTGGATGTGCTAATTGTGTATTTGTAACTCCAGGATTCATTTGCAATTCTTGTATGGGAACTGAAACATTTAGAAGAAATGATCCATCATCAAATTGTCCATGTGAGGATGGATATTATGATGTTTAATCAAGAATTTGTTTATGTATCTTTATTAATTTTTACTTTAGAATGTCCATATTAATGTTCTACATGTTAATTAGATCCATTTTCTAATTTACCTGTTTGCATAAATTGCTAAATTAATAGAGATATAAATGATTTCTGTAGATGTGCAAAAGGATTTTATGAAAGTGGAACTAATTGTATTACTTGTCCTTCTAATTGTTCTAATTGTATAAATTAAGATCGTTGTATCTAATGTTAAAATAACAATTTTGATCATGATAAAATAAATGGAAAATGTTTATGTAATCTTACTAATTTTAGTAATAAATATAATTGTACATGTTTAAATGGATACTATCTTAATAATATTAATAAAAAATGTTTACGTAATTTATTAAATTAATTAATTATAGCTTGTCATTCTAATTGTAATACTTGTATATATTCAGCTACTAATTGTATAATATGTAATGATTATCATGCTTATCCACCAAATTGTGAATGTTCTCCTGGATTTTATTTATAAGATTCTTAATGTTTACCTTGTATTAATAATTGTTTTAAATGCAAATCCTAATCTGAATGTCTAGATTGTTCAAATTAAATGTAATTAATCAATAATAAATGTTATTGTTAAAATGGATATTTCAATTTACCTAATTCTTATGAATGTCAACCTTGTTCTAATTAATGTTCTACTTGTAGATATTCAATTAATAATTGTACATCATGTAAATTCAATAGAATTTTACCTTAAAAATGTATATGTCCTAATGGAACTTATGAAATTGATGTATATACACCATGTAATGATTGTGATAATAAATGTAAGCTTTGTGAAATATCTTCTAATAATTGTTTATAATGTTCTATTAATAGAGCAAATCCTCCAACTTGTGATTGTATTATTGGATATTTTGAAGATGATTAATAAACCTGTTAATAATGTAATAAAAGATGTAAATCATGTTAAAATACTTCTGAAATATGTATTGAATGTAAAATGAATATTGCTACTCCACCAGATTGTATATGTCCAGATGGTTATTATTATGAATCAGAATAAGGTTGTGTTTAATGTCATTTTAGATGTAAAACTTGTATTGGCTCAAATGAATATAATTGTTTATCATGTGATGAATCTAAAAATTTTGAACTTCTCTATAATAAATGTGTTTGCTAAAAAAATTATTATTTTCAAAATGATGTTTGTATTTAATGTACTATTGAAATTGAACTATGTTAAACTATCTAATGTGGAAATGGTATAATTTAGAAGAATGAATAATGTGATGATTGGAATAATGATGATAGAGATGGTTGTTCTAATAATTGTAAATTTGAAGAAGGATATTTTTGTGAATCTATACCTAATACAAACCTTCATATTTCTATTAAGATGACTTAATGTACTAAATGTGTTGAAAATTGTAAAATCTGTAGTAAAAACAAATGTTAAATTTGCTAAAGTGGTTACTTTATCACTCCTAATTTTGACTGTTAAAAATGCGAGTAAATCTTAATTATAATAATTTCATAGTTTTCATTGTAAAGAGTGTTCTGGAGCATAATAAAAAGATTGTTTATCTTGTATCAAAGGAATTGATTATGGTTTGGGTAAAAAGTGTGCTTTTTGTGAAGAAACTTAAGGATTATATACAAATAAATAAAAGTGTGTTTCAAAGTGTGGAGATGGAATTAAAATATATGATGAATAATGTGATGATGGAAATATAATTAATAAAGATGGATGCTCAGAAAAATGTAAAATTGAAGAAGATTGGGATTGTTCAAAATAAATAAATACAATAAGTTCTTGTTATAAATTAAATGTACCAATAGCTTCTATTACTTTTAACAGAGTAAAAGATTTTTATTAATCTTAAAGATAAGGATCTATTAAATTTAATAAAATTATGACAATACCTAATTCATCTATAATAAATGCATGGAAGTATAGTCTACTTAATTAAACAACATCATATTACACTATTAATTTAACTGCTCTTTTAGATTTAGATGGTTATTTGGAATCTGTTTAAATTGATTTGAAATTACTTAAATCCATGTCTTAAATTATATTTCAAGTTGATTTTACAACTTTTATTATTAATGATGCCATAGATCAATTTCCATTAAAAACTACTAATCTTTCAGTAGAATTGACTAAATACATTTAACTTGGATAAGATACTTTGAGCACATCAAAGGCATCTAAATAATTTGCATCTTCTGTATTATTTATTTTGGGGGGTGTTTCACTTTTAGGATTATTAATGGGTAGTTTAGAATTTTATTGGAATGTTCTGGATAATTTATAAATTCTATCTTATATTACCTTTATTAATGTTAATTTCCCATATTTACACAATAAATTCTTAGAGATATTTGAATTTGCAAGATTTGAATTTACAAATGACTATTTTAAATTTGATATAGTTTAAAACCTAGATTATTAATAGAATAAAGATTATCCATTGATTGTTGAAAAACAAGTAGAATATAATTTAGTGATCAATTTGAGTTCAATTGTAGTTTTATGGGTTACTCCTATCATCTTATTAATATTAGCTAAGATAAATTTATTTATTATTCATGAAATCTTGATTAAAAAATTCAAAATGTTATCCCTTTATCGTTTGGAAAAAATAAATAGTCTTACCTATTTAATATATAAATTGGTATACTTTATTCATTATATCAGCTTGAAATATTATTCCAATTTCTTTTATAACATTATTCTTAGAATTTACTTATCTAGTCTTTATGATCTAAACTTTTCAATTTTCACCTCAGCCTATTGTTGGCTTTGGAATTAGAATCCTAATTTAATAGATTAAATATCATTTATAGCAGCTATGTTCCTACTCTTCATTTAAATTGCAATTTTATTTATATTATCCTCATCATTAAAAGTATCTACTTTTCAATTAAAATCTAAAAAATTTTTATCTTAATTTAGTTCCTTATATGAAGGAGTTAATTTTAACAATTAAATAATTAGATAAATTTAATTTCTGTAACCATTAAGAAAAATTGTGTTTATGGGAGCCTTAATTTTATTTTATGATTAAGCTATTTTTTAAATATCCCTTCTAATTTCAATTTAGATTATATCTTCAATAATTTAAATATCCTAAAATCCTTATTTAAATTATTTGCAATCAATAAAAGGTATAACTTAAGAAGTAGGATTAAGTTTATCTTTATCATTAATCTTAATTTATTATGGTCAAGATAAATTGAACTTACTTGACTAAAATATAATTGAAAAGTTGTCATATGTTCATGTAGGAATATATACATTAATGCTTTGTATTAGTCTCATAATTGACTTATACCAATAATTAAAGATCATTTTTATTAAATATAAATTATCTAGGTTTTGCCAAAAGAAAAATATCTAGTAAGAAAAATAAGATAATCCTTTCCAATAAAGTATATTTATAGATTTAACATAATTTTAAAACCAATAAAAAAATTAATATAGTTTTACTAATTTTAGAATTACTTGAATTTCAATAAAAAATAAGTTTATGAGTATTATATAAATATTATTAACTAAAATAAAAATAAATATATAAAATATAAAATATTTTAAATAGTAAAATAATTATTCAAATTTTAATATTAATCATTACTGAAGTAAAACGATGGCATCTAATTAGATTTATATTAATTTTGCTTATTATTAATATAAATCATATAGAATGATTACTGTAAATTATATTTTATGGTAATAGTATATTATCATATTATCATAAATTATTATTATAGTAAATAATTTTATTAAGTGAATTATCAATGATTGAATTCTCATTTCCTTAATAGATTGCATAAAATGTTTGTGTAATAAACAATCCTTAATACCCTTTGCTGTATTTAGTTATTTATTATATTAGATCATATCAACATTCTTTTCGTCAAAATTTTAATTAATGCAGAGGATAGACATAAGAGAAAAAAGTACCAGAATAACCTATTAAGTAAATAAGTCAGCCTCAATCTAATTTAACAGAAATAAAACAAAATTCTTTAATAAGGATAGCTGAAAAATCATAAATAACATAGCCTAATAATTTTGGAAAGAAAAAAAATGGTAATTAGTTATCAAAAGTTGTTACAAAAATGGATAAAAATAATAATAATGATGATATTGCTCTTATTGGTATAAATAATAAGATTCAAAATCAACAAAATATGAATTAAAAAATATAATCAAATAGATATTATATTGATGATTTGATTACAGCATTTTAAGATGAAACAGTGAGTTTTTCTAAATTATTTCGAGACAATTTCGCAAATTCCTTTAATTTTATACCTACATTAAAATAAGTGTAATTTATTTAAGCTGAAGATAAGGAAATATAATAAAAAAAAATAAAATTGGATCCTTATCCTTAAAATCTTAAATGTACAATATATTAATTAATTGATATAGTTAAGAAGACTGTAATTTTTGATTTAGATGAAACATTAGTTCATTGTAATGAAGATGAGAGCATGGCTTCTTAAATTGTATTACCTATTACATTTCCAACTGGAGAGAAAGTTAATGCAGGGATCAATATTAGACCATTTGCTGAGAAAATGATATCATTATTAAGTGAAGTTTGTGAAGTGATGATTTTTACAGCTTCTCATGAATGTTATGCTAATGAAGTATCATTTTCTATTAAAATAAGGTTATTAATAATTTGGATCCATAATAAAGAGTAAAAAGAAGAATATTTAGAGATAGTTGTATTACTGATGAGAATTCACATTATTATATTAAGAACTTAGAAGTAATTGATCGAGATTTGAAAGATATAGTGATAGTGGATAATGCATCATATAGTTTTATGTAATAGATTAATTAATATTAGTCATCATCTTGATAATGGTATACCAATCATATCCTTTTATGATGATAAATAAGATAATCAATTAATCAAATTATATAGATTTTTAATATAAAAAGTCTTACCTTAAGATGATGTTCGACCTTTGCTTAAAGAATATTTTAAATTAGATTAAATTGATCATTTCTAAACAATAGTTGAAGCTGTTGAAAAAATGTATTGTATTGAATGAAGTTTATTTGGATACTATTTGTTTATTTTTATGTTAGTATCGTTTATAATTAATAATTTATATTACAGAATTAACCTACTTTTTTTATCATATTATTATCTTTAAATTACAGATGCAAGTTGATAGTGAAAATTTCATCGACAGTTCGAATAATCCTCATTTAATAGGAAATAGATATGTAAACCTATAATTAACATAAGTGTATGAGGAGTAGAAGAAGGAAGATTTATGATGATGGAGATTTTAAAGAAGTAGTCAAGAATTTTTACGCCTTGATATCTGAGATAAATAAAAGTACTTTATATATACTATAAAATATCTAAGTTGCTAATAAGAAAATTCAAAAAACAGCACCTCTAAAAAATAAATAATAAAACAATGTTTAAAACAAAAAGCCTCTATAGAAAAAACCTTAATCTTAAGATTTAAAGAAAACAGATCTCTACAATTTTAAAAAAGAGCCAATATATTCTTAAGTTGCTTTTTAAGCTCAACCCTATTTTAATCATCAGTAATTTTAATAGTTTTCCCATAATTATATGAACCCATATTATAATACTACACCAACATAATTAGTATAAATTATAGATAAATCTAGTAAATAATTTCTAGAAATTAACTTAACAATGGATAATTAAAAAGAAATTCATTTCACATTGCGATATCATATTTCATATATATCCAATCTAATGGCTAAGAACAGTATGAAAGTAGAGATCCTACAATGAATGCCAAAAGAAAAATGAAAGAAACTAATTCAGATGTTATAAAGGTATTAATTTCAAAGATATTTTGTTATTTTTAGTAATTAGATAATTTTGTTATGAATGAAAGACAACCTCCATTATAATAACGTACACATTAATAAAATAACTAAGAGGAATTAAAAGAAGATAAAATAGAATAGAACAATTTGAATTGAAATTTATATTTTATAATCATTTGAAATATATATACTATTAAGAAATAATAAAAAGCTTCAATAAAATATACTTTCATATTTCCAAAACTTTCATCTAATTAATGTGCCAATCCTTATTCTAAACCACCATTCCAGTAATAACCACTATGTAATCTTTAGGTTATAGTAAATTTTTATCAATCAATCTTGATATACATTCTTAAATAATTCTTTAATAATTATTAAATTAAATTACTCTTCTTAATTTGCAAATCCATTTACTAATTCTGATTATACATTATTAATGTAATTTAAACATCTACATATCTATTGATTATCACTAATTGAAATTATTTTACATGAAGCTCTAAGTTTTGATAACTTTAAAGTAGTCTATATTCTTCGAGTTAACATTAGAATTGCTTTAGCTTGTAAACTTAAATAATATAATATTAAAATACATATAAGCCATTTCAACACAAGATTTCGCAATAACTGTTGCAATTGGTTATCCTGTAAAATTTACTTAATATTAATCCCTTTATTAAGGCTATTCAAAAAGTTCTTAAAGTAATTTTTTTTCAATTTTTCTACAAATATTATTCAATGTCTAAACAATTAAAACTGGAAATTTCCCAAAACTAGTTTCACCTGATAATAATATTCCATCTATATATTATTTAACAATATTTGAAATATCTCCCATATCTGCAAAAGAGGGCTTAGGTTAAACACTCATAGATTCCAATATATATGTTGATACAAAAACCTTTAATTATAATAAAATATATATATATACAGGTTTAAATAGTTTTCGACAGCTTGAAATTATTTAAGTTTAATATTTAACTACATCTTCTACTGGTTAAGTCATTGAAATATGAGATCGTGCAATAATACATCCATCTGCCAAATTAATTATTTCCTCTAATTATTCTTCCTTTAATTTTTCTGCAATCCTAGCAAATACTTAAACATGTGGATATTTTTATTCTAATCTTTCTTTTACCTTTCATTAATGTACATATTACTTTTATGATATCCAATGCAGTATTCACTTTTGAAAATGTTATACTATCAAAATTACATTCACAAGCATATTCTATATCTAAATTATCTTGTTCTGTAAGTGATACTTATTCTTATTGTTCTTCTTCCTTTGATTACTTATTTTCTATAAATATTGATATTGGCTTAAATGATTTTAAAGTTCCAGTCTTACAACATCTGCAAATATATATTTTAACTCCACTTAATAAACACATTTAATCAAGACCAATTTTCTCACATACTCTAAATATATTAATTAACTATTACTAATCGAACAATTAAATATCTAATAATTCTAATATTATATGTCCATAGTCTATTGCTAACTTATCATTTATATTTAATTTCTCAAGAAATTCATTTGAATCTATTGGAATTAATTAATTATTTCCTACTATATGTTAATCTGAAGTCAAATATACTATATTTCCTTCCTCAAAATTGAATAATTAATTACTTCTATTTATGTTTCAGGATCTTACAATTACCCTACTCTTATTACTTGTCCTCTTAAAATTAAATTTATAGGTATTTTAGTTTTAAATTCTGTTTCTAATTGACATCTATTCTTATCCAATATTTATAAACTCTCTTTATTTTTAATATAAGCCATATTAATGCTAAAACTATTAAACTATATTCTACGTAAAACCATTGCATCCAGCTTCAACCATATTCTTCAATAAATCATAATTACAACAATTTTCACTTACAGAACAAATAATTCTAGTTCTTTTTGGTTCTTACATGAAAATTTTTATTATAATATATAATAAATATCTTTAGTTTATAAATTTTTTACGCATTAATATTATACTGATTAATATATTCTAATATTTTGGATATTGTATAAGATCTAAAATTTATAAATTTATTAGAAATTATATATAACAATTTATATTTGTAGATTATTTCATAAATTTAACTTAAAATAATAATTATAAATTTGATTTTTCAATCAATAATACTTCGATAACTTAGTTCTATTTTAATTTTATGATTCATTTAATCTTGAGCTATTAATTAAACTATATTTAAATACATTTCTTTTTTGTGAGAGTATTGATTAACATATGAGAGTTTTTGGGACAATATGGGAAACTTTTCTTGTTATTCTATTACTTAAGATGAATTTGTATGTTAAACAATCATGTAATTATTCATAGGTTAAGAATCCCAATCAATTTTTTATTTTTTTGGTGGAGACTACTATGCAAACATTTATTCAATTTCTTAATCAGCCAAAAAATCTTCTTGATCAAATGATACTTATTGTGCCTTTAAAATAGTAGGTTATGATGCATACATTTTATTTTTGATTAAATTATTACTAATTTTAAACAATAATTTACTTTTATTATTAGCTACCATTTCTTTGGTTATTTGCTAATAATTTTTGGCTAAAAGGAATAGATTATTATACAGGATTTACCTTATTTTATGTAGTTTAAGAAAAACCAAGAGGTGCTTATTATTAAATAGATTAAATTATTTATTGTTACATTTCTTATTATTACTAAAATTATTTAGACAATATTTTAGGATCATTTTATTAATATTAATGATTAATTTCTGGTAATTTTGGTAATTAAATGTTGTGATTATATCTAGGAGGCTTTTTAACTTCAACATATTTAAACCAATAAGATTTATCATATTTTTTAGTAGGATGATTAATAACAATTTTATTTTTAGGTTAATCAGGTTCAGGATCTTTTGGGAAATAATCTTTATATAAAGGATTGTTTTTTTAAATTTTCCTTTCTGCAGATATTAACCAAAAATTATTTCCAAGTTCTGATAAATCAGCAGTTGTTTATTTTTCATTAAGAACTTCAAAAATAGTAACATCTTTCTTTTCATTTACATTTGATTTTAAATTATCATTTTTTTATACTGAAATAACAGATAAATCTTAAAGATGTAATGTCTGATTTCCATTACGATATTATTCAATATCATTTTCTTTTTCTTTTAGAAGTTTTTCTAGTTCTTCAACTTTTTTTAATAATTTATCTAATTTTTCTTCATGTTTTTTTTCCATTGTTTCTAGATGTTCCTATTTATCTATTTAAGCTTATTTCAAAACTGCAATTTCATCTTACATAGTTGATATTAATTCATCTTTCATTTATAATGCTGATTGTAAAAAAGTTATTTTTTCAGATAATGTTGATTTGTTTGATTTTTATGATTATTATTATGAATGAAAAGATTTTTTAAATTCCTCTATCTCATTTTTCTCATTTTAATCATTTTATTCATTTTAATCCTTTTCTGATTATTTTTAATCACCTTCTTCTTAATTGTCTTATTAATTTATTTATTATTCAGTTATTTCTTCTTAATTATTCTATTCATCTGTTTTATCAATTTATTCTTCTTGTTTTAAATCTGTTCCATCTTATGATTATCTATCTTTTTCTGGAGATTAAATTTAATCTCTTTATACAACTGGAGATGCTTCATGCTAAGAAGTTCTTGTTGGTGTTGCTACATTTGAAGCTTCTTTTTGTATCTAAGCTTATTCCTAATTTTCTTCTTCATTTTAGTTCTTCAATTCAACAATAGGTGCTTCTATTCTGGAATTGTCTTGTATGGTCCCATCATTAAGAGATTAATTTTACTAAATGCCTGTTTAATCATCATTCTCATTATCATTCTAGATGTTTAAATCTTCTTTTTATTATTCTGTTTCATCCTATTAACTCATATCTATATAATTTAGTAAATAAATAAATTATATATAATAATTCTTATGTGAAAGAATATAAACAAATAGTAAATATAAGTCAATCAACTTTTTATATTTCTAAAACTACTGTAAATTACTTTCTGCTTTTTATTGAAAGTTACCTTTTTTAAAGATCTTTGTGAACCAAATGTTAAAGATTCTTTTAATTGAGTTTTAGGACTTTAAGGATTGGATCCATCATATATTTTATTTTTAAGTATTGACTTACCTTTACAAATATTATAACATGAACTCTTCTTTTAGTTTTTTAGACTGTTTTTTTCAACATTTGAGTTGTTTTACTGCTCTTATTAATCCCTTTCTTAAAGAAAGATAATTTCTTCTGTTAATTAAAATTTGACATCCTTGATTGCCTTTTCTTATTCAGTAATAGCAAATTCTTCTTATTAGGATATAATTTTTGGTATTGAAATGAAATTTTCCTTTTCTATAGGAACTACATCTGATTATATTTACAAATTATTAATAGGACAAGGCTTTTAAACTTTAGGTGGACCTTTTATATAGATTCTTGCTTATTTAGAAATATTATTTTCTTATTCGGAAATAGTAATTTACATTTAACAGATTCCTCCCATTTTGATATCGATGAAATTTTTATTTTGATTCAATATTTTTAAGAGTAAAGGAATTATGACTTATTAAATAAGTATATGAAAAGATATTTCATAAATTACATACGTAATAAAAATTTTTAAAATTTGTTTAGACTAAAATTTTTAAGAAAATATTTAAATAATCTGATTTGCAAAAAAAAACCATCAATATTGAATTGACATTTTAAGTGATAATTTTGGATAAAATGTTTATTAAATCAATTTTAAAATTTAGAGTAGATTGTTTATTTCTGTTTTAGTAATAATAAAGTTTAATCATTAAAATCAATAAAAGAAAATTAATTATTAATTAAAATATATCTATATCAACTAATCTTGATATATGAAGTATTTTCGATTATTAATTAATAATTTGTTAAAAAAAAACAGTTAATCTAAATGACAATTCTTAATCTGAAAATATGTCTAATTAGAAATATCTATTAATTAGAACGTATTTATTTTTGGATATTAATTTTCTTATTATATATAAACATTAACTGATTAGATTTCTTATATAACATGAGTGATATCAACTAGATTAAGATGGCAAAATGTATAGATTTGAAGATTTAAAGTTAGTAGTTGAGCATAATAATACTTATTTTATTATATATTGACAAATATACGTTAAGATTGTAACAGTAATTGATATAAAATAATGTTTAAAAATGGCTTTAAGTTAGTTTAATTTTAAGATTGTTTTTATCATTTGTCTTAAATATTAAAATTAAAGTTGATTATCTAAATTATTAACCTTGTTTCTTATCAATTTTTTGAATTTATTAAAACACATAATAATCACTTTTATAAAGTAAATCATTATCATAAATTTCATCTCCAAAAATTAATTTTAAATTAAATCAAATTATAATTTAAACCAATTTGATTTTTTTATTTTTTATCAATATATTTATACATAATCAGATAGATACTTTCATTTGTTTATCAATAGACTAAGAAAGTTTGATAATTGTAAATTTCATATTCGTCTTAGATTTAAAATTTTAGAAATTGTACCATGAAATTAAAAAAATACATATAATGAGTAATTATAGATCATAGATCAATAATTAATCCAATATTACTAACAATGATTATTTAAATGAAACTATTATCTTGACTGGAAATAAAATTCGTATTTTGTATATCATACTTAAATATTAAATATAATTCTATTCTCAAAATATGAATTATTTGATTAGATTTTTTAAATAAATAAAAATTTATAAGACATTTCATTACATTACATAAAGTCAATAATTCATTCTAATTTAAATTTATAATTTAAGCTTTATTTAAGAATGCTTGATATAAATTCATTTGAATATCCAAATGTTGTTTTTATTAATTCAATCTCTTTAGTAACTGTTGTATTAAAGCATAATGTATCATCTGTACAAATAGCAATAGGAATTCCTTGACTAATAAATTATTTTACGGGATGACAATCAGGATGCATATTTGTTGTAAATAAATTGGATGAAAAGCATACTTCTATGAGAATATTAAGATTTTTTATTTTATTAAGTTGTTCTTCTGTAAAATATATAAAATGTCCTATTCTATCTGGTTAAAAATCAATGACATCATTATTTTCCTCTATTTATTATTTAAGTTCTCCTGTATGCACAGTAATTTTATATCCTAAATCTCTAAATTTTTATAAAATTGATTTATATTATGAAAAATGACCAATACCAGGATGGCCACATAGATCTACCCCAACTAAATGTTATATTTTATTTTTTTTCACTAAATTAAGTGTTTTTTCAGCTTCATCAATACCTTTTGCTCTATCAATAGCTACTATTAATTTTATTTCAAATTTTGCCTTATTTATTGCATCTGATATTGCTTTTAAGTATTGTAATTGATCGAAATCCTAACCTTTTTTAGGTGTTGCTCTAATTTCTAAATAGGTAACACCATCTGAATAAAAATCTTCAAATATTTCATCTGCAATTCTTCGAACATCATCTAACATTAAATTTAAAGAATTTATTTTGGCAAATAATATAAAACATTATTCTAAGGTTGTACATTTTTAGAAATTTATTTCTTGATTCTATCCAAATTATCTAATTGTCAACTCTTAGAGAGTTGTAAAACGAATACAACCACTAAAATGAGCATGCAATTCAATTTTATCCATATTTATAAATATTTTATTTTTTTATAAGAAAAATGCGATTGAATTCAAGAATTGCTTTAAATATTTAATAATTAATATATAAATAAAATTGATAGAAGTAAAAGATTATAAAAGAATGATGAATAATTTTGTTTATAGCTAAATAATCTTTAATATCAAATAATATAATATAGTTTTTAAATCGCTAAAAGAAGAATTTATAATTTCTTAATTACTAATGTTGTTAATTAATTAAATATTATTTATTAATTTGTTCTTCAATAAAAATTAATGAATTTGATAATAGAATCTCATTTAGCTTTATTACTTAATACTAAACCATATATTTATTTGTGTTTATTGTAATCTTAAAATTTAAAAACTTATCATTCCAGCATAATGAATAGTATCTAGTAGAATGTATTTGATTGGAATCCTGTGTTTGGTGTATTGATCAATTAAGAGAATGATGATATTTAAATTGATCTTATGCCTTATAAAAAGGCTGATTTTAAAGAGTAAAGAATTGAAATCAGACCTCAAATTTTATTTAAGAAATAACTAAATTATGATGTAGAAGCAGGTTGGAGTTGGCATAAATCCTGGAATTTGCCTGAATTTGATTATATCATAAATGTAAACTACATTCTAACCTATTTTAGGATGAACAAATCTAAAATTTATCCTAAAAAGGAGCTTTATTTGTCTAAATTTTTGTAGCTAAAGCTTTAGAAAAGCCTTAATAATATAAAAATTTAGGTATTAAGGGAGAATCAAAAAAATAAATAATAGACTTCCAAGCAAACTTTAGATGTCTAAAATTCACAACAACGTCATATAATAACTACGTATTTATGTAAATAGTAATGTTAGCACAAAAAATTCCATTTGATAATTGTACTGTTTTATTCCTCAGTAAATGGAGAAAATATGGTACTTAACTCAATCATATCCCCAGAAATCTTTGTAGATTCTAGAAAATATGCTAGATTTCATAATTTTTCTGTACTTCAGAATTCTTTTACAGAATTATTTCATTATCAGTTCTTTGATTCAATAATAATAAAAAGGGAAACAAAAAATAAGACTTTAAAAATAATCAAAATAGAAAACTCAATCACAGGATTTATTAATTATTTTACCGCCTCAAATATTAGGAATAAAATTAAGCATCCTATATTTTTAGCATTAAGATTCTCCAGTCTTGTTAAATTATTTGTTGATTAATAAATGTTCTATTCATCAAACAATATTGTCACTTAGATTTAAAATCATTTAAACAATATTGTCAATAAATTAGAGAATTAAAAGAAGATAAAGATATTAATTTCAATTAATATTGAAGATTATACAATCTAAAAAAAGGTACAATTCATTATTATTAAGGCTTTTGAACTAATTTAATCATTAGAAAATACTTGCTATGAAATTTATACACAGAAATGTTATTTACCTAATAATATAAGGGAGATAGAAGATTTGAAATAGCTTTATCTGTAATATTAAGAACTCTTCTAATAATCTTAGAAATAAATTAATTAGACTTCACATATTGATTTTATAAAAACATAATCTATACTCTAATTAGAAGATAATGTATTACAGAAGGTCAAAATTGAATAATAACCTGATACAAAAAATAATTAACCATTATAAACATAGAATGATATTAATTTGCATAAAATTGAATTTGATAATTCAATAAAAAAGGAAGAAGACTAAAACAACAAATAGTAATAGATATAATAAAATGTTTATTAATAATAATAATATGTCCCATTTGTTAATATTAATTAACCCTAATTGCATTTAGATCCCTATTTAATACAGTCTTATTAAAACTAGGTACCACTTGTAAATTAATAATTTTAAAATTATTATTTGAATCAATTTCCATATTCAAATCCCTACTAAAATATGTGGAAATATTTTTGATATATATAATTTAAATATTAAATAAATAATTCAAAATTAGAAATTTAATATATTTATAAAGAAAAAGTCTTTAAAAATGAATATGAAAAAACCAAAAATAAAAGCAATAGAATCAATACATTTCTGTATTTTTAAAATTCGAATGTGTATGTTTGACTCTTTTTCTAGATTCTTTTTTTACTGGCATTTCGCAATTTTTACAATCATCACATTTACATAATTCAGAACATTTGACACCCATTTAATAACATTCACAATATTTTTTTAAACAATTAGATTTTTTGCAATTACACCCTTTAAAATGTCTAGGCTTTTGTTCAATTTCATCTTCAGAATTACTCTAATAATTTATTATTTATAATACTCTAGATTCAACTTTTGGTCTAAATGCTTGTGGATTTCTTTCCATTATTTATTTAATTATATTTTCTCTTTCTTTTATATGATCATCATTATTATGACAAGAACAACAATTACAATCCTTACCACATGGAACTCCAGCAGCAAAACAATCACAGTACAATTTTAGACATTTTGATTTTTTACAATTACAAACTATAATTTTTGGTTTCTATTCAGTTTAAGGTTTTCTTCTTTTGGAGCTGGTTCTTTTTCTATTGTTAGCTTAATCACTTGTAAATTTGAGAGGTTTCTTGAGAGTAACAAAATTAATGAATTTCAATTTTGTGGCTCTTTCTAATTTACGATGTGGAGACTTAGGGGGACTTCTAAATTATGAGTGAATATCTTAATCATCAGAGAATATTTCTTCTTCATCACATAATAGATCATCTGGAACTTTGAGAGAACTAAGTGGTGAACTAATATTGACAAGTCGTTGTTCTGTCTTAGTATGATCAAAATTTATTTATCTTGCTGGTGATATAACAAAGATATTAGCCTTTTTTGTTGTTTAATGATTTAATGGGGAATAAGGCTAAAATCTAGAATTGATTATGAAAATAGAGTACTAATTGGGAGACTTTAAGCATGGTGTAAACTCTAATTTCTTACATACTTATTCAGGGGACTAGTCTTTTATATATATTTCATCTTGGTTGTGAATACAATCGGCATTAAAAACTGGAGATTTATGAATTTTTTCTAATCTTTAAAACAATTTTGTAAATGGAGTTCCATCTTATATAAATTCTGAGCTCATATGTTATATGAATTTTCCCTCTGAATTTAAATTCAAATTTTTATATATAAAATACCAAACAATTATTACCCGCATTTAGAGTAAATAATCTAATAAAATGCCCCGCTTTTTAAAGATAGCTTTGATTTGAATTGTTGTCTTTAAATTATTTAAGTTTTTACATGAATTTTTTTCATGTTTAGTTTAAATAGTTGTTAGATAATGTCAAAATGATTTCCCGCATTATTTTTTGTATTTGTAGCATTATTAATTTTGTTATAATTTGTTACTAATTAAATTTATCAAAAACATAAATAAAATTTAACAATTTAATTTTCTGTCATTTTGATAATGAATAAATAATTAGATTGTGATTAAATCATGATATTTTTTATTAAATTATTGCAATATTAAGAAATTATAAGTTCAATTCTATATCTTTTGAAAAAAGATAATAATTAATATCAAGTGAATTGAAAATTCAATTATATTAATAATATAAAGGGTCTGCATTAGTTAGTTATCAAATAAATTTATTTTAAATAATTTAAATAACCGAAGATATGGGTCATCTTTTTAGACATTAATAAGGAGATGCAGGTAATTATGTATCTTTAATTAACAGTAGCTCCTGCTATAGCCAATATTCCAGCACCTTAAGCATCCAATATTGATTATGATTGGGTTCTAATTTCAGGGTTCATTATAGTGTTGACATAAGTGGGATTTGCATTTATTGAAGCAGGATCTGTGAGATATAAGAATTCTTAATCAATAGTGATAAAAGTCATATTGGGTTTATTTTTGACTATTTTAATATGGTGGTTGGTAAGAAATAAAGTTAAATAAATATAGTTTGGATATGGATTCTCATTTGGATATGATTTCTAAACAAACTTTATGGGAGGTACAAAATTAGGAGGATCAAATTGGGAAGCAAATCAATACGGAAATGATTATACAAACTTTGGTATTTCTGTTAATATTCAAATTTATGTTTAGTTTTCAGAGCATCAGGTGCAGCAATTGCTGTATCAGTATTATCTGGAGCAGCTGCAGAAAGAATGACATTCTTAGCATGGTCAATATTAGCTATAGTATATGCAGGATTCATCTATGCTGGATTAGCACATTGGACTTTAGGATAAGGATGGTATTGATTAAATGAGAAAATAAATAGGTTAACAACTTTGGGATATAAAGATTTCTCAGGAGCTGGTGTTGTATTTTTTGCTGCAGGTGTTGCTGGATTAGTTGTTACAGTATTATTGAAACCAAGAAGATTCAGATTTGATCCAAATACAACTTTATAATTCTAAAGACATTCTCCAATTTATATTGCTTTTGGATCAATTTTAGTCTTTGCTGGATGGTTATTCTATAATGGTGGTATTGTAGCATAAGGAGCTCATTCTAAATACACATAAGGATTAGTTGCTGTCAATACTTTGATTGCTGGAGCTACTGGTGGATTCTTTGCTTTTATCATTAGATATTTTTAATATGAAACTACAAGTTTAGTTGCCTTATCTAGAGGTATTATTAGTGCTTTAGTGGCTGTAAGTGCTGCTACTGATGATATGAAACCATGGACTGCATTCATTTATGGTCTTTTGGCTGCAGTTTTTTATAGTGTTTTGGCAAAAGTAATTCCAAAAGTACATATTGATGATCCTGTTGAGGTTGTACCTGTGTTTTTGGTATGATCTTATATTTATTGAATAGGGTAATGGATTTTTGGGAATCTTTTTGTCAGCATTCTTTGACACCAAAGCAGGTGTTTTTTATGGATTCGGTGCTAAATTATTAGGAATGTAATTGTTGGGATTATTGATCATATTTGTATGGGTTGCCTTTTTCGTCTTGATTACATTGCTTATTTTAAAGGGATTCGGAGTACTTAGAATAGATTCAGAAACTGAAAGTGTTGGTATTGATAAGGCACATTGTAATTAAATTAAAATTATCTTTAGGTTTGGGTGAAGCCATTGTTTTTGCAAATTAAATAGATGAAGTTCCTCTTGTATAAAAAACCGAAATGGTTCAATTAGGAAATAGCCAAATTGGATCAGGATTTAGACCAGGTTTCAGATGATATTAAATCATTCATATATATGATCAATTTTTATCAAAAATCTTTAATTTGTTTTTTGATATCATATAAAGTATATTTATACCCTAATGCATCAGATCCATAAATAATATGTATAATTAAAGAATTTGGAACAAAGTAGACTAAAACTTTTCTAACTATACTAATGTATTGCGTCTAAAGCTCTTAAAATCCGGTAAGAATACTCATTTTGTCTATGTACAATGTACGGAATGCTTTATAATGTTATTTAAAGTAACAAAAACTTTTATATAATTAGGATGCCGATTAAACGAAACCTTACAAATATTTACCTATAAATTTTGAATATAAGTTTCAAGTTTTAAGAACTCCACCTTTATTAATAAACCCGTCACTTTCTGAAAAGAAAGGCGAGAATGTTGTATCTCTGGGAGAAATACTTGCTATAAGATTTATTAGGGAAAGTGTTGAAAAGTGGAGTGAATTTAGGGGATCAGTGAGTGATTTGGAGTAATTGAGACAGTTTTTAGGAAAGAAAATGAATTAAACAGGATTTCATTAGTATTTTAAGGTGTACAAAAAAATAGGGAAAGGTAGCTTTGCTTCAGTGTATTTGGCATAGAGAATAGAAGATGGAACAAAGATGGCTGTGAAGGCGTTCTGTAAGAATGCAGTTTATAAGGAAGAGAATGGAAAGGTAAGCATGAAAATAAACAAGTTAGGATGGGTTAATTAATGAAATTCAAATAATGAGAATTCTAGATCATCCAAACTTAATGAAGTTGTATGAAGTTTATGAAACCTAAAATTCTATCTATATGTGTCTGGAATTACTAGAAGGAGATCAATTATATGGATTATTCAAGATGAAAAAATCCTTTAGTGCTTAACAAATACATTCAATTATGAAAGGGTTATTAGAAGGATTGAATTATATACATAGTATGGGAATAATGCATAGAGATCTTAAACTAGAAAATATTTTATTCAAAGAGCCAGAGTATGATAATGTTAATATAGATTAGTAATTACGATTCTGTTGTGATAGCTGATTTCGGATTAGCAACAAAAATTGATTAAAAGCCATTTCTTTATACAAAGTGTGGAACTCCTGGATTTGTAGCTCCGGAAGTTATAAATCTAAAGGATGACTAATTATCTTATGGTTCTGTCTGTGATATGTATTCGTTAGGAGTGATCTTATACATCTTGATTACAGGACAACCAGCATTCAAAGGAAAGAGTTATAATACTATTGTAAGGAGGAATCGAGAAGCCATTGTGGATTTTCAAACAGAAAAACTTAATTAAGTGTCAGATAATTAGAGAAGTTTATTGATTAAGATGCTTTAGGCAGATCCAGAATTAAGAATTACTTCTAAATAGGCATTGAAGCATGAATATTTTTGTGCTTATTATGAAGAAGAGTTTGCATAGATGTATACTGATGATGATCCACACTTGGGTGAAATGCTTATCAAATTAAATGCAGAATATATTAGATTGGATATGGAAAGATTGAAAAGATCAAATGATGAAAATGATATATGCAAGACTGAGGATTTGAAGGTTGACTAAAGTTAAGAAAAGAATGATCTACTTAAAATCATCATGAGAACCCCAGTCATTACAGGAAGAACAAAATCTATTGAAAGTATTTTTTTATCTTTATTTAGATTCTCCTCTTAATGGATTCCAATCACCAAATTAAGACTCTTACACTCCTCATATCAAATAAATTTAGGCTAAATGGATTAAAGCTTTTGATTTATAAAATTGAGAAAAGGATATTTATATTTGCATTTAGATTGTACTAATATTCATTATATAAATATATAAATTATTTTCTCTCAAAAGGTCATGCAGAACATCTTATCTTAATAATAACAATTTTTTGATTTGTTAGACAATTAAGTAGATGCCTATAAGACATTGCTTGATCAATTGAGTTCAAGTTAAGACAAATTTAACAATCTACTTTAAGATTATTTGCTAAAATTTCAAACGATCAATAATAAACTAGTCTAAGGACGTCAAGATTTTTCCTGTTCATAAATTCAAATTAAAAGAAATGATGAGTTGTACACGCATTCTTAATTACATATATAATTCAATTTAAGATCTGTAACTCTTATTTTTTTAAAAGTATTAGTTACTGGAGAAACAATATAAATACAAACTTATATTAGCAGATGCCATAGAAACTCCACTTTATCGAGATCGTATTTTCCAATTAAGAGTTGAATTGAAAAATAAAAGTGGGGACCTTGTTAAAAACCCTAATAAAATTGAGCTTGTCGTTGCGATATATTCATAAGAACAATATCCAAAGGAAATCAAAATTAATAATAAAGGAGAATAGATATTGAAAGGTCATTTGTGTGTTCCTCTTATCAAAGGAACTGCTTTTTTTACAAGAGTTTAAATTAGGGAAGTATCTTCCCATTATTAAAATGGATCCATCATATTAGCAATTTTACCATAATTCAAATCAAATGATGAACCTATCAATAGTAGAGACATCCAACCACTAATTGTTGAGAACATCAAAGTTAAAGCAAAAAAATTTTCAGAACGCCACATTCCTGTATATGTAAATTAATGATTAATTATAATGTTTGGGAAAATCATAATTTCTACAATTATCATTGTGATTCTATCTTCTTTTGTTTTCATTTATCAAAGTATCCCAGAATATCAAGGAGAATGGTCATCCAAACATATAGATAATGATGTTAAGTAATAAATAGAAGTTAAATAATTATAGGATATTTAGAGATAAAACATTTGGTATCCCCCATATTCATGCAAAAACTTTAAAAGAAGGATATTATGGATTAGGATTTGTACATGCTTAAGATAGATTATGGTAATTACATTTAAGAAGGTAATCTATAAATTTGAATAAATTAGAATGTCTTCATAAGGTAGATTAAGTGAAATTTTTGGTTATCGTTAAGAAATTTTGAATATAGACAAGTATATTAGAAATTTAGGATATCTTGAATCATGTAAAAGGATAGTAGAAAAATTAAGTGAAGAAGCAAGAATTCATTTACAATCTTATGCAGATGGAATAAATGATGGAGTGAAATCATTATAAATACTACCAATAGAATTTAAAATATTAGGATTATAATTTTAAGATTGGCAAATATTTGACACCGTAGCATTCATTAAATTAATGTCATTATTGAATGTTAATGATATGTTTCATGAATTTATGAGATCAAAGTTTGATGAATTATATGGAAGAGAATTGGCAAATATATTAGGTTCAGTTGGACCTCATAATTAATTTGATTCAAATGTTACAGAAGTTTAAGAAAATGAATGGATTTAATTTATTCAAACACATAATGTGTCATACAATTAAAAATTTTAATAGAGTTCCAATTATACTAATGATAGTTAAAATATAAAAACAAAAAAATACAATTTAACAGAAATTTTATAATCAATACCAGAATATTACTCCAATTATATATTCCCAACTCTTAAAGCATCTAATGCTTGGGTTATTAGTGGAAATCATACCAAAAGTGGAAAACCTCATTTAGCTAATGATCCACATTTAGATAATAATATTCCATCTTAATGGTATTAAGCTGAAATATATTTTCAGATGGAAAATCAAGAATATAATTATATTATAGGTGGAACATTACCTGGATTACCAATTAGTATGAGTGGAAGAAGCAAGTATTTAGGTTGGGGATTGACTACATTATATTCTGATGGAGGTGACATTTATGAGGAAGAGATAATAATTAAAGAAGGTGAATAGTTATTCTATAAATTCAATGATGAATGGATTCCTTGTAATAAAACAGTAGAAATTATTAAAATTAAAGGTCAAGAAGATTAATCTATTACTATATTCCATACTCATCATGGTCCAATTATGTAATACTATCTTGAGAATAATAAATTAAGAGATCATAAAGGACATTTTTATTCATTATAATCTATAGTTCATATAGATGATTATGAATCCTTTGATGGATTTATTAAATTTGCTTAAGGAAAGGATTTAAAATAAAGTATGGAACATTTGAAACATATTTGTTATCCTAATAATGGAATGGTATTCATTAGTCATGATAACCATATTGGTTATTTATCAACAGGAAGATTAGTTATAAAAGAAGGACATCCAGAAGAAAATGGCTATGTTAAAAAAAATAATAAAGAATGGATTAGATATGTACCATATTCAGAAATTCCTATGATAATTGATCCTGAAAAAGGATATATTGTTGTTGCAAATAATAAATTTATACCAGAAAATGAATTAAGTTGGAACTCATAACCTACAAGTAGAGGAAGAAGAATAAATGATTTAATCAATTAAATGATCAATAAAGGATAGAAATTTTCCATTTTAGATCACATAAAATTATAGTCGGACACTTATGATAGTTATGCTTGTAATACTAAAGATGAATTAATTTAGTTGCTTAAGAAATATGATAAATAGAAGGAATTAATAAATGAAATTGTATTTTTAGAAAATTGGAATTGTAAATGGGACTCAGACTCTTCAGGTGCTTTATTATATGGAGTATTTGAATATTTTTATTCATTTAAATTTCACTCTCAATTAGATGAAGCTGTAATTAAACAATGGAATAATTTTTACATGTTTGATTCATTTCACTTTAAAAATTTAATAGAGATGAATAATGCATAACCTAATGATTAAATTCTTAATTAACCATATTGTAATGGTTCAGTTCAAGATAAATGTGCTTAAAATTTAATTGAATCTTTAAGGGAAGCTAAATAATATATACATGATAAATATGGAAATTAAACAACGGATTGGAAATGGGGATCATTACATAATTAAGTGTTTCCTCATGCATTTTCGAAAACACCTTTTGCATTCATTTTTGAAAGAAAGATACCTTTTCACTCAAACAGAAGATCAGTTGCAGTGTCATCTTATGATTTAGATGGATCATTTAATGGTAAAACTGGATCCAATTATAAATAAATTATATCAATGGATCCTGAAGAATCTAATTTCTTTGTAATTGATACAGGAATAAGTGGTAATCCTTTTAGTAAATTATACACTAATTAAATGGATATTTGGAAAGAAAATAAGTATGTAAAGATGAAATTTGGTAATAGAACAGATTATGATTTATTATATGTTATACATCCAAATTGAGTTAAATATAGATCTAAATACTTTTATGTAAATAATAATATATTGATATTATTTCACTCTTTTTTATCTGCTTATTGTGCTGCTTGTCTCTCAGCCTTTTTTTCAGCTTTTTTCTTCTCAGCTTCTAATTTTTTTTATTATTTTTTGCTTTCTGGATTTGGTTATTCCTATTATTATTATTATTTTGGTTATTATTCTTATTATTATTCTTATTATTATTCTTTCTTTTATTCATCCACAGTTCCAGTTTGAACAGATTTCAAATCTAATTTGGTTTATATACTGGCTGCTTTAGTTTTACCATCAGGAATATAAATCAATTCATATTTATCTCCAATAATTTTATCTATTCTGAAAAAGCCTCTTCTCTCAAATTATAATACGGATCCTAAATAATTTTTAATAAATATATTTACCAACTTAAAGTGTCTTAATTCCAGCATCGGCTAATGCTTCTGTAACATATTTACTATTTGGATTATAATAATCCTCAAATTTATGATGTTCTTCAATTGTTTTAACTTTAATAAGATGATCATATTCAACCAAATCTACATTTACAATTGGAGTATCTTTAGCAAGCCAAGTATATTTATTGGTTGTTTTGAAATCTTTATCATCTGGTAAGTTTTCACCAGTCAATAAGATTTATCCATCAACTTCCTTTTTTTCTGTTATTTTAACATTACCCCACTTCATTAATGTTATTTTCTCATCAACTTTAATATCTTTAGCATCCTATGCTTCTAAGTACAATTGGCTACTTCTGAATAAAGGTCTTGTGCCTAATTCATTATTTTTAGGATGTTATGGAACTGTAACTACATTAACACCTTAATCTTGATAATTTGAAATTGTCAAAATTGAAATTCCTTCCTTTCCTACAGCTGTATATCTTGGAGCAATAGGATCTATCTTTGTAAAATTGATAGCCCAAAGCTTATCCCAAGTTTAAAGATTAGCATTTTTTGATGGTCCTTATTCTAACATAAAATCATGTAATGTTTCAACTGTAATTCCTCTTCTAATGATACCTCTAAGAGTTGGAAAACGAGGATCTTACCATCCTTCTACAACCTTTTAATCTACAAATTCTTAAAGTTTTCTCTTGCTCAAACAAGTATTAACAAAATTCAATCTTGAAAATTCATAAATTTCAACTGGTCTTAATTCTAATGCCTTTTATACCCATTAATATTATTCTATTCTATCTGAATATTCGTTAGTTCTCATAGCATGTGTAACTCCTTCAACACTATCTAAAATTGGACAAACAAAATCATAAGTTGGGTATGCCTTATATTTAGTACCTGTTCTATGATGTGGTGTTTAGTTTGTTCTATAGAGTACTGGATCTCTCATACATTTATTTTTAGCCTTCATATCAATTTTTGCTCTTAAACAATAATCAAATGTTTTTCCATTTAACATTAAATCAAAATTCTCAAGATTCTCTTCCACAGATTTATTTCTATTAACACTCTCAATACCATCAAATCTTTCTTTCTTCATAGTTTCTTTATCTGTGTTATCACAATAGGCCAATCCTTTTTTAATTAAAAATCTTGCTTTTTCTTCTGCAAGGTCGAAGTAATCACTTGAGTGTGATAAGTTTGCCCACTCTATTTAAAGAGTTTTCAAATCTTCTAAAATGGCATCTTAGTATTCAGCCTTCTCTTTTGATGGATTTGTATCATCAAAACGTACTAACATTTTGCCTTCATACATTTTGGAATATCTATAATTCAATACAGATGCTTTTATATGACCAATATGTAAATAACCAGATGGTTCAGGTGGAAATCTAGTACATACCTATCCTAATTGAAGAAATATAAAAGATAACTACCTTTGATTGCTCCTTTCAATACATCATATTGTGCTTATCCTTATTGTTTGGCTTGTTTCATTGTAAAATTTTTAAAAATAATTTTAAATAAATTCATAAGTAATTCTTACATAATTTAAACACATGTATTAATTAATCATCGTATTAACAACACATAAGCACCCATAATAAAACATAAACCTGATACTAATGGTGACAATCTATCCTAGATATTATGATATTGTTAAAATACTCCAATTACTGCACTTCTTCTAAAGAATCCTCTAAATCCATGTCTATGTGAATTAATTAAATCAGGTTTCATTTGTCTGATATAAGTTGAAGTGCATATAATAAGCAACAAAATCATTATCATTGTTGAGAAATTGAAAATTCCAAACTAATATTATCATGCAATCAAATTACCATGTATTCTTGAATTCTCTACTTATTTAATTATAATTTATATATTATGAACAAATAATACTTTATACCTTAATAACTTAAATTGACTAATAATATATATAAAAGTGAATAAAAGAGTTTGATAAAATCTTGAATTAGTTGATACAATTATATATTTATTTCATAATCATTAAAACTCATCTCCTCTTCTTTTGATATAATGTTTAAGTTCTTTAACATTCTCTAAACATAATGATAATATCCTTTAAATAGTTTCTCTTTCTCTCTAACTAATATATAATACAAATTTAAATTACTTTTCTTATAATTTGAACTAATAAACAGTATCTTCTTATTCACATTCAACTGCTCTATCTCCTCTTTATTTTAATTTATTATCCTATTTTTAAACAGCTTCATCTCTATCCATTGTCAGTACTTTGATTTAGGCTTCCAAAACATTTACATCTGAATCTAGTTCTTCTATAATTGCATTAACATCTCTTAAATCTTGATTTAAATTTTTATATAATCTTTAGAAATATGATTCTCTAATATCATCCACAGATCTTAATAGACTTCTGGCTATATCAATATAGTTTTCTAAATCATTGCAAGTTTCTACTAATTATCTTACAGTTTCTTCATGTTTAGAAATTTACCCTACTTTCAATTATTCCATCACTGTAAACAATGAACTATAACCCTATAAATGTTTAAAATCACCTATTATTTAGAAAATCATAGAATACCTGCTTTAAGACTTGCATAACCTAATAAATTTGTAACTTTATCAACATCATCCTCTTAGAGTTGAATAAACGCTGTCTCTCCATTATCATTTTCATATAAAGCAGACTCAAATATTTCTCTAACTGCAACAACAGCAGATATGGCAGTTTAATGTTCTCTTTGATATACATATATACTTACTCAAGTCTCGAATCAAAGATGCACTTTTATTTCTCTCTATTTTATTAGATTTCATCTATTCTATTAATTAACATAGTCTTTTCTTTCTTTTTATTTTATAGAGTATTAACTTTTTTTGTTTTTTCAGGTATTTTATCATCTAAAGCTTATTACATGTCCATAATACGAGCTTTCAATAAAGCTGCATAATTATCAAAATCTCCTAGATCTTTAGTACATTTAGATGAGAAAGTCTTATGCCTCTCATCAATTGTTAGAAATTCTGTTTCATAAGACTATGCTTAATCTCTCAATATTTGGAAGACTCTATCTAATGGTTCTTTGCTTCTTACAGCAATTTAGACTGTATCTAAGAATGTCTTGCCTAATTAAGTTTGCTCTAATTTAATAATTTCCTCTTCAAATTTAAGTTCTATATTTACACTTAGACCTAAAAGTAGAAATAATATTAGCATGTTAATCGTTTTTATTTATATAATAATGTTAATATTTATTTAATTGATAGTGGGAGTAATTTCAAATGAAAAAGTAATCACATAACAAGTAGCATTATAAATGGCTTCATTAAGTTTGGTAGGAACAGACTCATCACCAGCATTTTTAGAATTTATAAGTCTTCCTCATTCAACATCTCGAATAACAATAGATAGAGCTGTGAAATGGACATTTAATGAGGACATAGTGTTATCTATATCACCTTTGGAATTTTATACATCTGCAGAAAAAGCCTCTTTTCATTCATTAAGAATACAAGGTAACTTTTATTATAAAAATCAACCTTAATGGATGCTTTGGTGGTAAGAAAACTATTGGTAGTAACCAGTAGATTGGAGTGATAACTCAATATCTACATGTGGAGGTATCAGTATGTTGGGTGGTTATGGTAAATTTGCAGGAGGGGAAGTTCAGAAAACCTTTGTTGAATTACCTCAACATAGTAAAGTGAGAATTGTAGCAAATTATCATTTTATAGATGGATGGGGTGGAGAAACAGGATTCTTAAGAGTCAGCATAGGAAGAATGGATGGAATGGAATATGTATGGACAGAGAAATATGACTATTCTAAAGTGAAAAATGGCATTTCTGTATGTGGAAGTAGATATCCTGAAGGAAAGTTGACTTCGGTTATTGATGTTTCATTTCCACATACGAAAGATACAATTAAATTGGGTTTTGGAAGTACCTTAGATAATGATCCACTGGAGAATTCATTCGGAATATCAAATTTGTAGATTTATCTTATCTGATCTGATAATTAATTTATTTATTTTGTGACATTTTTCACAAATGATAATTAGAAGGTGTTCAATTTCTAATTCTACATCTCAAAGATCATAATCTTAAAAGTAATAACTAAGTATATACTTATGTAGAATGTCAGAAAATGAATAATGCAATAGTAATTCTCACTTCTCAACATGCTGCAGTAATACTTCATCAGAAATTGATGAAATTGATGACCCTTTGAATTATGCATCCTTTAATGATTTCCAATCTGTCTTGCCTCTTGTCATTAATGGTGTCAAAATACAGAAAGTAACTTGGGATCTCTTCTCAGCCCCTCCAAATGTATATTCATAATGGAAGGCACATTGCTTTTGGACTGTTGGTTATACCTATGATTTTACAATGAAAAAAATGAAGCATAGCAACAATATAAGATATAGATTAACAATAAATGCTTGGTGTTGTTTAAACAGTAAATCATGGGTTAAGAATAAATGGGATCGTTTGTTGGAACATGAAACTGGGCATTATCTTATTGGATGTTTATGTGCTTTAGAATTTAAAGCAAGGTATAATTACCCTAACCTATTGTAGAGCTGATAAATCTAAATTCACTAAGAACTATAGACTCGAATCAATGAAAATCTTCTAAGATACATTTTAGGAGTATCTCTCCTTAGAAAGAAGGTATGATGAAGAAACCAATCATAGTCAAAATATTAGCAAATAAAAGGAGTGGAATGAATTCATCATTAAGGAATTACAAAAATACTGATTTTATTATTATTATTAATATATCTACAAATAAAAATGGGTTGTTGTGGAAACAAGGAATGTATTCATTTCTTATTTTTTTAGAACCATCTAAAAAAATTGAAGTTTAAAAAAATAAGCCACCAGGTTAAATTTAACCATCAGATGTAATATTACATTTTTTAAGTTTGATAGGTTATTGTATAACCAAACAAAGTTGCATCAAAAAGAGACTATAAAAAAGGTGAGCTTATAGGCACAGGTGCTTTTTCTGAAGTTTATCAAGCCTTGGATAATAAGACAGGCAAAATCTTAGCTATTAAAACAGTTAAACTTTAAGGAGGAGGAGATTAAGTACAATGTTATTTTCAAAATCTAGATTTTTAGAACAATAAATGCTTTAAAAGCAGAAATCAAACTCTTAAAAAAGTTATAGCACAAAAATATTATTAAATACTATTTTACAGAAATCAGCCAAGATAATACCTATGTTGATATAGCTCTAGAATATATCGCATAAGGATCACTTAGAAAAGTTATAAATAAAGTTAGACTTGATGAAGCTAATGTTAGAATTTATGCAAGATAGATCTTAGAAGGAATTTAATACCTTCATCAAAATAAAGTTATTCATAGAGACATAAAGGCTGCCAATATTTTAGTTGACAGTGATGGAACAATTAAATTATCCGATTTTGGAACATCTAAAGTTCTAGACTCTGAAGAAAACTTAATAATTTAAAATAAATCATTAAAAGGAACTCCTTATTGGATGGCTCCTGAAGTATGTTAATTGAAGGCTGCCTCTTTCGAATCTGACATATGGTCATTTGGAGGAGTAGTTATAGAAATGATTGGAGGTTTGCCTCCATATGCTGATAAATATGGAGCAGATATTGATGCTTATGAATTAATGAAGAAAATTGCTTAAGAAGAAAAACCAAATTATCCTCAATAAACATCAGCATAAGCAAAAAATTTTTTAGATTCTATTTTTGTTGCAGCTCATCTTAGACCATCTGCAAGTAAATTACTCTAGCACCCATATGTACAAATCTCTGATCCTTAAACTGATAGTGAAGAAATAGGATTTAAATAATCCTTAGATCCAGTTCCTTCTAAACGCTCTATTGTTGGGGCTACTAATGGAAAAATCTAAGATAAACCCATTAATTCAACATACATACAACAATAACAATTATAAAAACAAAGACTTGATGAATAAAGACTCTAGAAGTATACAATTTGTTTAATTAGGTAGATAGAGAGAATGGGAACAAGCCCTTAAAGAAGAGTTAAGAAGAAAATCACAAAAAAATTAATGAGTAAAAAATATTTCAATTAAAGTCACTACTTTATTATTACATTATTTATATAATCTACAAAAGCTCTGAATAAAATTTGGGCTACATAATTTTGTTTCTTGTTGATATAAGAAATTTTGATATAATCAAATATAATATTATTCTTTTGAATATAAATATATATTTTCTAGTATATAAATATATTATATCTTAATTAATTTGAATATAAGTATGTAGTCATTAAATTATAATATATAAATATATTTGTAATTAAAATAATAAAACTTCATTTTTCAAGTTTCCTATTAAAGATCTTCTTAAATAAATTAATTATCATCCTAATTGTCATCTTCTGATGCTTAAATAATTATTTATGGAATATCCTACTATTATTCATCTAAATTAGGAGAACTAGATTTAGCTTTTAATTTTTAGTAGTTGATTTCTGTCTATAATTCTTAAATTTATTATAATTATTTTTAATAGTTAATTTCTACTTATTTTAATCTTTCTGATAGTTAAGTGTTTTCAGAACTCAATTATTACTTTTCTTATTTCACTCCTTTACATTCATCTTGCAATTAATTTATTTTTTCATTAATTTTATCAATTACAGAAACTAAATCAAGGTTTTCAATACTATATTTTCCAAAATTAGATTTAGAGAGATCTTCAATTTTTGTTTTTAAAATTATGTACTCTTATTCTAGTTTTTTATGTTTTTGCATCCATTATTAAACTTCTTTATTTTGCTTTTCTCTATTAGTTTAATTTTTTTGATTAAGTGTATCAATAGTTTATTCTAATGCTTCATTCATTTTTTCACAAATAATGATTTTTTCTTTGAATTCTTTAGTTTCTTATTATTCTTGCAATAATTTTTATTATAAATGAGAAATAAGTTGATTTTATTCTTCAATCTATTATTTTAGTTAAGTTATTTAACATCTCTGTTGTTCAATCTGAAAATCTGATTTTTTTAACTACTCTAAAGCAATTTTTTAAATATTAAGATTATCTCTTTATAATTGAAGGATCATAGAGTCCTTTTGATCAATTTATGTTTTGAATTACACTTTAATAATTTCATAATCTTCAATTGACGGATCTGATATTTTAGATGGAGTTGCTTATTTTATTAGTTAATTTAACTTATCAATTTATTGTTCTTATTTTAAACATTTATCTTATAATTAAGTCACTAATTATTGATTCGTATCATTGCTGTAAAATATCTTCTTTTACTTTTTGAGTTATTCATATTATAATTTCCAATATGTACCATCTTCATTATTTTTATTTGTTCTCATAAAAATATTAATCATGTGTATAAATAGTGAACATCATGTAAAACATTAACAAGTGGCTTGTTAGTATATCGGTAGTACGCTTGCTTTGGGTGCAAGTAGGTCGGGTTCAATTCCCGAACGAGCCCTTTTTTTTTTTACTCTTATTTAGATTCGGATTTTATCATAATTTATACAAAAATCTATGCTTAAATTAAATGTTTAATTCTTAAAAATAATGAAGATGTACAAATATAGTTTTCATAATACCTTATGTTCAAAACTTATTTAATGATGGCAAAAGATCGTTATGATTAATTAAAATAAATCTGTGATCAAATATAAGAAATTTTCGATAAGGTAGTAATGATGTTTCTAAATATAGATCTCCTATAAATTTTACAAAATACATTACATACAAATCTAATTTGATAAATGTCTAGACTTCAAATAACGGAGAAATTGTTCTGATTTAATTTACTCATTGATATTTAAATTATTTGGACATCCTTATAGTTACAATTATAATTTCAAAATTTCTAATCTTAACTATTTTATAAAGTCAATTGATAAAGTAATTTAAATATTTTGAAGCTAAATGTTCTAAAATTTTAGAAAGATCTAAATGATAATAATCTTGATGATGGTTCTATTGTTTATAGAGTATAATGCAATTAAATATAAATCTATAAAAAGATTTTGGTAAGCCATTTAATATTTTTGATTCATATTTTAATTTTGAATGGTCTGAAAATTTATAATGATCGTTTATAATAATTTTAAACTGGATGAGACAATTGTTTTATTAATTAATTGATATTATTATTCAATATAATAGGTTTTATATAATAAAGAATATATTTATTAATATTAGGTTTAGTGATCTTAAAAATTAGCTTTTAGGACTATATTTTGAGGTGGTTTTATACTGAATTAATAAAGATGATTTGATCTTATTTGAGTATTGAGTAGGTAAAACAATATTTTTTAAGATAAGTTAAATAAAGTATTTAACAAAATACTTAGTATTAGAGAAAGGGAATAGAATTGGATGAGTTTTAATTCTAATAAAAATTGAACGAAATTAATCTTTGAATTTATAATGCCAGTAAATCATAAATATATATATTTAATTATTTTATAAAAATATTATAAATATTTTACCTAATTTGGTGATTCAATTTACCGTTTGCTTAATGTAAATCAAATATAAATTTGGGTATACAAAATTTTAGGTTGAACTCATCTAAAATGTAATTAAAATTTATATTTGACATTCATTTTGGAATACAAAATAATTTTTAATTATTCTAAAATATTTATTTATTAAATGGGAGTAGTATAAACTTGTATTAAGTAAAAAAACTCTGATCATTAGATCGAGTACAACATTCCTACAATTTTAAAAAGAAAACAAATTATAAAACACCCACATAAATAAAATACTTTAATTCCTCCACTTTCATAGTTGGGTGAATATCATGAATCACTAGAACAATTAGAATTAGCATTATAAGAAAATAATATTAATTTAAGCATTAATAAAACAGCTACTTTTAATAGCAGTAGTGCTAATCGTTAATCTATATCATTCAATCCTAGCTTAAAACTATCTTTGAATTCTACAATTCAAAATCCATAAATAAATCATAATTTATAATATTAAGAGTCTCTAAAGTAAAGAGATGAAGAAGTAATGTAAAAGAAATAAACTTACAAAGATTCGTAATTTAAGATGTGTGCAGATAAAAAAGCTGAAAAAAAAAAACCTTATGCTAGAAGTATAAGTAGCAATTCTATAGCCTAAAGAGCTTAAAATACTAATAATGATGATTAATCAATGTCATTACAAAGGGACTCTGAAACAAACACTAAAAAAAGTATTTTAAAAAACAAACAACAAATTATCACTAATTAACTAAAAAGAGGAGTAAGCTTAAGATAACAATAATAAGCAATCAATGATGATACTCAATCTCAAAGAACATCAAAAAGTTAAAAAAGAGTTAAATTTGATCCAAAAATATTTAGACCCAAAAACACTCATTTCTTTTAATGAAATTAAATCTTATTTTCTTATTTTTATTTATGTATTTTTCACTTTATAAATAAAAATTGATATTATTATTTTTATGAGCAAACTATGTGTTATTGAAGCCATAAAAAAAAATAAAAATCGAAAAAAATACGTATTTCTTGTTTAAATAAGATAGATAACAAATACATATTCAATTTTTTTATAATAAATAAGAAGAGAAGTACCTCTCTATATATATATACTAAATCATATTAAAAGATTTCTAAATAGAACAAAATAGACAATAAATTTAATCTAGATTTCTTGAAATTCTGACTTTAGAAAACCTAACACTTTAAGTACTATTAATTAACATTTATAATTAAAATATTGATATAAAATGAATAATATGGAGAATAAAAATGATTGCTTTTATCTTCAAAGTTTACTATTTCTTCTCAAATGGGCTTGTTCTAATGGCAAATTCAATTATGCTAAATTAATTAAAATTTTCTAATTTTGTTAAATTCTTCCTTCTTTTGGACTACCAGTTAAAAGACTTTTTCTCTCTTAGCCTTAGAAGTTCAATAAATATAACATCAGCATATATTTTCTTTTTTTACGTACCTTGAATTAAAAATTTAATTTCACATTATAAAATGCTTAGGAAATAAATGATAGAACAAATTAAAGACATCTAATTATTGTATATCTCAATAAAAATCATTAAATGAATAAATTAGTTTTTACTTGAAATTTATATTTATATTTAAAACATTAAATTAGATTTATTAATAATATTTTAACAAAAAATAATATGTAAAATGAATTAGATGTTCTAATACATTTAATCAAATTTTAGATATCATTTATTCACTTATTTAACGGAATGTTTCTAAATGAGGTTCTTCAGTCGCATTATATTTTTCTGTTTTATATACATTTGAAGATTTCTTAAAAAATTTTTAACTTGTTATCAGATTTTATGAAGGATGCAAAGATATTATTGGAATTAAGTGAAATTCCTCTAATTATCTAAATAAATAAAATGAGAGTTTATTCTATTTTTCAATACCATTTTGTTTAAAATGAATTTATTTATAGGGTCCAATTTATCTGATTATCATCAATGCTATAGGAATTTCTAAATTTAATTATTAATAGCTATTATGTCTTAATTCCTCTAAACTTTATGGATTGAGAATTGGTAATTTACTAATCTTTTCAGCTGTGAAAATTTGACCAGAGTAAATTATGTCAAATTTTATGAATTTTTAATTTAAACCATCTTGACTCACTTCATCCTTCAACTCAATTATAATTTATTCCGTATTTTAGAAAATAAAGAATAAGCAATTTATAAGTAACTGCTTTAGTTTTTTTTAATCAGTATAAATACGATTATCAGTCAAATGAGAAATTAGTTTTATTTTTCTATTATCTTTTTTAGGGAAAAGAACGTTAAAGATTGAAATACATTCTTGTATACTATTCACAATATCAAAATGATTTAGAACAATTTTGGCAAATTTAGAATTCAAGTTCGCAAAATCTTGTATGTTGTTAATATCAGTGTAGGTTTTCGTTATTTGACTATTTAAGAATAAAATTACTTTTTGATTATCAAATTCTTACCTTTTATTTTTCTTCGACGTCTCATATTATAAAATTTATTTGAGATAAATTAAACACATCCTTATTCTAGACTATATACTTTCTTAAACCTAAGTTAAAAGTTTGTTATTTATTTTCAGTTTATATTTTAATGATTTATTTTAAGATTCTCTTCTGTTTTCTTTGATCAAAATTATTAGACAAGGTTTTGTATCTTCAGTACGTATAATTTTAATATGATGGACATCTAATCCAATTAATCCAATCAATTCATAAGTTTAATTATCTTAAGTACAATTTTTTGTTATTTCTTACATTTTCTCATGATTCATAAATAAATAGTACAAAAATTATTCTAAATTTAGTTTATTAGATTGATTTAACATTTAAGAAGATTGTATAATAGACTTCCTTCTTCTTTAGCTGAATAAAATCACTTTAATACTCCTAATCAAATTAATGAAACTGTTTTATTTAATTTCAGTAATTTATGAGACTCTATTTTGTCTGATTAAATCAATTGAATTATTCCCTAAGTTATAGTGGACAATATAAGATTAAATATCTATCTATTTATATAAATTGTCTTCAACAATGTCTTTATTATTCATAATAATAAATGAGATTCTAGTTTACCATTCGTTAATATAATAACTGTATATTGCTATTATACTAGAAAAAATAAATAATAAAATTTCTCTCCAACCATCAGAAACTAAGTAAAGAGATGTAATATTAAGAATGAGTACTATAATTGTAATGAAGGTTTTTACTAAATAACTCCATTAAGAGATGATTCTAAAATATTTAATTATTTTACCCCATAGTTCCTAAACAAATGAAGTAGCTTTCTAATACTTCTCTATCATTGAAATGATTTAAAAAACCATATTTAATAGGATGTTAAATGTTGTAAATTATAATTGCTATTAATGTTAATGTATTGTTAAATGAGGCTAATTATTATTTAAAAATATAGCCAAACAACATGATTAAAAGTCCAAGTAAATTTAAAATAGTTTCAAACCACAGTTTTTGTAATACGTTCTCAAGAATTTCAAATAATATTAATATTATGAGAAAAAGTCGATAAACAGTTTAACTCTATAATTAAAGGCTTTTCCTTTAAGAGGAATATCGATGTTCAAACTCTGAATTATTGAATCTTAATGTAATATAATTCATTAATAAATTAAATTTATTCAAAAAAGGTCAGTGATTATTTTATTTCAAAGTATTTTGAAAGTAAGCTATCTCAAACTCTAAAATAAATGTGTCAAATATTTCTTGGTCATACCTATAACTCAAACAACAATTATACAAGTTGTAAAATAATTGTCTAAAATAAAATAATAAATATATTTACAACAATGAAATCTATAATTATAAATTCAATACTCCTTACTATTTCAATATTTATTTTTAATCACTCTTAATTCCATTTCTAATTAAAAAAAATAAATTGCTTCAATATTGGTAGTCTAATTATTTCCTCTATTAATTAATATCAATTTTTTATGTTTTATAAACTTATACTGATAGATATAGAATTTTAAGCAAATGTTAACAATTAATTCCAAACTATTTTTTAAGTAATCATTTAAAGTTTCTCATAAAAGTATTTTAATATTCAATTCTTTCTTTCTATAACTTTAAACATTTTTGATTTATTCATCAATAAGAAAGATAGATTTGTTTTGGATAATTATTTTGATGATTCTAAATCAATATTTATNGTTTACCATTCGTTAATATAATAACTGTATATTGCTATTATACTAGAAAAAATAAATAATAAAATTTCTCTCCAACCATCAGAAACTAAGTAAAGAGATGTAATATTAAGAATGAGTACTATAATTGTAATGAAGGTTTTTACTAAATAACTCCATTAAGAGATGATTCTAAAATATTTAATTATTTTACCCCATAGTTCCTAAACAAATGAAGTAGCTTTCTAATACTTCTCTATCATTGAAATGATTTAAAAAACCATATTTAATAGGATGTTAAATGTTGTAAATTATAATTGCTATTAATGTTAATGTATTGTTAAATGAGGCTAATTATTATTTAAAAATATAGCCAAACAACATGATTAAAAGTCCAAGTAAATTTAAAATAGTTTCAAACCACAGTTTTTGTAATACGTTCTCAAGAATTTCAAATAATATTAATATTATGAGAAAAAGTCGATAAACAGTTTAACTCTATAATTAAAGGCTTTTCCTTTAAGAGGAATATCGATGTTCAAACTCTGAATTATTGAATCTTAATGTAATATAATTCATTAATAAATTAAATTTATTCAAAAAAGGTCAGTGATTATTTTATTTCAAAGTATTTTGAAAGTAAGCTATCTCAAACTCTAAAATAAATGTGTCAAATATTTCTTGGTCATACCTATAACTCAAACAACAATTATACAAGTTGTAAAATAATTGTCTAAAATAAAATAATAAATATATTTACAACAATGAAATCTATAATTATAAATTCAATACTCCTTACTATTTCAATATTTATTTTTAATCACTCTTAATTCCATTTCTAATTAAAAAAAATAAATTGCTTCAATATTGGTAGTCTAATTATTTCCTCTATTAATTAATATCAATTTTTTATGTTTTATAAACTTATACTGATAGATATAGAATTTTAAGCAAATGTTAACAATTAATTCCAAACTATTTTTTAAGTAATCATTTAAAGTTTCTCATAAAAGTATTTTAATATTCAATTCTTTCTTTCTATAACTTTAAACATTTTTGATTTATTCATCAATAAGAAAGATAGATTTGTTTTGGATAATTATTTTGATGATTCTAAATCAATATTTAATAAATAAATCGAAATTTGTACATTTGCTAAACCTGAATGTAATTTCAATAATATATATGATTAATATTTATTATCCCTATATATTAAAGTTCCACAATCAATTAATAAAGTATATTTCAGAAATCAAGTAATTTGAAAGTGAGTTAAGCTAACTTAAATTAATGGTATAGTATTTTCTTTATTAAATTTCACTTTTAATATTAGTAAAAAGATTAATTGAAAAATCTTTTTACAGATTTTGTTAATCATTAAAAATCGTTCCCATAAATATTAAGTTTATGGTTCATTTTTTCATTAATTTAAGGATTAATATATGTATATTGGTAATACCCACAAAATCTTAAATTACAATTAAAATTTTTTAATTTGAATAAATCATATAGAGATCTTTTAGGCAAAGAGATAGCTATATTTTAAATAACTTTTGCTTAAATTTTGAGAATTTGAAGATATTTATGTATTTATTATAATTATTTTAGAGCATAATTTAAAATTTGACTAATTCATTAGTTAAAAAAAATAATTCGCGGTCTAATGAAGTAAACAACACTTTAAAGGTTCCTAACTTCGTCATAGAAAAAGAATGATACTACAAACTTAAATGTTAATAAGACATCAAATTCTAATACAATAGTAGAAGAAAAAAAGATAGATGTTTAATACATCAAACCTTGCACTTCAATTACTAAAGAAGAAGTCTAAGCAATTAAAGATAAATTAATTGAAAAAGCTTAAGAAAAGCCACATTAATTTAGTAGATTAAAAAGGAATAATTTTGTAGATAGTGATGATGAATAATAATAAAAATATGAAGATTAAAATTAGTTTAAAATTGATAAATTCTCTTTTGTTTGTTCTTAAGAGAAGAATAAAGAGAAGAAATCTTTAGCTGTATTTATTAAATAAGATAATACTAAAAATAATACTAAATCCTAAAACAAGTAAAAAAAATCTGAATATGATAAATAAGGCAAATCATTAAAATAACCTACAAAATAAGAAGAAGAAGAATTTGATAATTCTCAAGAAAATATGTAAGGAAATTTAGATTTTAAACTTCCAACAGATAAAATTAATGTTTATGAAGAATTTGATGATGTGACTCCAAAATGGGCATCTATTGGTTCATCAAGAGATAAAAGTGGTAAATTACATGGAACTTAAGATGCAGATCCAACTACTCTATTAATACCTTAAAATGAATTTAATAAATTAACTAAATGTATGCAATAATTTTGGAAATATAAGAGTGAAAATTTTGATAAGATTATATTTTTCAAATTAGGAAAATTCTATGAATTATTTTATGAAGATGCTTATATAGGAAATAAATATTTAGATTTAAATTGGATGGGAAGAAAGATGTAATTGAATCTAGTAATATTATAGGCATACAGGATTCCCAGAAAAAGCAGTCCATAAATATAAAGCTCTTTTATTAGAATATGGATATAAAGTTGTAATAGTAGATTAAACAGAAACTCCAGAATAAATGAATTAAAGAGTAGCTTAAAATAAGAAAATTGGAACAGGTAACACTGATAAAATAGTCTAGAGATAAATAAGTGAGATTTTAACAAAAGGAACATATTTATATGAAGAAGGAGAATCATAAATGAATTTAGATGAAAAGGTTTTACTAGTTATACGAAAGAAAATCTTATCAAACACAATTGAAGAATATGGAATAGCTATTTTTGAAAGATAAACAAATACAATATCATTAGCATTTATTGAAAATAGAGATAAAAATTATGAATCTCTTAAGACTTTATTACTTCATATGAGACCTGTTGAAACAGTTATTGATTAACATAATCTACCACAAATTGATCCAATAACCAAAATGATATCTGGATCTGTTATTAAAAGTGTTATTTCACATCTAACAGCATCTAAAGATAATTGGGATGAAAAAAAAGCATTATTTAGACTTGAATAATATTATTAAAATGGATTTCCTACTGCTATTAAGTTTTATCAAAATAATTAAGTTGTTCTATAAGCTTTAAATGGATTATTTACTTACTTAAATCAAATCTTAATATTAGATCGAGTTTTGGGATGTGCAAAATTTAAATTATATGATGAAGAATTTTCATTACAATAATGTATGATTTTAGATAGTTAAGCAATTGTATAATATTTATTTAATTTTTCTAGTATCATTTAGAGATTCTTTAAACTACAACTTTTGTAGATAAAAAAGATTATTCATTATTTGGTGTGATAAATAAAACTGTTACTCCTGGTGGACATCGATTACTAAGAAGGTGGGTTTGTGCTCCCCTTTATTAAGTTGATTAGATTAGAGAGAGATAAACTATGGTAAGTGATATTAGCCAATTTAGAAAAGAAAGAGATTTATTTAGATAAAGTATTAAATCATTTCCAGATTTTGAAAGAAGATGCAGTAGAATTTATGAATACTCAATTAAAACTGAAAGTAAAGCAGTATTTTACGAAAACCTATCTGAACAACGTCTAAAAGAGTTTAAGAATCTTACTAAAGCATTGAGACTTGCTTAATAAGAAATAACATTATTTGGTTAATATAAAATAAACTTTAGAAGTGAAAAGTTAAGAAAAATGATGACTTTTGAAACAGATGGAGGTTTACTTCCTAATGTTTAAGAATAATTAGATGAATTTGAATAATATATTATATGGGAAAAGGAAAAAGATAAGGAAGTCCCTAAACCAGTAACAGGAGTCTTAGAAAGTTATGATCAATCAGTTGCTGAAGTTGAATTAGTATAATAAAAACTTTATGATTATCTCTAACAAATAAAAAGAAAATTATTTAAGAATAATAGCAACTTATAATATGTACATACTAAATTTAGATATGAAATTGAAATTCCAGATGAATTAGTATAAAAGTCAAAACCTGAAGATTTTGAATTCACTTCATCAAGATAGGGATATAAAAGATATATAACTTAAGAAATTAAGGATTTAGTTACTGAATTAGAATAGGCTGAAGAAACAAAAAAGTAATAATTAACAGCATTTGGTAATTTCATATTCAAACATTTTCAATCTAATCAATATGTATGGGATTCTCTTATTAAAATATTAAATGAATTGGATGCTTTATGTTCATTAAGTGTATTTGGAGATACATCAGAAGGAAAAATGACAATGCCAAAATTTACAACTGAAAAAATTAAATTAGTTATTAAAGAAGGAAAGCATCCATGTTTGACCAATATAAATTTTGTTTCAAATTCTATTGACATGGGAGAAAAGCTTTGTAAATTTTAATTATTGACTGGTCCCAATATGGGAGGTAAAAGCACAACTCTTAGAATGGTTTGTGTACTTGCAATTTTAGCATAACTTGGATGTTCAGTTCCATGTGATGAAATGGAACTTTCTCCTATAGATAGGATATTTACAAGGATAGGAGCCAAAGATTATTTAATGGAAGGAAAATCTACTTTTTATGTTGAATTAGAAGAAACATTAATACCTTTAAAATATGGAACCAAAAATTCTTTATTTATTACTGATGAATTAGGAAGAGGAACTTCCACATATGATGGAGTGGCTATTGCTTCTGCTGTTATGAATTATCTTATTAAGACAATATAGTGTAGAGTGCTTTTTGCGACTCATTTTAGAATTTTAATAGAGGAGGCCAAATTAATTAATGAAGTAACTAATGTTCATATGGCTTGTTATATTTAAGATGGGAAAGTTATTTTTCTTTATAGATTAAAGGAAGGAGCATGTGAAGCTTCTTTTGGAATAAATGTGGCTAAAGTTGTAGGAATTGATAATTCAATAATAAAAAAGGCTGAAGAAAAGGCAAATTTTTTTGAAAATAAAGTGCAAAAGAACACAGAGCAAACTCTACAAAAATTTAATTAAATTATAAATGAATATGGTATTATTTGATTATTTAAGGAAATTGATATTATTTTTATAAAAATAAATTATTATAACTTGATCGAATTCGATAATAATCTGAATAAAAAAATGGTAATGTATTTACATTAATTTCAATTATCTTTGAATAAAATATTAATTTATGATTTTGATCAGTATATTAGTTATAAATTAATTTGTTTGGCTTTATAGTTATTTAATATGAGTAAAAATAATATTTTAATGATGTATATGTTATTTTGATCTGGATTGTATTTTAATGTCTATTTATCAATTTGTTGGTATTATCAACAATAATATTTACAATTTATTTTCAATAATTAATGAATGAAAGAAAATAAAATGAATATTTATAAAAAAATAGTAAGGAGAAAGAGTGGTTGAATAGAAAATAATTAAAATATTTAAGAGATATTGCCGTTACAAGTGATGATTCGGGAGATGAATTAGAAAAGAAAAAGGAATTCAAAATATTATTAAAATAAAGAAGAAAATTTTAATGGGAATAAAGAAGCTTAAATTTTATGAATTCAAAGTATACTAGATTATATTCATAAACATGTGCAATGAAATTTCAGCATTATCTAATTTCATTCAATTCTTAGTTAAGAAAGTTAAAAAAACACTTTTCACCTTAACCTCCTTATACAATGACTCCTGATGGATCGATAAAATTAATTTGGGATTTAATTTGTTTAGGATTTGTTATTTATGAAATGATTAGTATTCCCTTTTAAATTAGTTTTGAGATAGAAATCAGTAATGAAATTTCAAATTTATCATTGGGAGTGTTTGCTTTTGATATGATATTGAATTTTAATACTGGAGTTTACATTGATGGTTCTTTATAAATGAATAGAACATATATTTTTAAAAATTATTTATCATTTTGGTTTTGGATTGATGTAATTTCAACATTCCCTTATGATATTATTATTGATGAGTCATAATAACTTATATAGAGTGCTAAATTATTAAGATTATTTAAATTTTTGAAATTCGTTAGAGTTTTAAAATTATTAAGACTAGCAAAACTAAAAAAAATAATAGATAAAATTGATGAATATATATAAACTTCTAGAATTGTTGGTGTGATCATAACTTTTATAAAATTATTTGTATTTGTACTATTTTTTGCCCATGTTTTAGGTTGTATATTTCATTATACAGCAATTTAAGAGGAACATTCTTGGTTAGGAGATTAAGAAGAATATGATTGGTAGACTAGATATATATATTCTTTATATTGGGGAGTTGCAACTATGACGACAGTTGGATATGGAGATATAAGTCCATTAACTACAGTTGAAAGATTTTTGGGAATATTCCTATTGTTAGTGGCTTGTGGTGGATTTGCATTTACAATGAATTCAATTGGATTTGCATTATCTTCATTATAAGAAAAATCAAATATTAGAAAATAAAAAGTGAGTCTCTTAAATAAATATATGAAGAAAGCTAAAATACCAGATCTACTTTAAAATAAAGTTAGAAAATACTTAGAGTTTGTTTGGGATAGTCACTAGATTCTATTAAAAGATATTACAAAATTATTATCTGATGAATTAGCAAGAGATATCTAAGAATTAGTAAATGGAAAATTATTTGGACATATAGATATTTTATGGAATTTACATACTAAGAGATTTCTTATGTAAGGAATTATACCAATTTTGGAGGATAAGTTATATTTTCCTGAAGAAATAATATTTCTAGAAATTCCTTCAATTACTTATGATTTATTTTTAATATAAAAAGGAGATGTAGATATATATTTCATGAAAACAAATATTATAATTGATAAGAAAATAAAGAATGATTATTTTGGAGAAATCAGTTTTTTTTCTAATCAATTAAGATCAGCCAGTGCAATAAGTAGAAGCTTTTCTCATATTTTTGTACTTAATTAATAGAAATTCTTAGAAATTGCCAAATCTTACCCAAGAGATCTGCAATAATACTTTTAAGTAAGAAATGCAATAATATTTGAATCAGATTATAGTTATTTACAAATTAGATGCTATGTTTGCTAAATGGATGATCATTTGGCTAAAGAATGTCCAGTATTACATTTTTAAGTGTATATTCTTTTAATTATATAGTAATGCCCCTCATTTTCTATCTTTTTTGCATTAATATCGTAAAATTGAATAAACTGTATATATTAGAAAAGATAGAATAGATTTTAATGCTAGATCTTCAGCATACTAGATATAATAAACTTAGAAAAGATTCATTTAAATTAATAATAAAAGAATATCATTTCTAAGTTCGAAAGGAATTGTTGATACAATTTTTACTAATTATTATAATATTGAAGAGGATAATAATTCTATAGATGATGATACTCCTTCAAGAATAATAACATCTTTGTAAGTCTCAATTTTTAATAATAAAAATAAAAAAAAGTTTGATTAACTATAATTTAATTATGAAGAAACATCGAATCATTCTAAAAATACAGTTGGTGCATTAACTTAAAGAATTATGATAGAAGAATAATATATTGATTAAATAGCATCTGATCGTTTTAATGATCTTTTGGATTAAATTAATACATTAAAATACAAAAAATAAAAATATTAACATATTCATTTTTCAGAATTATCAAATTTTGATAAAGTATCAACTTATCATAATTTTTGTTAAAGAGACAATGTTGAATTTGTTTTATAAAGATATAATAAAATTTAAAAAAGAGGATTTATATCATAGATACCACCAAAATATAGTTCATTTGGTGTTGAAGAATTTTAATCATATTTATAATATTATTGTTTTAATTTGAAATAAGATGACCTGAAAAGATATTTTACTAAATCTCAATTAAAAAAGAAATAAACTATGTTTGAATTTGAAAATACAAGAGTCTTCCATTTAACAAGAATAGAAAAGAAAAGAAATAAATTTATAACTAAAAATTCAAAAGTAAAATAATCATAGAATATTAGTTTAGAAGTGTTGTAACAAAAATTAAAAGTTTAAATACATTAAAAAGTAACTCTCGTATCAGTTTTTGATGTAAAATTTAGTATTATTTTTATATTATATCTAAATTTTATATAAAAATTTTAGTTTATATAGATCATCTAAATAAGCCCCCTTTCTTCTTTTGATTCATTTAATTTACTATGGCTTAGAGTTTTGTTCTTTCCAGATCTGTTAGTTCTAACATGTTAGATAGAATTTTAAAGTAATCTTCTGTTTCTAAAGCCCTTAAAAAATAATTATTAATATTTACTAATTTTATAGTGATACAAGAAAAGATTAAAGTAATTGTTTTATCTATTATTTCAAAGACTTTATATCGGTCTAGTTAATTGTTTATGATAGTTAACAATTTTCTCTTTTTAAATCAGATATCATCTTTACCATTTTTTTTTCTCCTTCTTAATAATCTATTAAATTGCTTTTATACTTCTCAATTTCCAATTTATAACTTTCTATTTCTAATTATAAATCATAAAATTTAGTATTATTATTTTCATTTTATTATTATAATTATTAGGCTAACTAATTTTAAAATTCTTTTATTTATAAACTACTTTTAGTATGTCCACTTTATACAGTAGGATCAATGATAGTTGCATTATTAATAGAACTATGTTCAAACTTTCTTATTTCTTGATTGTCAATTGAACTTAAATCAAGACTTTGATTAGCACTTTCATTCCATTTTTGTTCCAATTAATCTTTTAAATTTTACAATTATAATTTTAGATAATTATTTTCAACAGAAACATTATCAAATAGTTCCTTCTTTTATTTTAATTCTTGTTAAAATTAATCTCTTTCTTATATTGCATTTTTCAATACTTCCTTAAAATGAGTCATCATATCAGGATTTTCATTGTTAATAGTTAAAGTTTATGAAAACATTTCATCATATTATTATTATTATTATTATAATTATTTTTTTAATTTTTATATTTCTTATTCATTAGCTGATTCTGATTCTTCAATTTTCTCTTATAATGTTTAAATCTTTTTCATAAATATTTAAGTCAAATATTTTAATCTTTCTAAACAAAATTCTTCTGTATTTTTTATTGTATCACTAATTTCTTTACTTATTTTTGGATAGTCTTTAATTAACTTTTATATTTATTCCATTTTATTATTTTATCTTTAAAATTTTATATCATTTTTCATCATTACTTCTTCTTAATCCTTATATTTTTTCCTTAATATTTCATTATCATTTTAAATTTAATTTAATTTTTTTCCTTTTTCTTCCAATTATAAATTCTAATTATAGACAGTCTCTTTCAAATTTCTAATTGATTCCTCTTTTTCAGAACAATAAACTTAAAATCTTTATGCCTAATCCTTAAGATTTTCAATTTTATCATTAAGATCCTCAATGTCATTATTTAAATCATCTATTTCTTAGAGATTTTTTCTTTATGATAATTAAAGTTATTGTATTTCCTCATCTTTTGATGAAAGTTTATCAAGTATTTATTAACTAAATTATTTCTCTTTAATTAATTATTATTCTTGCTTTTATAATTTTAAATAAATATCTTATGTTTTAATTTCCTATCCAGATAATAAATTTCTATTTTGTTCTTTAAGAGATTAAATTTATTCTTATTAATGATCAATCGTAACTTAAAAACTTGCCTGAATTTCATTAATCATAGTTTATTATCTTTATCTTTATTACTCTAATTATTGTATTTCATTTTTGAGATTTGGTATTAACTTACATTTTTCATTTGATTAATCTATTGCACTATTCTTTTCTTATATTTGACCTTAATATAACAAATTTTAACTTTCTAATCTTTAGATTTCTTCTTTTAATTCTAAATTAATTTATTATTATTATTATAATTTTTAATTAATCTCTTATAATTGATTTTTTAAATCACTCCTATCTGTAGATAAAGATTAAATTTCTTATTTTCTATTTTCATCAGCAAATAACATATTTTCTTACTAAGAAGTTAACTATTATATTTTCTCTTTAAAACCTTTGATAACTGATTCTTATTATTATTATATTTAATTCAACAGTTTATAAATTTATGGATTAATTTTAACTTATCCTCTTAACATATCATCTAGTACTTAATGCTCTGATTTCAATTATGTAATTTGTGAATTGATCACACTAAGTTTTTTTACCAATTTAACCAAAATTGTTTTATAAGTTTCATTAAACTTTACTAATTAAGCTTATATTAATTTAGTTGAATGTTACTATTATCTTTTGCATTTACCAAATTCTAATAATATTAAACGTAATTTCCTTTTTGCATTTTCTATTTTTAACTTTGAATTTACTTACTATGAAGATAAATCAGTTTCTAAATTTTCTATTTTTTATAAATATTTAAGTTCCTCATTCTTAACTAAGTTTTCATATTTCTATTGTCTTTATTATTATAATTCTAACTTCGATTACAAATCTTTTAACATATCTTTACCTTCATTCAATTGACTTTTCAATAAATCTCTGTCATCATTTAATTAAGATATTTTCTATTCTTATAAATTAAGTTATGTATTTTTTGAAATTATTTCTGATTCTTATAATATATTTTCCTCTTTCAATTTAAATACTTATTATTAAAATTATTTTAATTCATCTTATATTGTTTATTCATTCTGGGTTCTTTGTGCAATTTCTTCTTTAAGATTATCAATAGTGGAAATGAGCCTATTTTTCTCTGATTATGCTACAAGCAAACGATCATCTAATTCTCTACTTTTTTTTAAACTCTCATAACATTCTTATTCTTGAGTTTATATTCTTTGATTTAATTAATTTATAGTAATTTCAAATTCTTATAATTTTTATCTATTTTCTTCAAATTTTTCATTTGTTTATTTAATATGATTTTGTAATTCTTCACATAATTTCATTTTTTCATTCAATTAAATATTTTTTTCTTTTAATTCTTTTATTTCTTCATCTTATTATTTTAATTAAACATCTTTTTCAACTATTTATTATTACTTCAGATTATCAATATCTATCTAAATATTTGAACTTAAGGTTTTTAATTCATTTTATAATTATAAATTTTCCTAATTTAACTTTTCAATTATATTTTAATAATTTATTATTTAATCATTATTTTATTATTTCTCAATCTCAAAAGTTTATTAGTTTTATTCCAAATTTTATATTTTTTATTAGAATTGAATTTTTTGCTCCTCAATATCATTAGAATAATTATCTAATTATAAATTCCTTTCATTTAATTCCTCCTCAACCTTTTCTTTTTCATCCTATAATTAAACAATTTATTTTTATAAGATCTCTACTAAATTTTAAGATTCTTAATTTTCATTTTCTAATTCTTAAATCTTTTGATTCTTTATTTATTCTTATTAATTAGCAATAACTCTATTATTTGATTCTGCTTGATTTACTGCTTTCAATTATGTTTACAAATTTAGATTATCTTCTTAATTTAAAAGAAGTTACTATTTCAACATATCAATTTCTTAAATAAGAGATTAAGTTTAAATCAATCTATTTTTTTATTCTTATTGATTTTGTTCATTTTCTTCTCTCTATTAATTTAATTAGTTTTATATAGTTTAATTATTTGATAATTCATTTTGATAATTTTATTCAAACTAAATAATTTAATTATTCAATTCGTTTAATTCTGCAACTTTATTTTCATAATCTTATTTAAGTTGTGCTATTTATATTTATTGTTATTATTCCTAAATTTATAATTGTTAATTGGTATTATTCAAAATTACATTTTCTTCTTGAAGTCTTTTTTGTTCATTCTAAAATTATACATTTATATTATCAATTTAAGATTTTTATTCTTCTATTTAAATTAAAAGTTATTATATTTATTAGTCTTTTTAATTATTCTATGATTTAAATTCTTCTATTTAAGAAACTTGTAATTACAAATTATTTTACAATTCCTAAATATTCTAATTTAATTCTATAATTTAATTTTTATCTGATTATTTTTGTTTCTCTAATTCCTACAAATTGTTATTTATATTTTCATTAAGTTACTTTAATTTTGATATTTAAATTTCATATTATTAAATTTTATTATTTTATTGTTGAATATTCAATTATAATTATTTCTCATTTTCTAATGTTGTTTCATTAATTTTTTAAATTAATTCATTTTATAATTATTTAATTTAATCAGATAATGTTTAATTTTCACTTTTTTCTGCCTATAATGAAGCATTTAAATTTTTAATTTCTTGTTGTATATTCTCTAATTATTATTCTTTTTCTTTTATCTATTTTTGAAGTAGAGATTTTTAATTTTACATATCTTTAACACTTTCTTATAATTATTTTTCAGTTTCTCTTAAATGATTAATAATATCATTAAGCTAAGAAATATTCTCACTTTAACTTTAATTGTGAGACTTACTATTTTATAATTCTTAAGATTGTTTGAATAATTGTTATTCTAATTATTCATTTTTAATTTTGAGATCATTTGATGACTATATATATTAATTTAATTCTTAGTCTTTACTCTCTAATTATTATTCAAGATCTACCATTTGAGTATTCAATTTTGATAATTAAATTGCTTATCTTTAGTTATTAACCTACTCTTATGCTAATTATGATTTTTAATTTTCTATTAATAATTCTTGATTTTAAGTAACATTCTTTTGAGTATCTAAACTTTCTTAAATATTTTAATTTTTTATTTAAAATTCTTAGATTTACTCTTTTAATGTTGTATTTTCTTATTAAAGTTTTGATGAATCCTTTTAAAGATTTTAGATACAAATTTAATTTTCTCCTATTTTTTCTTAGGCTTATTCTAATGATATTTTTAGATCATAGATTTGGGATTACAAAGTTTCATTTAAATTTTGCAAATCTTTATTTTTTATATCTGATTATTCTATATTTTAACTACAAAACAAATTAATTTACTCTTACTATTAGGATTATAATTAAATTAAATTTTAATCTTTAGAAATAATTTATTCTTATAACATTTAATTTTCTTAAAGTGTTATCTCATAATCATTATTCAAATCTTACAATTATTTTTTAAGTCTTTCATTATCCTTACTAGAATTCTCCATCTCCTCTTTCAAGTTTTCAAAATCTAATTATAATTCAAAGAGTTGTTTTTTTAGTTTATCATTAATTAATTATTCTTCCTATAGTTTATCATTTAATGTAGTTAACAATGTTTGTGATTTTTTTATTTCATCAAACTATTCTTATAAAGTATTCTTTTCTTATAAAGTCTTACTAAATTCAGACTTAATTTTAGTTAATTCTTATTATGTAGATGATAATTATTCACATTATTATTTGAATTATTAATTATCAGATTTTAGTTTTCCTATATCTGTTTATTATTGCTTATTTAAATCCTTCTATCTATTCAAGTCTAATTATAATTATTTATTTTAAGTCTTAAATGATTCTATTTCTTATTGAAGTTTTTGGGTTAATAATTTTTCTTAATCATATTTAGTTGATTTTGTTTAAGCTAATTATTTTTACATCTTTAAATCCTCCTCTTTCTATTTTAATTACTAATTAAGTGTGTTTAACTTTTATTTTGTATCATTTAATTCAGATTCTTTTGAATTATTTTGTTCAATTGCTATATTTAATGTTTATTATTATGTTTTATATTATTATTATGATTATGTTAATTATGTTTCTAATTGTGAGATCAGATTTTGATAATGATCAATTATTGCTTTATTTTGATTATCTTTTTCTAAATTTTAATTAGTTTCTTCTATAATTTAATTTAAATTATCAATTTATCCTTATAGATTTTACATCTCATATTAATGTTCATCCTATTTAGATTATAATTATTCTTGTAAAATAGTGTTCTATTGTTACATTTCAAATAGTTGATTATTAACATTATTTAATTCTTATACTAAACTATCAATTTAAGATGAATAATCTTCTTTTTAATTATTTAATAAATCTAAAGATTTTAGATATTATTATTAAATAATATTCAATAAATATTACTTGAATTATCCTAAAGAATTTAAAATTTATTATTTTATAATCTCACCATTATTTTAATCTTCCAATATCAACTTAAAATATTATTTATGTTTATTAAGTTACAATTATAATTAATTTTATATTTAAGTTCTTTCTGTTAATGATTATTCTTAGCTCATTTCTTAAACTATTTCTTATATATATTCTTAATTCTTTTGAGAATGTGATATATTTTACATTAATTAATTCATTAACATTTATTCTAATTCATTAATTTATGAAATATCATAATATCCCATCATTTTAATATTTTACAATTCTAATTTCATTCTTTTTAATTCTTGTACTACATTTTTCAATGATTTAAATGATTTTTATTTAATATAAGTATTTTCATCTTCTAATAGTGCAATTTTATTTTATAATTAATTAAATTATTCTATTACTTAACGATATTACTATTCATTCTATTATTACTTTTTTAATGTTTCTTCAAGATGCTTTTACTCTAATTATTATTGCACTTAATTAATTTCCTTTGATTTTTATTAAATTATTCTATTGCATTATTCTTCTTATTATGCTAATTATTATTTATAGCTTTAAATCTCTTTATTTAATTATTAAATTTATTTTTAATATTCAAGAGCTGTACCATTTACATGTTTTGCCTAATCATCTAAATCTTTATATTTTCTTTCTTGTTCAGTTATTCTTGATTATAATATTTAATTATGTGATTTTGATTCATTTAATTATTTCTAATTATCCATTAACTTTATCAATTAATTATTTAATTTTTCTATCATACTATTCTTTAATTAGATTTCCTATATATGTAATTACTCATTATTTTAAAGTTATTCATTAAGAATTTTTAATTAAGGTTCTAAATCAGACCTTTAATTTTTTATCTGGCTTTATATTTCTTCTTTTTCTTTCTTAATTGCTTCCTTCTCTTAAATTAATTACTAAATAGTTTTCTTTTATTCTTCAACCTTAGATTATTAAGATCTATACTTTTTTTGCTAATTAATCATCATATCCATTCTTTTCTAAAAGCTTTTTATACTTTTTAACTTTATCTTCCAAAGTCTAGAATTATTTTTCCATGTAAATAGCATAATCAATTACAGATTTTTCTTAAGTTTTATTTTCTTCAATTTATTCTCCATTTTTTTGTTTTTCTCTAGCTTTTTTAAGTTCGTCTTCCTTATGTTTAAGAGTCTACAAAAGTTCTTTAACATGTTTTTTGAGTGACTAATTTTTAGAGTTCAATTCATCTGTTCCTAATTTTAATTCCTTAAAGCTTAAATTCAAAAAGTTAAGCTTAAATAAATAGAATAAATAAATACATCTTCAACTAATTGTTTGTTTTTTTCTGCCAATTATTGCATTTCTATTTATGATGATGATAAAATCTTAGGTTTTGGTGGTGATGTCTCTCTTGATTTATAGTCTGATTGTAATTATGATAGTAATTCTTGATTTCTCAAATTAACTGTCTCTAAGAGATTGTTCAATTTATGTAATCCTTGAGCCTTCATTTTAATTTTATTAATAAAAATATATTTTCTTAGATTTCATATTAATTTATCTTAATTTATTTAAAGATTTCTATTTCAAAAAATCTTCTATATTAATTAATTAAACATTAGTATTAGTATAATAATCAATGAAGAATTTCATAATAATATTTAAAAAAAAAACAAAAATATATTCAAACTATTTTTCTGAATAAAATAATTTATTAAATGATTAATGGAATATTTTTATATTAAATTAATTAAAGACTCTCTATTGTTCTAATAAAAACGGATTATTAATATTAAAATGTACAAACATATGTTTATTGTATTGCTGCTAGTCAGCCTTTCATTAGAATTTAAGACTTCAGTTAAAACATAAATAACTCCATTGGAAACTATTTTAGGAATTGATCCTTCTGGATGGACATGTGAAAGTCCACCATATAAAGAGTAATTGGGAGCTGAACATGACATTGAATAATGGATAGATATAGTAAAACATAAAGATGGTTTTGATGGTGATTTGCAAGTATTAGCTATGGTTAAAGCACTTGTTGATAAAGTATTGGCTTCTGTTTAACATATTTCTGGAAATACTTTTGTTTAAGTTAAACATATACATCATTAATTATCTAAACAATTTAAAAAGTTATCAGAAATTGAGTCATTATCATCTTGGTATGATATAAATGATATATTGGGTTATGTTGAAGTATTAAATAAAGCAAAAAGTAATTTAATTCATAATAATTTATTAGCTGATGAAGATAAATTGTAGTTAGCAACTATGATTGCATCCAAAATATCAGAGCTTATTCAATAAATCACTGAAATTTAATTATAATTAAATTCCATACCTGTTGAAATAGATGATTTATATGAATTATCAACTAGAGTCAATCAAAAAACTTCTGCATGTAAAGATGTATGGGCACCATTTTTGGAAGCAGATGCTAAAGCTGAAGAAGAAATAAAGAAAGCTCAACAAGAATAAGAAGCTGCAAAATTATAAGAAGAAGCAGAAGCAAAGTAATAAGCTGAATAAGCAGCAGAAGAAGAAAGAAGAAAACAAGAAGAAGCAAGAGAGTTGGAAGAATTAAAAAATAGAGTAGAACTTACACCTGAGGAAGCTGAAGCTTTAGATAAAGAGGCTGAACATGAATTAGAATTAGCTGAAGAGGCAGAAATTGAAGCAAATAAAGTTATGGAAGAAGCTAAAACTGCTTAAAATGAAGCAGAAATAGAAGCTGAAAAAGAAGAAAAAGAAGCAGAAGAGGCTGCATAAAGAGCAGAAGCTGCTGAATAAGCTTTATAAGAGGCCCAAAAAGTTGAAGAAGAAGCTTGTGTAGATGCAGAAGAGGCTGAAAGAAGATTGAAGGCTGCTTAAGAAGCTGCAGAGGAGGCTAGGAAAAAATTAGAAGAAGCAGAAAGATTAGCAGAAGAAGCTAGAAAAACTAAAGAATGTCCAGATGAACCACCTCTTGATGAACCAGTTCGTGAAGAATTTTATGAAGAGGAATATGAATTCATATCAGAGGAAGAAGGCTGCAATGATGATGCTTTAGAAGACTTAATAGATACTCTTATAGATGCAGCAACTGGACCTAGTGCTTATTAACCTGGATGTGGATATCCTGGATGTCAAGAATAACCAATTATTATTGTTGTTGAGGATGATGAAGATGAACCATAACCAAAACCTGAACATTAACCAGAACCTGAACCAAAATAAGAGGAAGAAATTATTGTTGAAGAAGAAATAGAAACTGAACCAACTCCTGATGATGATAAGACATTTGAAGAAGAATAAGAAGTTGAAGAGACAGTAGAAGAGATTGTTGAAGAAATTGTTGAAGAAATTGTTGAAGAGATTGTAGAGGAAATTCCAGAAGAAGATGATGATGATTTTGGTAGATTAGAATATCCAGTTGATCCTCCTTAGGAGATATAATATCTAATTTATAAATCCGATGATAAACATGTAAACTCTCATACTCAAGAGTCATCGAAATGGGAAGTAGAAGTCAATCATGGACCTGAAACTAGAATTAAAGGATCAACTGAATATAGTTATGGTTTATGGACATATTTCAGATATAATGGAGATACTAAAATTTCAGAGAAGAAAGAAGTTTTGGCAGTTGGAGGTTTAAGTGGAGATGGATCAAGTAGACTAGTGACACTAATTGGAGAAGGATTTTATAACTTTTAAGTATTTGATGGAGATTCTGTTACAGAATAATAAGTAGATTATGGAAAATATTTGGATGCTGAATGGATTTATATTTACTTTGGATACAAAGAAGGTAAAGCTAATGGTTATGTATATTGGGCAAGAACTTAAGTAATTAAAAGTGTCACATTTACTATTACATATCAAACTATTGTAAATACTATCAAGTTTTCATCAGGTTTATGGACAGGCTACAAAGGTTTCAATGGAATTATTACTAATATTAGAGTTGTTTTAAATAAAGACTCTTTTATTGAAGATGATATTATTATGAAGAATGCAATAGAATCTGAATATCCTGTTCCAAGCGAAACAGATTTAGAATATATAGAAAATAAATATTATGATAAAGTTGAATATGAAGGATTAATCACAGAACCTAAATTACATTGGGATTTAGATAGATATAGAGAATACTCCTTTTCTACTTGGTTTAGATATGTTAGAAGAACAGATAAAGTTGATTAATTGATATTTAGATTAACATCCAATGAACCTGATTCTGGAGATGTAGCTCATGGAGATAATGTTTTATCTTTATGGTAAACTGATACAATTGACTATTAATTTAAAACATATACAGTTGAAAATTAAGATAAATTTAGTAATATTGTTGAAAGTGTTAAAATAAATTAAGAATCATAATAATTATGGACTTATGTATATTTTGGATATAACAATGAAGATTTATAATTCTATATTGAATGGCCAGATAGTACTGCAACAAAATAATTTAAAGGATGGCATGTTGTTGCAAAATATTGGGCTTTATATTTAGGTTAAGACATTAAATATAGTTTCCATGGTAAAACAGCTTATTCAACTTTAAGATTAGGAAAAGGATCATGGGGTATTCCTACAGAATTTGAAGATTACAAGACTGGTAAAAGTAAATTATGGCCTGGAGTACAAATGAAATCATATGATTCTAAATGGATGACACATACTAAGGAATCTGAATATGATACTTTATTACATGAAGAACCTGAATGGATTACTGATGGTGTTTATGAATATGGATTTGGAATGTGGACTAAATTCTTTATTACAAATCCCTCTCGTATTTATGAAAAACCAGATCGTATTTTGATAGCAAGATTAGGTTTTAGTGATAATGATTAGGCTGAATTTGCTGTTTATATAGGAAGAGGTGACTATGAATTTTGGGCTGGATCAATGAGACCTGTTTCTTATACTAAGAATTTGGATGGATATTGGAATTACATATATTTTAGCTATTCAAAATTATAATAAATTGCTGTTGGTTATGTAAACTTTAATACATTATAATAAATATAAAGAACTAAATTTGAACCATTTGATGCTGATCCTGCTAATAATTATGTCCGTTTTTATGTTGGAAATTGGAAGAATAATTAATATGGATTTAATGGTAGAATGGCATCAGCTGTAATTCGTATGGGAAGAGGATCATTTATTTATGAAATAGATTAATACTAATCATGGATGGAACCTTATTCAGTACCAGTTGATGAAGAATTAGGAACTAAAGATTATGAGATTTAAGGAGCAGACAATAAAGATACTGAATCTTATGAAATATTCAATTATGAAGATTAAGCAATTGAAACTCAATAATATTCTGTTTATGGATGGTTTAAATATTATGGTGATTTATCTAATACTGATGCTTAAACAATTATTAGATTAACAAATAATGAAGTTGATCATTTAAGTGATTCTTCAATATTAGGAGATAGAACATTAACTGCTATTTAATAAGGAGGTAATATGATATTTGGTACTTATGATATTGGATTTATTGATAAAGATTATGAAGTCAATAGATAGACAGAAGTTGAACTTGGAGAATATAGAGGAATATGGATGTACATTTGGGTAGGATATTCTAGATTTGATTAATAAACAGGATGGTTTTTGGGATTCCCTGATATTAGTAAAGGTGGAGTAATGAAAAAGACTCTTCATTTTTCACCAAAGTATTTAGCTGTATATTTTGGAAAGGATGGTATTAATAAAAACTTTATTGGAAAATCAAGACATGTTCATGCTTGTTATGGTACAACTTAATGTTGGCATTTTGTTAATAAGGTAGAAGTAGAAGAGAATTTACCAGCATGGATTCCATATAAATTAAATAATTAATTTGAATTCTTTATTGAAAAAGATTAAGATGCTTTAATTGTAGCTAAGAATGAGAATGCAGCTATTGATATAGAGTTTACAGAGACTAATTTCCCTGGTTCTGATATTGAAGCAATTTTTGAATATGGTATAGGTATATGGACAAGATGGTTAATGAATTATCCATTTATTTTATTAGAAAAAGCTGATTCACATTCAATATTTAGATTTACTACTAATGCATAATATGAAGATGCTTAATAAAATGGTGATAGAACTGTATCTGCCTTTGTTGGTAGAGGAGAATATAAGTTTAGTACTTATGATACTGTCCTTAATAAAAATGACATAAGTATTGGTAGTAAATTTGATAAAGAATTGGAAGGATATTGGAATTTTATTTATTTCTGTTATAAAAGAATTCCTACAAATCCTAAAGCAATAGGATATGTTTTCTTATCCAATGTCAATGTAGTAAAGAGAATAGAAATAGATAATGCCAAACATTGGTTACTTAGAAATTATGCTAGATTAGTAGTTGGCAAGAAAGAATTTGGTCATTCTGCATTCTAAGGAAAACTATTTGATCCAAGAGTATTTTTAGGTAGAGGCAGTTATATTGAGACTAGTGAAGATTTAATAAATACTTTGATTCCAAAGTTTAGAGCTTTTCCACCTTATAAAGATAAATAGGATAATGAACCAGTTTAAGTAGAGAAAGCTAAGATTACTGAAAGAGTATTTAAATAATATGAAGAGAAATATAGTGGTGTATTTGAATATAGTGTTTATGGATTTGCTAAAGGAAATAAATTAAGAAATGTTACAGAATGGACTACTCTTGTAAGAGTTACACAAAATACACCAGATATTTAAGGAGACAATGAAAATGCTGGAGATAGAACTCTTTCTATATTTGCTGATAAAGGAAAATGGATCTATAGTACTTATGATTATGGAGATCTTGAAGTTGTTGATGATGATGATGGAGCAAGTAATAATTTATTGAGATTATATAGTTATTCACTAATTTGATATGAATAAACAATGGGGAAAATGGACATATTTCTATTTTGGTTATTCATTTAAATTGAAATAAGCATATGCATATATTAGATTTATTGATTAAACTGAAAATTCATATCTATTTGAAGAAGTTTACCATTTTGTTCCTAATTATTTGAGTGTTTTCTTTGCAGAAGATGGCTATGGCAAAATGTTTGATGTAATTAATTTTTTAACAATTCTTTTAGGGTGAAGCCTTTGATTGGTATTTAGGAATTGGAGATGGAGCATTTACTACAACACCAGATCCTAGATAATGGCCAGTTGATCCTGCTCCACTTCCTGATAAAATTTTATCAGCTCTTTTAGCCAATTAAGGTTTCAATTCAGGAAGAATAGTAAAATCTTCAACATTCTTATAATTGGAAGGTACTATTAATTTAGTTGAGATCAAACAAGATGAATGATTTATATTAATTCATTCTTTTAATCAATTTTAATTTTATTTAACAAATATTATTCTAATTTAATAAAATAAATAAATAAATAAATAAAAGTTCATTACACTGAACTTTTGTTTAAAATCTAAGCTGTACAACTTTGTGGATTATATACCAAAGAATGATATGAAAATCTTTTAGATTATTCAATACCCCATGCAACATTACCAATCATATTGAGTAGAACCAAAGCAAAATCAACATAGAATAATACATGACCCACATTGTACTTTTTAATCACATAATATCCCAAATTAGTGAAAATTAATACTCCAATAGCCTAAGATAAATATAAATTAATACTCCTATTCCATAAAAGAAAAATTAATAACCTACTGGTAAAGTCAAATCCTAATATTCTCCTACTACGAATGAAATAAAGACTTGTAAACATATAATAAAATATCCATAATTTGCTGTTGCTCCTGCAGCTCCAGCAACTAAACCAAATTCCATCATAGTTACAAACATAGTCAATCCAGCTGCCATTCCTAAGAATCCAGCTATAAATCCTGTTGCCCAACCAGCACCATATATCAAAAAGAATCTTGATATAGGAGTGAAATAACGTTCGCTCATATTAAAATTCACTGTATTTTTAAGCAATTCTTTTTTTCTCATATAAAATAACACCCATAATGTTATTATTAGATTTACTCCAAATAAAAGAATCATCATATAAAAATTCCATGGCTCACAAGCTGAATATTTATTTCCTAAATCTTCATCATTTGGATAAAAATAAGGCGATGTTTAATAAGATGTTGTCCTTAATAATATTAATAATTCATTCACTGCAAAATTCCCAAATGCCAAAAGTATTGGTACTAAAGGAAATCTTGAACATGATTCATCTTGTAGTTATTTAAATAATTCAGCCATTCTTTATTCTTCAATTATGTTGCCCTTCACTTACTATTCTATTGTGATAATGGAAGATTGTTGCATTTCATTGTTTACTTCTTTATTGTTTTCCACTTTTTATTCAGATTTTGCGAAATATAAAAGTACTGGGCATATTATTAAGAAAAAAAGCATTTATAGAGTCAACAAAGGTAAAAGTGGTAAATAGTTAGCTAATTCCATTCCCAACTGCATTGAAATTGGTATTCCCAAGGCATAGACTAATCCTATCTCAAAATTAACTAAAGGACGTTCTGGAGAGTAAGGATGACTACAAACATAGAATATATTAAAATACCTTTAAAAAAAGATTATTACTTAGTTCACTAATTGTGCACCGAACATTAGACAAGCTGTGATATCTCCAGAAACAGAGGAGTTAAAATTTAGAATGGCCTCTAAAAAAGGACGTTTGACAACACCGCCTAACCAATTTAATAATATACAAACCTCCTAATGCTCCAAGACTGCCAATTCCAATAATAGGAATAATCAAAATATACACTAAAATAGAAACTGCATTAGGATACAAAACTCCTTCTCTACAGCAGCCTACCTATCCAGTGGGTTTGCCTGATAAAATTAAGCTGTTGCATACAGAGAACTACCCACAAGTTGAGCTTTGACAATTTATGGTTCCAACTCCTTAAAATAATGAGTATTGATCATTTTGACATGATAATATTGAAGACATTATAAAAATAATTATAAATTGTTATATTATATATAAGAACCTAAGAACTTACTAACTTAACTGACTGATACATTAGATCATAGATATTAATGCATTATAAGACATATCATATCCATATTCAATATCATAATAGTATTCTCCCTTTTTATTTCAAATTTAATGAAATTTATTCATTTTGAACATCTATATTACAAAATGAAACTTATTTTAAATAAATTAAAATAAATAAATCTTTCAATAATCTATGACAAAATTTCCACATGTTGAAGGCTGTGACTCAAATGAACTAAAACCATCTCGATAATCATTCTCAATACCCCATACAAAATTACCAATAATATTTAAAACAACAATTAAAAATTCAATATAAAAATTTATATGACCTACATTATATCTTTATAGTAATCTATAACTATAATTTGTGAATATAAGAACTGCTAAATTCTATAAAATCTTTTTTAATTCCTTACCCCTAAAGCATAAAAAAAAGAATTTTTCACCAATACCATTGTTAATCCAGTTACCATTCCTATAAACCCAGCAACAAATCCTCTTATAGACCAAAAAGAAATTCCTTACAGGTCTTAAATAACTTTCATGAGGTTAAAAGTAAACAGTATTTTTAAACAATTCTTTTTTTCTCATTAAAAAGTAAACGGAACCTGTTACACACAATTAAATTATCTTTTTCCTTTTTAAAATTTCAAAATTCAAGTAAATAATATCAGAAAGTTTACAACTGCCATTAATAATACC